CCCTCCCCAAGTCCCCCACAAGTCCCCTGACACAGAGATGTGAAACGGGGAAGCCGTCAACGATTCTCAAATGAGGGAATGGATGACATGGTGGACTCTGGGCTGTAGGCTGGAACTGGAGTTTGATGTGACCATCACATGAAGGGCATTGCAGTATTTAATAACAAAGAGACAGTGTTCTCTCCAGAGCATCTGGACCAGGTTTCCTATGAGATGCTTGCAGGCACCCACACATGCACATGGGCAGATATTGTTACATAATGTTGGGCCCCGAGCCAGTTCTCAGAGATGACTTCTAGACCCACATCCCTAGAGCTGCCCCGTCGTTTCTCCAGGTGGCCCCAGCCAGTGCAGCAGCCGGTGCAGCATGGTGCAGCACCAGTGCAGAGGCAGTCCTCTTGCCTCTGCAGCGGAGGCCACACTTGGGTAGCAAAGAATCTCCTTGGAGAAATGTGCGAGGTCAGGCTGACTGGGGGGTGCTTTAGAAGATCCTCAGCCAGATCTCGGAGCGGATGTTTCTTTTTGCTTCCTGGTTGTCATGACACCACCCAGCCTCCTTTGGTTACTTGATGTTCACAGGATTCAGAAGCTCGTGATCCGAACACTGTGTTACTCTGGAGTATAAAGCCCATATTCTTCAGGTTCTGCTTAGCCCTGACTTGTCACCCCCATCTGGGCTGGGAACAGTTCCAAGGCCACGGCTCCCAATTTGGTGTTTTCTTCTCCATTCTTGTGATCTCGGCTGCCTTGTGCCTTGTGAGCTCAGAGCCAGGGCAGTGTGACAGACATGGTCTCCCATCATGCTCTCCATGTCATCAGCTCACAAGGGTCCTGAAATCAACAGAGAGAGAGAGAGAGAGAGAGAGAGAGAGAGAGAGAGAGAGAGAGAGAGAGAGAGAGAGAGAGCGCTTTAGCTTCCCTTCACTTCCCTTCTGTCTTGTCCCAGCCAGCCCCTCCCTAGCTGTAACAGACACCCACGCCTTCCTTTTCCAGCAAACTGAGCCTCTAACAGCTGTGTTTCCAACAGCATGCCCTCTCCTTCCAGGTCCTGGCCTAGGACCTTGTTGGAAGTGGAACGTGAGTGTCCCTGCAGTGTCTGAGACTGTTGTTTGAATGTGAGGTGTCCACTGCAGGCTCACGTGTTTGCGCACTTGTTTGGGAAGAAGTGGGTTGATGGAGGTAGGCCTTGAGCTTGATAGTCCAACCCCACTTTCTCGAGGCTTCCAGAGTGAGGATGCAGTCTGACCAGCCAGCCTTCTGTTCCTGCCTCCTCTGTGCCTGAAACCGTGTCTTCCACGATGGAATGGTTCCCTTGTCACTGTAAGCCAGAGTAAACCCTTTGTCCCTTCAGCTGCTTTTGTGACCGTGTGTATCATAGCAATGGGAAAAGAAGCCGTGATGACCATCAGGAGGATGGGATTCAATCCATCAATCCAACGCACTTGGGTGTGCTTTCTAGATGCTGCAAGTACCCACACAGGTGCAGGTTCTGCTGCATGACGCTTGGCCAAGCTCACTGCTTCCTTGTTCAGAAATACTCAACTACTCTGACCTGAGACCAAAGGCATTCACTGTACAGTTTGGCACCGGCATTCAGTTGTTAAGTTATTGCAGCCTTGGGCCAGAGCCCTGCGTGTTTGCCGAAAGAAACATCCTGGACCTTGGGACAAGGTATTATTTCATGACAGCAGCACTGTCCCACAGTGTCCTTTTCTTCACTACCATACCCAGAGAGGAACGACCCACCACGTCCAAGGCAGGTCCTCTCCAAAGCCCTCCCGCTGGCCTGAGGATTCTTGTTCTGAGCTTCCATGTTTGAATGATATGGGTTGGAATCTGAAATGACCCCACAGGTCCATGTTTTGAGCTCTTGCTCAGCTAGTGGAACCCCTAGGAACTGGGGTATGGGGAGGGACTATGAAGGGTGTACTCAGTCCAGTCTATGTCTTGCTCTTTGCTTCCTGCCTGCCACAATGTGAACAGCACCCCCATATCTGTAAACAGAATCTTCTGTCCGCCAGCAATTCCCAAATACCCAGCAGCTGCTTCCCAAATGATTGACTTGAAGGCTTAATATTACTTATAAATGCTCGGCTGATAGCTCAGGCTTACTACTGACTAGCTCTTACACTAAATTAACCCATAATTCTTATCTATGTTTAGCCACGTGGCTTGGTACCTTTTCTCAGTGTGCATTCTCATCGTGCTTCCTCTGCGTCTGACTGGCGACTCCTGACTCCACCCTTCCTCTTCCCAGCATTCTTAGTTTGGTCACCCTGCCTATACTTCCTGCCTGGCTACTGGCCAACCAGTGTTTTATTAACCAAATTGAGTGACAGCTTTTACAGTGCACAGGAGGCTACCCCACAGCATCCTCCATGCACCATGCTTCTCTGCCAGGCCAGGGTGAACCCCACGGAAACCATGAGTGGAACAGGAATTTGCTCCCATAAGTCATGTCTGTCAGTGTCTTGGACACAGTTATGCAAAGGTACCTGCTACATGGAGTTTCCTATTCTGTGCATCTCTGGACCTCCATGGTTTTATATTCCACACTTGATGCCTCTTCAGAAACAGATCAGATTCTGAAAACAAGCTTTAGATATTTTTCCCTTGGCTATCTGATTGAATTTAGTTTGAATTTCATAAGAATAGATTGGGTGTTACTAACCCAGGCTCCAGAAACCTTCTGATATTGGAAGCCAGTTGTGTGTGTGTGTGTGTGTAGGTTGTTTGTGTGTGTAGGATGTGTGTGTAGGTTATGTGTGTGTGTGTAGGTTATGTGTGTGTAGGTAGTGTGTATAGGGTGTGTGTGTATAGTGTGTGTGTAGGTAGTGTGTATAAGGTATGTGTGTAGGTTGTGTGTATGTGTGTGTATAGGGTGTGTGTATATAGGGTGTATGTGTGTTTAGGTTGTGTGTGTGTGTGTGTGCATGTGTGTGTGAGAGTAAGATGGTCCAGAGCTTATCTAGCTTCCCTGGCATATCCCTGTCCCCTTTAAAATTTCTGATGTCTGGCACTGGAGTGATGGCTCCTAGCAGAACATTTATGAATTCTGCCTGTGTGCTTCTGGATGCGCTCACACTTCACATCCAGATTGACCAAGGTATAGTTTTAAGGACAGTGTTAGCACTATCGGACAATGAGGATGTGAGCTGGCCGGGACTGAAGAGCTGACCTGACATGGGTTTGTTGGCAGGCCTTACTAGAGATGCAGACGTCATCTCTGCATGTATGCTGGGTGCATACGGGCTCTGTGCTCCTCTAGGCCAGGGTTGAGCAGGAATCATCACAAAGACACGTCAGTGCGTGCAAGGCACTGTCCTGAGGGTCTCACATGTAGTCTCTTATTTAATGAAACAGTCCATTTTCACAGGTGTGGAAAACCTGGTTGTAAAAAGGATGATGTTTCCCAGGGCCCCCTGCACAGTGAGCTGTAACACAGGATTGGCACCTAAAGCTGCTGCCTCCAGGTTCTCACTGTTAACAAAAATTCTTTCTGTGGTCACAAGCAGGTATTGGATTAAAAAGCAGCTGATCCCACTTAGGTATGGGACCAGGGACTGAGCACACAGCCCCCTCCCTCCCCGTGCCCCCACATGGTGAACCCCTCGGGGTTCTTGCCCCTCTGACCCACCTTTCCTTGTTCATCCCATGCATCAGCTGCTGAATGACAAATCAGTGTCCATGGGCTCAGGCACTCACCGTCCATCTCTCCTGGACTTGCCCCAGGTGGCTCCTCTCGCCATCTGCTTCCTTTGGCCACTTCCTGCCCACACGCTCCTACTCACTGATTCCTTTTTTCCTTGACTTCACGGGGTCTGGAGTCCATCCTCTCACTGATCTGGAAACCTGGGACTCTCCTTCATCTTCTCTTCTTCCCTGTCTTGTGGAAGATGTAAGTCCCAGAAATCCCCACTCAAAATACCTTTAGAAACCATCCTCCTCCCCACCCTAAATCCCCCTTCCTGAAGCTAGCTCCGACCTGGCAGCCTTCTGTCGGGACTCTTTTCCTCAACTCCACGCTGTGCACAGTCCAGCCACATCCTGTCCTCCTCAGGCACCTCTTCATCATGCGGTGTGCAGCTTAGGAGTAGCCTCGAAGGAGATGCAGTGCTGGAGTTTGCATGCACTGTCGCAGAGCGGCAAACGTTCAGTTTGTAAGATAATACGTTTCATACCTGAGGCCTGAGTTAGAACCTCAGCCAGCTGCCTTTGGTGCACAGTTCTTAACCCCTGCGCTGTGGTGAGCAGGACCGGGGCCAGCCCTTCCGCGGCACAGTTCTTAACCCCTGCGCTGTGGTGAGCAGGACGGGCGCCAGCCCTTCCGCGGCACAGTTGAACTCTTACCTAACTTGACAGACCTGAGGTTGGACATTCTCCACTTGGGATTCAGCTCCAGTGACACCAGATGTACTTTCTGAACACCCTAGGTGGTGTCCCTGCTGTGTGCCCTCTGTTCAAAACACAGGCACTACGTCATTTAAGGTCAGCCCAGGTGTGACCTCCCCCAGGGAAACTGGGAACTATTCTGGGCTGGATCCCATGTGTACTGTTCCCATTTGTACTCGTGGGCTTTTGGGGAGTGGTGTTATACATCTTTCCACCTCCAGCCCTCACAGGGATCCTGATCCAGGGGTCCCAGGCCATCTGTGGTGGCGTCTTCACCTGCTTCTGTGGGTAGTCTTTTCTAGACCATGGCGTGTCCCTTTCTGTGGGTAGTCTTTTCTAGACCATGGCATGTCCCTTTCTGTGGGTAGTCTTTTCTAGACCATGGTGTGTCCCTTTCTCTGGGTAGTCCTTTTAGATTGTAGCGTGTCCCTTTCTCTGGGTAGTCTTTTCTAGACCATGGCATGTCCCTCTCTGTGGTATCAGCAGCCACACTCAGCACTGTGTCTGTAACTGCTCTCCTGCTGCGGCTGCTCTCTCATAAGGCAGGGAGGCCTTTCAGGACCGTGAATAGAGCAGTGATGGGGTTTGTTTCCTTTATTCCTGGGCAGGTGTAAGCCAAGAATCACAGGGCAGCGGTGCGACAGATGTGCTCCCGGCTTCCACCAGTTCCCTGAGTGTGTTCCTTGCAGTTGTAACAGAGATGGGACTGAGCCCCAAGTGTGTGACCCAGGGACTGGGGCTTGCATGTGCAAGGTAAGGCAGGTCCTGTGACACCTGGGAGTTCTTCAAGGGAGCTGACCTATGATGATTTCTGTAATGTGTGTAGCATTTTGTGCTTATCGCCTCCCTTTATAGGCATAATTGAAGGAAAGACTTTTCTCATCTTTTAGAAAGGCTACAGCCCCCTCCCCCTCCCTATGATAATCTGTTGCTAAGAATAAGTCCTTTTACTGGGCAGTGGTGGCGCACGCCTTTAATCCTAGGACTAGAGAGGCAGAGGCAGGCAGATCTCTTGTGAGTTCGAGGCCAACCTGATCTACAGAGTGAATTCCAGAACAGCCAAAGATACCTAGAGAAACCCTGTATAGAAAAAAACCAAAATAAAAAAAAAACCAAATAAAAAAGAATAAATCCAGAAAAGGGAACATGAACTGTTTTCTAAAGAGGTTCGTATCTTTTTTGTAAGTTGTTCTTGGATGAGGATCCAGGTTGTCTTCCCTGCCGCAGGTCCCGCGAGGCTGTGGTGGGATCACATCTGAGCAGATGTTCCAGGTGGTGGAAGTTGGACCAGTTGCCCCTCCTGCTGTCCCTCCACACGGTGCTGTCTGTGCCTCTCAACGCTGAGAGTGTCTTACAGGACCCCTCCTTCACGCTTTGTTTCAACAGGAAAACGTGGAAGGCCCAGAATGCCACGTGTGCCGCCGAGGATCCTTCTACTTACACCCTGCCAATCCAAAGGGCTGCACCACGTGCTTCTGTTCTGGAGTGAATACTGACTGTCAAAGTTCACATAAGCAAAGAGCTAAGGTGTGTGAGGGTTAGTGTTTGGGTTCTCGGTCGGTATTCCTGACTGAGATACGAGGGAACGGGCACGAGCTGCCGTGTGTCTTGTGTACTGATGATTCATGTCGACAGCATTGCCCTTACAGCTCCTCGGCCTCAGCACTGTCTCCAGAGATGCCATCATGATTGTGTCCCAGATTACTCAGGTTTTTGATCCAGTGTCACATGCTCAGAATGCTTTCTGTCCCCACTCCCTGTGAAACATAATCCTGGTCATTGTCTGTATTGTGGCCCTTGACTTCCCTACAGCATTTAGCACTTTGTAACATATTATGCCTTTAACTTAAGAAATTACTGTCTTCCCTTCATCAGTAGAATGTGAGCTCCTAACATATACCAGGGCCTAGGACGGAATTTGGGACATAAGAATGCCCAGAAAATACTCATTCGATGAATAGATTTTGTTGTATTGAAGGATATGATAAAGTATCCAGACAGACATCTGTACAGGGTCAGAAGGTCCACAAGCACACTAACTTCTGTCACCACGAAGTTATGACATGCCACTTCCTTGAGCCCTCCAAAAATATCACTTATTGTCTTTATAGAGCTCCCATTATGCAGGCATGATTGATTAAATCATTAGCTATTGGTAATTAACATAACTGGTCATTGACTTTTGGGAAGGTTAGGGATGGGTTGAAAGTTCTGCCTCTCTACACACGGCTGGTCTTTCTGGTCACCAGTTCCCATCCTGAGGCTAATTAGGGGGCCCAATAATCCGGATCTCACAAGCATACAGGGTGTGTGTTTGCACGTGCCTGGGTTCATGTGTATGTGCGGGTGTGCTTGAACATGTGTGCCTGTGCACGCCAGTCGCTCATGTTAGATGCCTGCCTTTATCGTGGTTCACCATGCATGCTGAGGTGGGCTCTCTCTGACATCGGAGCTTGCCAATTCTGCTGCTGTAGCCAGCCAGCTTGCTCTGGAACTGTCATGTCTCTGCCTCCTGAGGGTTGGGACTGCAGGTGAGCTGCCCTGCCGGCCCAGCGTTTACATGGGTTCTGGGGATTCAAAGTCTGGTCCTTGTGCATGTGTAACACACACTTTAGTCTCTGTGCTATACCTCCAGCCCCACAAAATATTTTATGACGCTAATATGACATTCTTCATTCTCTTCTCATGTTCTTCCTCTTTTAATTTCTTTCTCAAATGTTTACCACATCTTAGATGTGCCTACTTTGTGGTGTGTGTGTGTGTGTGTGTGTGTGTGTGTGTGTGTGTGTGTGTGTGTCTACGCATGCTGAAGCCAGAGGTCAATGTCAAGTGTCCTCCTCCATGGCTCTCCACCTCAGTCTCTGAGGTGACCCATCACTGAACCTGGGTCTTGCCCTGGATACACTGACTGGCATCCCCCTGCCTTCGCTTCCCAAGCACTGAGACTCAGGTGGTTCTTGGAGATCAACTCGGGTTCTCATGATGGCGAGACGAGTGCTTTCCAACTGAGCCGTCTCCGCAGCCCTGTCTACTTGTAGGATTAACTTTACAAAACTGAGATTGTTGTCAACTGCATCGGTCCGTGAAGCAGGTAGCACCGGGAGACTGCTTCTGTGTAATACCGTTTTATATATTTCACTGCTTCCCGGGTGGAGGGCAGGCTGGTAAGTGGAAGAAAAATGAGTTTGTAAATCTGTCCATTCTTTGTTTTTTCCTCCCCTCTAAATGGAGCTGGCTTCCTTGGGGACAAAGGAAATATTTTATTTTGGCTACTGTATTCCACAACACACTTAATTTTTTTTAAAAAAAATTTAATGTTGTCAAAAACCTTTTAAAAATCTAAGTTAATTCTTTGACAATTTCATAGTTGTATAGACTAAATTCCAATTATTCCCTCCCCTCTTATCTCCCTCCCCACACCAACCCCTGCTCTTTCCTGTCCCTCTCCCAGATCAATGACCCTTGGTTTGGTTTTGTTACCCATTTAGTTACCAGGGTCATCTGTGTGATCATTGACTTGTAATTCCCCATTGGAGCCTGATAGAGTCATCAGTGGTTTCACAACTGAAGGCAATGGCCCTCCCCTTCCCCCTTTCATGAATCTATTCCTAAGAAATAGTTCATCTGTGATGGGGAGGGTCCCCTGAATTCCTCCTAAATCCTTCTTTATGTGTGTCTCATCTTTTAAAGATTTATTTATTATTTATGTATATGTGCATGTACCTGCATGTATGTGTGTATACCATATGAGTGCAGGTGCCTTCAGAGGCCAGAAAGGGCATCTGATACCGGAAACTGGAGTTTCTGGTGGTGCTAAGCCACCCAGTGTGGGTGCTAGGAGCCAAACCTGGGTCCTCTGCAAGAATAGCAATGCTCTTAACCCCTGAGCCATCTCTCTAGCCTTGGATTTCACCTTTTAAAGGTGCCCACAGCCCAGTCATTATTCATACACTTACTTTTTGATTATTTGAACATCCAGTAAATAACTACTTCATGTTAAGAACCAAGGTATGTGCTAACATACAAAGACAAAGCCCACATACATATGATCACATGTCCTCTGGGTCAGAAGGGAACAGAGTTAGGTGACAGCTCTGTCATGCCCCAGGGAGGGCAGACCCAAGGTGAGATGAATGGAGCTGGGGTATAACTCAGTGGTAAACTCCACACTAGACGAGTTTAATATTTAGCATTAAAAGAGAGATACATAAAGGTAAGTTTTGACGCTTGGTGGTCATCGTGCGAGTCTTTCGGTGTTGTGGATGTTGCCACCACTCTAAAAGCCACAACTGCTGTGTTCTAGTTTGTAGACATGATGGGCTGGCGTCTGGAGACAGAGGATGGAGTTGCTATCCCTGTGTCCTTCAACCCGGGCAGCAACAGTGTGGTTGCAGATCTGCAGGAGCTGCCATCATCAGTCCGCAGTGCATCCTGGGCGTCACCTCCATCCTATCTAGGTGACAAGGTAACAATGTTCTGATGCTCTTCTGAGCCCTCTCTCTGTGGTCTCAGCTGTCACTGCATAATTATCATTTCCTCAAGGCCTGGGAGCAAGCACCTGGAAGTCAGGTAATTAATGTTTAGCAGGTTAGGCAATAATGAAGATGTCTTGCCTCCTGTCATGCGGAGGACTGCAAAAGCACCTCACGTGTGTGTGTCCCACTTACGTGAGTTCCCAGAAAAGGAAGCCCTGCATGGTGTTTTTCTTGATTTGTGCTTCCTGCCAAGGAATTCTCCTCTAGGGAAATATAAAAACCATTTAAATAATAGCTGTTGCAAATGGGCCAGGTGCTTTTAAACACTCTGCTGAGAATTCTTTGTTTTAAAGCAGAAAGGCTCCTTGTCAGGAGAATAAAAGCTGAACAGTGACTCACAGGGTTATTAAAAGAAGCACAGGACCCATGGCAGTTAGACTCTCACAAGCAGGATCAAATGTTTTAATGGCATGCTCCCCCAGGATCTTATAAGTGAGCCACACACATGATCATGGCAGAGCCTGGCCATGGAATGGGTACAGTTCGGGTCCTGTGTAGAAAGGCTATCAGGCAGCATAGGCTTCAAGATAGTCATAATGGAAGATGTTAGAGCGGATTTCACAGGGCCCCCGCTCATGAGATGTCATAATTTTATATTGCGCATGGCTTAAATAATTATCAGAGTGTTTATGGAGGTTCAATTATGTAGGCAAAATTGATGAAATTACCAGTCTTTGAGGAATTAACTCAATGTCTGTGAGTTAATTCAGTGGTTGTTAACTCATTGTTGGCTCCAGATCTCTAATTCTGGACAAAGAATTATGAACTTTGACATTTTCATGTGCAAAGAACTCCTTCTTCCACGTGACCCACTCCTCCATCACCCACTCACCCTCCTCTCGATGGTTAGTCCCTGCCTCGGTCATCTGTGACCCACTCCTCCATCACCCACTAACCCTCCTCTCCCCTCCATGGTTAGCCCATGTGTTGGTCATGTGACCCACTCCTCCATCACCCACTAACCCTCCTCTCCTCTCCATGGTTAGCCCATGTGTTGGTCATCTGTTACTATGCAGCAGCTTAAGGTGACAAGTAATTGTGCATTGTCTGTGGACTGGGGATCCAGGAGTCATTGGCGCAGAGTTTCCTCTGGGGTTGTAGTCAAGATGTTAGCCAGGGCTAGTCACTTCAGAACTAGAAGATCCACTTGCTGAGGCCACTGCCATGGTTGCTAGCAGGCTTCTGTCCCTTCTCCACCTGGCGGAGGCTTCAGAGCCTCATCCCATGAGACCTTCCTGAACTACCCGAGGAGCATCGTGACAAGGTGGCAGGTATCTGCAAAGTAGCTGAGGAAGAAGAATATGATAGTGAGAATTAATGAAAGAACTCTAGACAGAAGTGATAATCTTATAACTCCACTTTGGAAAAGGTGAAATCTCACGTCTGCTTTATTCCTCTCATGAACTTGTTAAAAATGAGTCACTGAGTTGAGCCCACACACAAGGAGAGGGCAATGGCACTTCCTTCCTGTGTCAGTTACTTTTCTGTTACTGCAGTCAAACACCATGACCAAGAGCAACATCTAGAAGAGTTTATTTTGGCGGAGGCATGGAAGCAGGTAGTTAGAGCAGGAAGCTGAGAGATCATACCTCCAACCACACAGAGAAAGTGGAGAGTGGGCTGTAAAGGGGCAAGGGTATGAACTCTCAAAGCCCACCCCCAGTGATACAATTTCTGCGGCAAAGCTACACTGTAGTGGGGAGCTGTTCTAGCTATGACCTTACACTACACCTTGTAAAAGTTCCACAGCCTCCCAAACAGCGCCACAGTAGAGAACCCAGTGTCCAGATACCTGAGCCTATGGGGACATTGCTAATTCCAGCCACTCTAGGAAGGATTACCAGAATTCATGCACACATTTTAAAATAGCCTAGCCTATCAAAAACACAGTGCTTAAAGTCAATTAGATGAGCCTAGGTGTCTCTTGGAAATGCTCTGGGAAGCTTCATCAGGTTGCAGATCCTAGGAGAAGCCTCTGTGGCCTGGGGCCCCAGAGATGCTCCCCGCTCTCCCTGGAACAGCGTTTTGTTCTCAGCTGAGATGATGTCGCTGTTGACATTCTCGTCACTCCCTCATTCCTAGATGATTTTAAGGTGGGAGGGACCAGGAGCAGAGGTGAACTAGTTGACAGAAAGTTATGACCTTTCACTGCACGTTGCCACCAAGGTCATACTGTGCTGGCCAAATCTGTGTCTCTGAGGGAGCCATTGATCATGGCTTCTCTCTCCAACAAATAGGGAATAGTCACCATCTGCTGTCAAGGAATTTTTTTGAACATTTTTAGGGGTTTATTTTGCAACTGATAATCCCATTTCTTCTATTTCAATAATAGATTTCTTAGAATTTCTTTGGATTAAGCAAACTTTTTATTTAGTCATCATGAGAGGGAAAAAAATCTTCTTTGTTGCAATATGGTTGTTATTTTTTCTTTTTAATAAAAGTACATTCCCTCTTATAAAAAAGCATGTCAATGGTTTTCAGGAATCTGAAAATGACATAAAGTAGGAGATGAAGGCAGCGTTCTTAGTCCCACCTGCTAGAGCTCCTTTGCCAATGGGTCCATGTTCGTCTTTCCAGACATCCTGGTTAGTGTCAGCCTGGTCATTTTCAGTGCTGTGGAGACTGTCCATTCAATTTCAGGTTTCCTCGTATGGCGGCTACCTCACCTACCAAGCCAAGTCCTTCGGCTTACCTGGCGACATGGTTCTTCTGGAAAAGCAGCCAGATGTGCAGCTCACTGTAGGTATTCGGGTGTGGGCCGAGCCGCGGGAAGCAGTGCCCATAAGCGGGGCTGTGCAGAGTGTTGATTGATTAGTGATTTGAAGCCCCTGACACAGAAGGTATCAGGTATCACGGCACCCCTGCCCGAGGGCGCCTGTTTCCCCTTCCGGTGCAGCTGGTTTCATCTTCGAACAGCCTCGTGTTTTAGTATGGTTCCGTCTTTCAACTTAGTCTCAAAAATGATTTTGAGCTCATTCTTCACGGCACCCCTGCAATACGGACAAAATCCCTGGAATATGGGTTAGGGAGCCGTAGCCTGTTCTGGAGCTATAATCCAGGGCCTCACACTTGCTGTGCAGGCGCTCTGCCGCTGAGCTTCATCCCCACCTCCCTTTCTGCCTTAGATGCTGTGGTGGGTGCTGGCAGCTCCAGCTTCCTGGAAGGTTTCTTTGCACCCTGCAGTGTAAATGGGAACCAGCAAGCCTCACACGCATCCTCACAGCAAAGGACCCCGTGTGCTTGGTAGATCTTTGTGTTCAAGTACTGCTGAGCCATATTTTGCTTTGACCAGTAAACAAATATATTGAATTGGTCTGGTAAAAACTCAAAGGAACCTTAGCAGAGCATAGTGAAAATTAAGCAACAAAGATTTTAGAGTTACATAAGGACACATATTACTCGATGGAAGCACTGTCCCAGCAGGGCCGTGTTTCAGCTTCTGTTCTGCAGCGCATCTCACAGCTGAAGGTACTGCTGTGTATAATGTCTGCTGCAGAGGACTTAATTGTACATGCTCTTGGAATGCACTGGAGGCAAAGATCAAAATCCCCCTTGATTTTACCTTCAGACATGGAAATCATTTAGGCTCACAAAATTTTTTCTTTGTTGCTTTATTTAAACCACTGTAATTAAGAGCCTTTGGGGCATGTTTCTTAGATTAAGGTTTGGAGTGATCTGTGATCCTCGATAATGTTCTGCCCTCATGAATGGACTGCCTCCAGGTTTGGAACTGACACAGAACAGCTGGGCCGTGGTGTGCGACTTGGGGTGGAGCTGCGGCAGGACCTAGACATGCCCATGCAGTCCTGTGAAAGCCCCCAAGAGGCACTGAATGGGATGGGGCAGAGGCTGAGAGTAGGTGGCCAGATCCCATAGGCAGGCCGGAGCCCTGGGCCCATGTCTTCATCCATGAACTCTTTCTCTTCTCCGAACACAGCAGCTGCAAAGCCAGGCTCGGTTAACCCTTCCTCCATCCCGCCCTCTCCGGCAGTCTAAAAGCACGGTCCTATCGGCAGCCATGGAATGCGCTTCCCACATTTGCTACAAAGAGTGATTAAAATGAATACTTTTGTCCATTTTAAAAATACTTTATTTAATGTGTGTGAGTGTTTCGTCTGCACATCTGTCTGTGCACAGGAGAGAGCAGCAGGTCCCCTGGGACTGGATAACAGATGGTGAATCTCCAGGGGACGCTAGGAATTGAACTTAGGTCCTCTGAAAAGCAGCCAGTGCTCCAAACCACTGAGCTATTTCTCTAGCTCTTATTCTTTCTTCATATTTTAAAATCACATTTGGCCAAGGTAGTTTTCATATGTGGAAACGTACCATATGAGCTGCTATTCACCTATGTCTGGGTCACTAACCCAGTCAGTTCTGAACTGTTTAGGGCCAGGTGTTTCATATAATGTAGACACACATAGAAATCTGTTCTAACATCAGTATAAGCTTCAAAGCATCCCAACCCAGGCACTAATGCATTCCTGCTTCCCCTTAAACAGGGTCAGCACATGTCCATCATCCACCAGGAATCCAGTGACCCACGGCCAGACAGGCTGCATCACGGGAGAATACAAATGGTTGAGGTAAGACAAGTCCCAGAAGAGGTCTCCGGTGGTCTTTTTGATCTGTGTTTGTTCTTTTAGTCAAGATTTTCACTTATTTAAGAATATTTTAAGAATACAGATTGCATTTATACAGAAAGAGAGAGAGAGAGAGAGAGAGAGAGAGAGAGAGAGATCATACACACACAGAGGGTGGGGGTGGTATGGCTTAAAAAAAACAAACAAAAAATAAAAAAACAAACAGGGACCAGTCAGGTAGCTACATGGGGAAAGAGCTTGATCCCAACGCTGACAACCTGAGTTTGATCCCTGGGACTTACATGGTAGAAGGAGAGAACTGACTCCCAAAATTTGTCCTGACCTACATACAAACATCATGACACCTGCACACACACACACACACACACACACACACACACACACACACACACACTGTGTGTGAAACCCCCACCCTACCACATAATCTAGAACATAATATACCATTGAGTGTTTGATGCTTACACATTTTTGCTTATATCCTCTTTTATAAATATCTCCCCTGTCCTATGTGTGTGTGTGTGTGTGTGTGTGTGTGTGTGTGTGTACACATGCTTGTGTGTGGGAGCCAGAGGACAACCTCAGCTATAGTTCCTTAGCTGCTGTTTCTCCTTTCTCTAAGACAAGCTTTCTCTTGGTGTGAAGCTTGCCGGGTAGGCTGGCCAGCAATCTGGGGGAACTTCCGTCTCTCTCTTACCCACAGAGCACCTCTCATGCCCAGAGCGACCAGAGAGCTCACGTTCTTTAGTGTTCAGAGAGGGTTCCACGGTTCAGAGCACTGCTGCTTTTGCAGAGGGCCTGAGTTTGGTTCCCAGCACTAAGACTGGGTGGCTCACAGCCTCCTGAAACTCCTGCTGTAGGGATTCAGTGCCTCCTCTGCTCTCCATAAACACATCCATGCATGTACATGCGCATGCAGACTGCCACATACACATAGGTAAATAATTAAACCAACGTACAAGAGGCACATCAGAGAGGCTGCCTTCTTTTCATCATAGAAGATACAGTGATAATGGTTATCTACAAATCAGGAAGAGAGCCTCCCCAGGAGCCCATGCAGCCGGCACTCGGAGCTTCCAGGACCATGACAAACATCATGGTATAAGCCAGCTACTACCTGGCACTTTGTTATGATCAAAGCACAAAACCCCCACTACATAATCTAGACTACAGTACACCGCAGGGGTCTGATGCTTACATGCTTTTGTTTATATCCTCTTTTGGAGGCAGATGCGAGCTTGGAGGAGCTCAAGTGTACTAACGTATGTAATGGAGATTTCAGAAAGAGAAGAGAAAATATTCGAGGAAGCAATCACTTGCCAAACATGATGAGAGTCACTAATATCTCAGTGCCAAACACCCAAGTCTGACTAGGATAGAAGGAAGAGGTCCGCACAAACATATTGTAATGCACATGCAGAAAGACAGAGAGAACTAACTACCAGAGCCCCGATCCATCACATGCAAGTGGCCTCAGTAACAGAACGCTGGTGGTCAAAGGTGGTGGATGAGCTATTCAAACACCGAAGGAGGGCTGAAAAGATGGCACAGCAGGTAGAGGCATCAGCCAGCATGCCTGAGGACCTAGGTTCGATACCAGGAATCCACGTGGTGGGAGGAGAGGACTGGCTCCGGCAAGCTGTCCCTCTGAGCTCTACATGTGTTCTGACATATGTGTGTGCACTCATACACATACACCACACAAAGTGGAAAAAATGACAAAGCAGAAGAAACAAACAATTAACGTGAACAATTAAGAAACAAAGAATTCATGTGCAAAAAATTTAGTGCACTGATCTGAGCCACGAGCAGAAAATTCACTACTAAATAACTTCTTGGTAAGAAGTACCCAGCCACAAAAACATACAGGATGTGCGTCCACTGATATGAGGTCCCTAACACAGTCCAACTCTTAGAAAGTAGGCTGTGTGTGTCCATGGCTGGAGGGGGTCTGCCTAGAGTTTCTGTTTCCAACCATGAGCAAGTTTTTGAGACTTGTGCAGTGTTGTGCTCATAGCTCAGACCACTGCACTGCAGAATCCATAAATAAAATGGATATGATAGTACATTTCATGGCATGTGGTTTTTTTAACAATAAAATTACATACGTCAGCTGGGCAGTGGTGGTGGTGCACGCCTTTAATCCCAGCACTCAGGAGTCAGAGGTGGGTGGATCTCCGGGTCCGAGGCCAGCCTGGTCTACATAGTGAGTTCCAGAACAGACAGGGCTACACAGAGAAACTCTGTCTTGGAACAAAACAAAACAAAAATCACATACATCTATTACAAATAAAAAAATGATAGGAAGAGCCATGAAGTGTCTCCTCACACTGGGGATCTCAGCACTTGGGAAGCTGAAGGTAGAAGGATCCTGAGTGCCAGGCCAGCTGAGGCTTCTTAGCTAGACTCTGTCTCAAAAAGAAAAAAACAACAAAAATCCAACCAAGCACACAAACAAAGCAGCAAATTAGTAAAACAAATACTTGTGCAAGAAGAGATCATGTTTGCTGTCCTAATGATGCACATTTAGCTAACTTATGGAGTTAGGCTTTTTCTTCTGCATCCTCATCACAGACTTTATATTTTCCCAGATTAAAGGACATTTACAAAGGCATGGCGCTGGTCATGGAGATCCCTTCCCTGGGGCGGCCTGGCGTGCCTGTCCCAGGAAGGACTTCCCCATCTTTCTTGGACTCCTTTTCCCTCATACATTCTGAATGTCTTCGCTTGGACCCATTCCAGGGCCTTTCTCTCCGGAAGTGACCTTGCCTAAGGAAACCTCTCCATTTACTGTGCAGGGAAACTTCAGACACGAGGGCAGCGGTGCCCCAGTGTCCCGGGAAGAGCTGATGACCGTGCTGTCCCAACTGGAAGGGCTGTACATCCGGGGCCTCCACTTCACTGAGACACAGCGGCTCACCCTGGGCGAGGTAGGGCTGGAGGAGGCCTCTGACACAGGAAGCGGACCCAGAGCTCATCTTGTGGAGATGTGTGCCTGTCCCCCTGACTACACAGGTGACTCATGTCAGGTAGGATTTTCCCAGCCATGGTATTCCTCACTTCCTGGGGCCCTAATCCGTGTCTGGCTTGTTCTGGCTGCTGTCCAGCAATGCCCCACAGTTGGGGCTTTCTCTACCCATCATCCAAGTGTGCTGGGCCAGGTCTAGCATCTTCCCGAGACTACCTTTAGGGATTCAAAATGTGACAAAGACATCACAGTGTCTTGCCTTCAACAGGAGACTGTGGGTGCTCCATAGATGTGGAAATCAGAGGTAGGAAGACTCGGTGTTTGTCTGTCCTTCCCTGTAAGCTGGCCAGAGCCGCCTCCTGTCACTCTGCAACCCTAGTGCAGTTAAATCCAGAGGATTCCCCGGATGCAAAAGGGAAACCCTCTCTCCCATTTTCCACCTCTTAGCAGGTCCGAGTTGTTTGAACTTACCCTCACATGATTAAAATGTACTACAAAATGAAACCATTTTCAACCCATACATCAATGTGTTCTTTTCCTAATGAGAATCAGTGTTGGCAAAATTAGTGGGAGATAGCAATGATGTTGTTCTGTGTACCCTGTCCCCAAAAGTATATAAACTAGCAAACGTCTCCACTTTCCTGTGTTTTAAGCCAGAAACTCTCTCCCTTGTGATGGCATCCTGGAGACTCCTTTTCTTGTGAGTTGGCTCACAGGTTACCTCCACTCAGCTCAATGCCTTCCATCTCTTTTTCTAACTGACTTAAAATGTAAATTAGATAGCCCAAGGAGAAGAGGAGACGGTGGATTAGCACCCTCGTGGCCAGGGTGTGGGCTTTTGGGTTGACTCAGCCTGTGATTTACAGCAGCTCTAATCGTCTGGGGCTGTCTGCAGGGCCAGGTGGGTAGAAGGTGACGTCTGCCCCACCTCTCAGGACTTACAAGGCTGTGCTTACCTGTGGAACTGTTCTGTGCTTTCTCTCCCTGAGTAGGCTGAGTCATGTGTGAAGTGTAAAGGTGGGGCCCCCTGCTGCAGACAGCCTTCCTCCCCTGAGTCAGACAGGCCCGGGCACTGAGCAGGGAGGGCACGTATAAGAGGAAGAGTGCAGAGCTTTGCATGCAGCCTGGCGGGCACCCAGGGATCAGGATGCCCCCTGCAGTGAGGTGGTCAGCCTGGAGCACAGGATGGCTCTGGATCTTTGGGGCAGCCCTGGACCAGTGCCTGGGGTATGGCTCAGAGCAGCAAAGGGTAGCATTTCTTCAGCGTCCAGGTCAAAATCATCTGCAAGCAAGCTATACGGAGCTCAGACCTAGTCAGGTAATGCCTGTTTTAAATTTCCGTTTGGGGTGGGAAAATGTGTCCAGCTTGGTGACATTTTGAGTTAGGGTTATTACGGAGTAGATGGGTGGGCTGGGGGGAGGGCAGGCAGCCTCCCGGTTGTGGTGAGCGGCAGGGTTTATTGCAGAGCTGGGCAGATTGTTCTCCCGAGCTATTAACCACAAGCCCCATAAACATCAGCCCACCTTGGAAGGCCTAGACAGTTGAGAGCTTGGATGCTTGTGGAGTAGTGGTATACCATGAAACTTGTGCCCTTTGGGGACTAGCTCAAGCCTCGGACAAGAGGCTGCTGCCTGTACGCTTGCCAGTTTCACTTGGAAGAAAATTTACCCACAAAGTAAAACATGAGGAACAATAAGAGCCAAGGCTAAGAAAACGATCAAAGTTTGTATAGTGCCTCACGGACATGCTGCGATTTGCCGGGCATGAAACATTCATGAATTTTGCTCACTCCTTACATGCCCTCGCTGCTACATGTATACTTACAGAGAAATAGAGCCTGTGGCCTATGAGATTGACCCGGAAAGTGGATGGGGCATTTTATCATCTATAATATAAAATGTTACGGGAAATTTTATCCTTAGAAACACAGCTTTGTAAAGCTTCACCACTTCTAAGTCTCTTTATTGAAGTATAGGACACACTCATTTCCACCTGGAGATCTTCAATAGAATTTGAATACTTCTGTGAAATGCGTTTGCTTGCTTTGTGGAGGCATGAAATTGAGTCACTGACAAGTACTCCGAGTCACATGACCTGGAACTTGGGCAGAGCATTTTTCCTGCTTGTAATTAAAAGCACATTAAGGTGGATGATTTTGTTTTGATCATGATAGACTGTTCTTTCCCATAGCAGGTTTAATTAAGGCTTTTGTCCGAGCATGGTGCCTTCAACTCACGAGACCTATTCGTTCATTTGAATAATTTGTCCCTTACCAAATGTAATTATTTTGAGCAAATGACGTGATGTATGTAAGGCACCCGGCAGTTCATACAGCAGCTGGTTTGTTGTTGATATGGTCACATAGTCCCTGGCTGGATTTCATTCAGGTGTGTCTCCCAGCTGAGCTATCAGAACATTCCTTTCATACTTAATTCTCCTTTAGACAAGCCTGTTCATATAGAGCCTTAAAGTAAAAAAAAAAAAAAAAAAAAAAAAAAAAAAAAAAAAAAAAAAATTGCAATATATCCCTTTGCCTAAACATGGCCCCTAATCATGTAAAGGAGCATTATATTGGGAATTACGTTCTGTTGTTTGTATGATCTGTTAGCCATTGGTCATTTGGGAAGGAGATCCTGGCTGGAGTTGAGCCCCCCACCCCCACCCCCGCCCCCCCCCCACCCCTCCCCCGCCCCGACAGCACGTGATCCCACACTTCTTCTAGATGCCCATGCGCAGGCCCTTTGTGGACGTGGGCGGTGAGACTGGCCTGTTTATTTCAGGTTTTGCATTGATTGCCATTTCAGAGTCTTGTTATGGACATATGTGCTGTTTAAGATCATTCATCAGATGGGTTGAGATATTAATTCTTGGTGGTGCTTTCAAGATGGAAATCTGGGAGACCAGAGCCACAAACAAGGGGAAAGCCAGTGTTAAGCTGTGCATGGATTGACTCTGGCAAGATAAAGACCGCATCTATCTATAATCCTTTTTTTTTTTTTCTTTTTTTGAGCTAGGGTTTTACTCAGTAGCACTGGCTGACCTGGAACTCATAGAGATCCTCCTACCTCTGTCTTCCAAGTGCTGGGATTAAAATCCTGTTGGAAAGTTCTTAACAGAATCTTTTTTTTTTTTTTTTTATTTTAAGATTTATTTATTATGTATACAGCATGTATGACCGCAGGCCAGAAGAAGGCACCAGATCTTGATACAGGTGGTTGTGAGCCACCATGTGGTTGCTGGGAATTGAACTCAGGACCTCTGGAAGAACAGTCAGTGCTCTTAACCTCTGAGCTATCTCTCCAGCCCTTAACAGAATCTTAAATAAGACATAAGTCCATGGGAAAAACATTAACTCTTGCCGGGTGGTGGTGGCATACACCTTTAATCCCAGCACTCAGAGGCAAAGGCAGAAGCAGGTGGATCTCTTTGAGTTCAAGGCCAGCTTGGCCTACAGAGTGAGTTCCAGGATAGCCAGGGCTATACAGAGAAATCCTGCCTCAAAAAACCCAAGTACACACACACACACACACACACACACACACACACACACACACACACACTCACACACACTTTTCACCCAGCTAAAAGCCATGCTATTATCTGGAAGGAGACAGCAGACTGGAGATAGAATTGACTGATTCTGTAGAAACATGAAAACAAGACTAAACCCAGAGACTCTCTCAGGCTGGGTCTCTGTCTTCACAGTGGGCCAAATTCTTGAGAACAGGCTTGTGTGTGAGCACTCAACACCTGCTGACCACTGGTTAGTGAGTGTTGCTAAAATGATTCCAATAATTGTACCATTATTGAGAGGACTCCGTTGAGGACTATGCCCACTCCACCCCCCTCCTACAAGCCTGAGCCCATCCTTGGGGAGGGTATGCCGTCAGGAGACTGTTGACCTTGAGTTGGCTTAGCTTTATGCCCTAGTAGGGACTGGCATCCTCTTTACTCCCACCCTTCCATCTGCTCAACCCCTTTGAGACAACTGGTATGTGAGAGGGGCCCATGGCCACTTCTCCTGTCTCTGTTAGGTTCCATTCCCACCATCATCACAAAGACACAGCACAATCTTACCAAAAAGCAGCCACGCTGGCTGCTGGTTGATATCAGAAATCCACACAGCCCCTGGAGAGGGAAGGTTTTAAAGCCTCGACTTCTTCACAGTAAGAATTGTGACGGGCTTTGGAAAATAATAATTCTCTTTTCTTTGTATTGATGAAACATTTTTGTTTGAAAAATAGGCTTGTCGCCCTGGATACTATCGGGACAACAAGAGCCTACCCGCGGGAAGGTGTGTTCCCTGCAATTGCAACGGACATTCAAACCGCTGCCAGGATGGCTCAGGGATGTGCATTGTGAGTAAGCTGGTAGTTGCTGCTGCTGGCAGGCAATCTGTTCCTCCTCTTTCCCCTGAGATGTCAATGTTCCATCTCTCACTGAACCCCCAACAGAGATTGCTATGGCCGTGGAGGAGGCTTCTGAACCCTCAGGCTGAATTAGATGTTTCACACTTCACTTTTGCCTCGATTGTAACATGCACTCTCAGAAGAGAGCACCTGTCGGAATGGTTATGAGATACCTTTCTATGATCTCTGCCTCATCAAGTGATAGTAATAAGTGCATCGTGGGGCTTAATACTTGCCTGGATATATAAGTCTGAGCTGTCACTTTGGGGCTCAGTTTTCTAGGGCTGACATGGGTCTCAAGGGGACACTTGTGGCTGTCAGAGGAGCAGTAACTCTATTACAGGGTGTTGAAGATGGGACTGGGTGGGCAGAGAGCTTACCTAGTGTGCACAGGACTTTGCATTTGACCCCCAGCACCCCTAAACCAGGCTGTAATCCCAGACTCTAGTGTTGGAGGCAGGAGGATCAGAAGTTGTCTTAGTCACTGTTCTGTTGCTGTGAAGAGACACGATGACCACAGCAATTCTTACAATGGACAGCATTTCATTGGGGTTTGCTTCCAGTTTCAGAGGGTTAGTCCATTATCCTCATGGTGGGAGCATGGCAGCATGCAGGCAGACGTTGGAGCAGGAGCTGAAAGTCCTTCATCCTGATCCATAGGCAGAGAGCAACACTGGACCCAGCTTGGGCTTTTGAAACCTCAAAGCCCACCCACAGTGACACACTTCCTCCAACCAGGCCACACCCCCTAGTCCTTCTCAAATAGTGCCACTCCCTGATGATGAAGCATTCAAATTCGTGAGCCTATGGGAGCCATTCTTATTTAAACCACCAGTTTGAGGCCATCCTGAGACACAGGAGACCTTCCATGGAAGGAAAAAAAAACTGGGAAGGGAGAGGGGTAGGACATTAGTGATGAAAGGAAAAGAAAGGATAAAAAGAAAGAAAAAAATTAGAGAGAAGGGGATACTGAGAATGGCTTATGGCTCATGCCTAGTCAGTCAAACACAAACACCCCCTGGCTGCCAAGATAAAGTGGGGTTACCGGAGAGGTGGGTGAAGGGATCACACCAAGGAGGCGAAGTATGTCCTCACTTCTCCTTCCTCACAGGGGCCCCAGGCCTTCCAGCTACTTCCTTTTTTTTCTCTTTTCTTTTCCTTCTTTCTCTTTCTTTCTTTTCTTCCTTCCTTCCTTTCTTTCTTTTTTTGCAGTTATTGATGGCTATAGTTTATATGCTAGAAAAGGGTCTTACTTTGGAATATTTTATCAAATTCTCTCCAATAAAATTTGTAGTAGAATATTTTTTATAGTAGAATATTTTAAGATGTGTTACTTTGTTTACATTGCATTTGTTTAACTCTGTGAAGCTGGGTTACTGTGCCTGTCTAAAACACCTGATGGCTTAATAAAGAGCTGAACAGCCAATAGCAAGGCAGGAGAAAGGATAGGTGGGGCTGGCAGGCAGAGAGGATATATAGGAGGAGAAAACTGGGAGGAGAGATCTAAGAGCTAGGAGCCAGAGGAGGAGGAGGACTCCAGGGGCCAGCCACCCAACCACCCAGCCACCCAGCCACCCAGCCACCCAGCTACACAGCAGGCCACAGAGTAAGATTTACAGGAGTAAGAGAACTCAAAAAGCCCAGAAGGAAAAGGTAGTCAGAATAAGTTAAGGAAAGCTGACAAGAAACTAAGCCAAGCTAGGGCCAGGCATGGTAATTAAGAATAAACCTCCATGTGTGATTTATTTGGGAGCTGGGTGGCGCCCCCCCCGCCCAAAAAAAAAGACCAAAGACCAACTAACAACAAAAATTAGCTTGTTTCTAGGAATGGTAGCACTTAATTCCAACACTTGGGAAACAGAGGCAGGCAGTGCTCTGTGAGGTCAAGGCTGGCCTGGTCTCCATGGCAGGTTCCTGGTTAAGAAGGCTATACAGTGAGACCACGTCGCCAAAAAAGAAAGTAGTTTAGGTAATTTTCATCCCCAAAGAGTCTTTCACATTTTTATTCATATATATATACCTGTTTTTAACTGTCCTTCACTTTTCTGTCCCATCAGAGCTCTCCCCATTCGACAGCCAGGGCCGCCCCCAGTTAAGGCCCTTTGGCCGCTCTGCTGCCATGGACTTGCTTTGTGTGGTGTGGGAGCACCTGTGGAGTCCCTGGCCTCCACTGAGCCTGCTTGGCTGCTGGCTCGGGATCTGCTTCCTCTGCAGGGCAGGCCAGAACAGGAAAGTGCCGAGGGGGCCGCCTGATGGAATATTTTGTTAGATTTTGACCTTATAAGTTCAAAGAGACTAAAAGGCCCCAGTGCGTTGTTTTCCCGAACAGAAGTCTGTTTGATGCCTTACCACAGAACCGTTGCTGGATGTCAAGTCTATCTTATAAAAGCCACCAGAGAACAAAGGGAATTTTCTCTAGATTTGGTACACTTCATGGAGGATAGCTTGTGGGAGTCATACTTCATTTTCCAATCAAACAAGGGTTTTGTTTTGTTTTGTTTTTCCATTTGCTCTTTCTGTAGATCTGTCTTTGCTTGTCTCTAAGGCCACTGTGGCTCCTTGAGGCAGAGCACTCACTCCTCAGGAAATCCTGATAAACTGCTGTGGTTCTGAGATCCCTGCTGAGCTCAGACCCACCAGACACAATCCTTCCTCTCAAGAACCTACTTTACACACCCACCCACCTTACCACACATGTGTATACACCCACACCCACACCCACCCTACCACACATGTGAACACACCCACACCCACCCTACCCATCCACATACGGGGGCAGAGAGAGCTAACTGAGCATGGCATAGGCTATTGAAACCTGTAAGCTCACTCCAGGGACACCTCCTCCAACAAGGCCACACCTCCTAATCCTTCCTGTGGGGGGCCCACCCCCACCTTTTACAGGGTTCCTATGAGGAGGAGAGAAGCATAAGGAATTAGTAGATAAAAAGATAGCAGAGTTGAGACAGACAGAAACACAGGATAGCTTCGGAAGGACCTGGATCAAAATCCACTGGCCCCTTCTGGCTCTTCTAAAGGGCTTTTTAAAGGAATGCCAAGGGGCGGGGCAAAAGCCCTCCCCTTGCTAGATCAAAGCACACTGCACATCCAAGTGCAGACCCTTCCAAGCACCTGGTAACCATGCATGTGGTCAATCCATCCCCTTATGCAGCCCTGCTGGGTAAAGCGAGCTCAGATCTCACTAGGAAACCTCTGTGGGCTCCCACACCTTCCCAAACAGTTCCACCAACTGGGGACCAAGTGTTCACATATATGAGCCTAAGGGGGCATTCCCATCCAAATCACCACACTGCCTAACCATGCTTTATGTAACTATCAGTTCCTTAAAGATTCATAAAGGATGGATTTGTTTAACTAGGCGTCTTTTCCATTGGAGACAAGCCCCATCCTCGTGTGTTTTATTTTTCCTAACTTAGCTTCAGGATTTATTTAAGTCTTCACATCCATTATCTTCCCCTGTTCAAGCACCGTGGTGGCATATAGAGGTAAAAACATATAAGCAACCCTCAGAGCTCAGCCTTGTTCCAGGTCATTTCATTAACACAAGTTATCTCTTAGTTACCGGATGTCCGTAGCACAGGGGACTTCCCTCAGTGTGTGTATGTGTGTGTATTTGAAGCTTTGTTGTGAGGGAGGGTGAATCCAAGAAAGGTTATAGCAGATTAAAAATCCCACAGGAAAACATGCTTTACACAATCCATACAGCCCACCATCAGGCTGCTTGGTGGTGATGTTGTGGAGTGATGTCCTTTAGACATTAACTGTGATGAAAAGGTAACTGGATTTACAAATATAAAATGCTTAGACACAATTTCTTCCTTCCTTCCTTCCTTCCTTCCTTCCTTCTTTCCTTCCTTCCTTCCTTGCTTGCTTTTTTGTTTGTTTGTTTTTTGAGACAGGATTTCTCTGTGTAGTCCTGGCTGTCTTCCTGGGACTCACTCTGTAGACCAGGCTGGCCTTGAACTCACAGAGATCTGCCTGCCTCTGCCTCCCGAGTGCTGGGATTAAAAGTGGGCACCACCACTGCCTGGCTAGACACAATTTCTTAATTCTCTGGAAATGGAGTTATAAGGGACTTCTTCTAACATTATGTAACTTTCTATTTTCACAAATTCCACATATGAAACCTATTTAAAATGTATTGCTCTTCAGTAACTGAGGTGAGTTATGAAGCAAATGAGGCTAGCTTCCAGATAACAGGAGGAGAGAGAATCCACTCTTCCCAAGGACCCAGCACATTTTTAGTTTTGTACTTGCTTGACTGATTGAGACAGGGTCTCATTCTGTAGCTCTGGATAGCCTGGAACTTGCTATGTAGACCAGGCTGGCCTTGAACTCTCAGAGTTCTGCTTGCCTCTGCCTCCTGAGTGCCTGGTTAAAGACTTGCACCACCACATCCAGCCTCCCTTTTGCTTTCTAAAATCCTCTTAATAGCATCAGAAAGTGGTGCTCTTCTAATGGCACATTTTAGGAAAACTGTACTTATACTTAGAAATATGTCAATAAAATTGATATAGGAAAGAATAAAACTTAGATAAATAAAGGAAATTGCCCAAGATGCCACGGCTGTGAAATGATACCATGGCATAGTAACCTATATGGTCTTTCTCTATTGTAGCTAATGAAAGGACCCTTGAACTGAGTGGTGGTGGGGGTGTTGGTGGGTGGTGGGTGGTGGTGGTGTGTGTGTGTGTGTGTGTGTGTGTGTGTGTGTGTGTGTGTGTGTGTGTGTAGCTGGAGGAAAACACTAGTGTCCTTCCAAAGCACCATCCATTTCTTTTGTTTATTTTTGAGACAGAGTCTCTCACTGGCCTAGAGCTTGCCAAGTAGGTTAGTTAGTAAGGCCTGGAGATCTACCCATCCCCCGAGTCCTGGGATTACAAGCATGTCCCACCATAGCCAGCTTTTAAACCATGTCTTCTAGGGAGCAAACTCAGATCCTTGTGCATGCAAGACAAGTAATTTATGCAGACTGAGCTATCATTCCAGCCTTGCAGTATTTTTGTGTGGTACCAAGAGCAATTAAATAGGAATATATATATATATATTTATATATATATAAATTCAACAGAGCCAGTATCCTCATGCAGCCAGAGGACTAGAAATGTAGTTCAGGTGTGCCAAGCTCACCGAGCATACGAAACTCTGGGTGTAATCATCAGCACTGAAGAAGATGTACAGACTGATAATAAACAGCTAACTCACTGTCCTGTTCGTCTGTCCCCAGAACTGTCAGCACAGCACAGCTGGGGACCACTGTGAGCACTGCAAGGAAGGTTACTATGGAAACGCCATCCAGGGATCCTGTAGGGTCTGTCCCTGCCCTCATACCAACAGGTACAGTGGGAGTTCACAGTAACCGTGTGCAGTCTGGCACAGGGCTGAGAGCTGTCAAGGAGATAAAGGGTTAAAGAGAAGTGACGGCTAGTGGGCTGTGGGTTGTTCCAGTGATGACAGTGTTCTGAAATCAACCATAGTGGTGGTTGTACAACTCCTCAACTACACTATCGAGCCATTGACTACTATTTGTGGGTAAAATGTATGGTGCGTGAATAATGCTTCACTAAGAAGGTTGGTATGTATATCTATATCTATATCTATATAGATATAGATATATATATGTCATTTCGGTTGTCAGCCTAGCCTTTAATGGTTGAGTCATCTATTTTTTTCTTAATGAACAGACACAAATGCAAGGAAAACCTCAATCATTAAACAGAAACAGTCTTTTAAAATTGTTCCCTTTTGTCTTTTTCCTTTTCTTCTTTCTTTTGCTGCCCACTCAATGATTTAACGAATTTCATGGGCACCGATTATGGGGCCAGGCCTCAGCCTGGCTTTGTACTAGGGACACTGACATATGGTAAAGATGGTGGAATCTGATGTCCCGGGGCTTTACCTGGAGTGGGTCAGGGAAAGAAAGGGTCACCACAACTCACTGCACAAAGTAAGTACATGCAGAAATAAATACGAAGTAGACTATCAGACAGACATGGGCTGTGTGATTGACAATGAGTGACTATATTAGAGAGTGGCCAAGAGGCCATGGCTGGTTAGCAGGGGCATGAATGATGAGTGAAGGAGGCCAAGGCAGCATGTGGGTCCCAGAAGGGAAAGCCTCGTAGGGTCTGGCCCTGTCCTGACACCAATGGGTACTGTAGACACTCACAGTGACAGCTGGTAATCTGAGGTTCTACTGAGAGGGGATGGGAGATGGGGGGCTAAAGAGACAGGTCCACGGACAGACAGGAGGGGCTGGCGTGCACTGAGAGAGAAGGGGGCCCAAGGGCCCTCCTTAATTGGATGCACAATCTTCCAATCACCAAAATGGTGAGTTTTGTGAATGAGAAAGGAAGAGTTTATTCATGAGGCAGTACGGAGACAGGTATGGAACAAGCCTCAGACCCACCTCCCCGAGAGCAGGGTTTGGGACCACTCCTGAAGTAAGGAAGGCAAGGTGAGATGGGATGAGGCAACATTTACCAGTCATCTCTGTGTGCATGGCTGAACGTCATAGGATGCACATTTAGGAAGTGACAGCTTTGGCCTGATCTTAAGGCTGGGTTTTTCTGTACCCTGATGTCAGCGATGTCACCCATGGGACACTTGCACATGCCCAAGAGAACAGTCAGTGGTTCCAATAGAAGCAGCTTTCAAGCCCTGAGAGTCGCCTGGATGATCATTAAGACCCGTGAGTCAGGGGTGTTACCTACAGCTAAGCTCACAGGAGTCTAATAGTGCCACTCACCTGCATGGGCTCCACAGTGGTCATTTGTGTGAGCAGGGGGAGTCTGAGACTGGGTTTCTCTGTGTAGCAGCTCTAACTGTTCTGGAACTTTCTCTGTAGACAGGGCTGGCCTCAAACTCACAAAGATCCACCTGCCCCTGCCTCCCAAGTTCTGGGTTTAAAGGTGTGCGCCACCATGCCCAGCGTAATTTTTTTAAGGAAACAGAAGCAGGTGAAGTGAGAGGGATTCTTCAGGTTTTCTCTCAGTGCCAAGAGGTCTGGAGATGCAGCTGAAGGGTCCAACCAGGACTCAGATTCTAGGACTCTTAACCTTGAAGGCTACAGCCAAGCGGCTGGGTTTACTCCTTGTGATGGAAGGCTTGGGGGAGCCTTTGAGTGATACATTGTTGCTGTCGTTCAGGCCCGGTGTGACTGAGAGATAGCAGGTAGAACAGTCACTGTTTCTTCCTGTCCTTTGGGCCTGGCACACTGTTAACTCTTGTTCATTAGGTCGTGTCCACCAAGGACTCCGAGGAAAGAGTGTCGTAACAGCTAAGTAGAGTAGTAATGGGCTTGAAAATCAAGAAACTGCTCCTATGCGATGCAGACTCAGAAAGAAGAGCAGAGTGCAAAGCAGACTGACTCTGGCCCGGGTCAGATGAACTGACCACATCTTCCTTCTGTCCAAGTCACGTGCCCCAGGGCTGCTGCTGCCCTGGAGAACCCCGTGTCTGAACCATCTGCCTTGCTTTCTATCTATGTGTTTGCGTCCCGTTCAGCCTGCCCGTCCTGCAGCCCTGTTTGTACAGCGGTCTATCACTCCGTGCCTGCCCAGACTTGCACAGACCGAAGAGGAGAACACCAAGAGTTCCCCCAGTGCACTCAGGAGCTTGGTTTTGGGTTAAAGCACAGAGCTGTCAACAAAGCCAGCTCCCAGCTTCGGTGGGGCTGGAGTGCACGCAGACCTTCAGGTTTATCATGACAGCTGTTTTATACCTCTTCCTCCATCAGCTGGAACACCACTGAGAAACTCCCAGCCAGGGAGTCTTCCCAAGCATAACCTCTCCTACTAGACATTCCCTCTGATGTGCATCAGTTTTTAATGTTCCACAAATCTGCAAATCCACACTTTGCAAATCCACATGGCTTCTTTATTTTGGGAGCAAAAAAGATTTCCCGAATATATGTCAGTTTAGAGCTAAAAGAAAAGGAATTGAAATTTTAGGACTTGATTGGAAAACAATATAAATCCACCAGCAAGGGTACCACAGAAATGCCCAAGGGGATGGGGAACTCTGTACTTCTCTCTGGGACTCCCAAGGCCTGACCTGTCTGCCAGGAGTGGGCGCTGTGTGGAAGAAGCTGGGGTAAACAAGGAGACCAGATTTGAAGAGAATCAGGACTTGCTGTTCTCTTTCCTGCCTGGACTTGCATTCCTTCCTTGTTATTCCTGGGGAAACCGTGTTGTAATCATTTCTGCCAGGCTGAGTTACTGGGTCTGTCTCCAGGGAAGGAATGCATTTATCCAAGCCAGAAGGAAAATGCACGTCTGCATTACCCCATTTGTCCGGTGTCAGCTGAGGCCATTCATCAAGCCCTCTGGCGAGTCTCCAGGGGCCAAACTTTATCCCCACACAACTTTCTTCACTCAAAATCTTCCTGACAATGGGTTTCAATTTTTGCTTCATGAAAGCTGGTCTTTTGTGATAGAAAACAATGAGCCCATGGGGTTCTGTTTTCACTGAGGCCTTTTTCCTGTCTTCCTTTGAAGTTTTGCTACTGGCTGTACTGTGGATGGAGGAAATGTGAGGTGTGCCTGCAAACCCGGATACACAGGAGCACAGTGTGAGAGGTAGGTTTCTCCCTGCACCATGTGCCCCTTGCCCATAGCCCCCTTTTTCCAAAATCTGCAGGTGGGGTATGTTGGCAGGTTGGTTTGGAGCTGGTACCCTACTGAGGGCTGAAACAATTGTGGGAAAAATACAAGACTTCCACTCAACAAACCATTGACATTCTCTTCTCTCTTGCTCATCTTTAGAAGTCTGAGGATGAGGTGCACACACCACACGAGCACACATACATGCAGACTTAGATTCTCCCAACACATGCCACTGTGCACCCCGGGCCCCATCCTCGTTCCCACATGTCCTTCCCCATCTCTACACATCCCTCCTCTACCCAGCGTACCCCTAGCCTTGGTCAATACCCCTACACATTCATCCTTCCCCACACCCTTATGTGTTCTTTATATAACTCTCATCTCCCAAAGTCTATATACCATTTCTCCTACATTCTTAAATACTGCTCCCCAAAATATCTGTACATGCTCTTATTCCCATAAAGACTCATTGCTGCGTATGCCCACACCCAAGTGCACACATCTTTATATACCTTTATCCCCACCAATATTTTTTTCTGTATATATAAATAACTTTAATTATAAGTCTACATACACACATAATCCATAGCCTTACACACACACAAAGTGCTCCACACAGTGTATTTTGAACACTCAGGAAAGCCTGTTCATTTCCCAGTCCTTGATGCCTGTGGTGACACTGCTCATATCAGATGTATTTAGTAAAATTCTACTGCTACTAAGGGCTGTGGGAGGGCCAGTGTCTTAGAGATACACTTTAGTTATTCACGGATTGTCTTATGTAGCTTCTATGCACTGGATACTGTGTAGGTTGAATACGGCAAAAGTTGACCCAGGTTCAAATAACTTAACATCCTACCTCTCAATAATCTAAGGGCCGTGTTGCACAAAATACACAAAGTATTTGGTTCCCCTCCCAAATATACCCAGTATGAAATGTTGATTGTCGGGGATGCATGGGACACTAGTCACAAAACCAAGTGGGCGGAGTTGGGTTGCATCTGAAGGGTCAACCAACCAGCCTCTGAGAGCAAAGGATGGAAGAGTCGGCTATATGGAGATGGGAAGGGTGTGTAGGCCAGAGAAGGAGGGCTGGGAAGTTGTTCCAGGTTTTGTGATTTTAAAGTTTGGGGTGCACATCTGGGAGAGGCTCTTCCTAATTTTAGCCTCCTGTGGTTCCACACAAACAGCAAAGAGGCTTGATGAGGCGTCTGTTTGTTTGGCAACTAATTTGAAGAGACATTTTTTAATTAACAATTCTTCTCTCAGCATATGCTACACTTGATGTCTCAAAACAAGTTATTGTTTCTTAATTAAAAGCATCTTTTAATGAGTGCCAGGTTGATGACAGCATTTTTGTTTATTAAACATGATTGCACACCTAGGCATCTTCCACAGCACTGCTTGTTAAGTTTAGAATGACAAGTAAGAAAATCAAGGGTGAGAAGTAGGAATATACTCTAGAGAGAAGTCTGGTTGAACTTGGGGAGGAGTGGCCTGTCTATGATAGGTGCAGACAGGCTTCTAGCCCCTCCCAGGCTCCCTTCTCTCTCCCTCAGCCACAGAGCCACAGACAGGTGTGTTCTCTGCTCTTTATTCCTGTACTAATGTCATCTGGGAAAGCAGGAAGCATTCATCCACTGTGTTTAGCTATAAAGGGAAAATAAGAGAACCAGTTATTTCTTGTAACCAGTAATGTATTCTTTGTAAGAACAGGGAAGAAGAATTAAATGCCCCGATTCTTTTTATGACCTTATAAAGGGTATGTTGTACTTTTGATCTTTTCTTCAGAAACTTTAGATATAGGTGAGAAATGAGAATAAAGTATTTTAGGGCATAGATCTTCTGCAGAATAGACGAACACGGGACTGGTCAGTATGTAAGGCCGCAGTACTAGCATTTTACCCCCCTGCTTTGTAGGTTTGGATAAACCACCTCACCCTTGTTAATAAGGAAGAGTGTGTGAGTATCTGCCTTCCTGTCTGCTTTCTGAAATGTAGTAATAACCAGTGATACTGATTGTAAAATGACTGTTGCATCCCACCTTATGATCGTGGGTGTTTTAGTGAGTGCCTATATGTGAAGGCTGATAGATTATTACTAATATCATTTATGTCCATTGATCAGTGTGGGCATTATTAGTCATCCATTGATCCATCCATCCCTCCATCCATGACACACCTGCTTGGCTCCTGGTATGTGACAGGCAGCACTGTGGATCCCAGAGATGAGCAGTGAGCAAACCCTCAGTGTCTTTATGGAACTTACATTTTCCTGAGGGCATCCGATGGTCAACTGGAACTCAAAGGACCATGGCAGCCCAAGACACAGCACAGGGGCACAGGCAGGTCCAGCCAGCTGTTTCCAGTCCAGGATCTACATTCCCTGCAGACACCACCAGGGTACCTTTGGGAACATGTGCTACAAATGGCTGGGGTTTTATTATAATTATTATTCAAGACTTAAACTTTGGAAAAAGGGTTAACACGTTTCCTCGAGTCTATCATCTCCGTTATGTTGACATACTATATATCAGTTTACTGAAAATTCAACTTCCTCATATGGGGAAATATTAATAAATAGAAATATCTTAATTGACTTCCCAGTATTAGAATTTAACATTTTTTTTTACTAACTGAATTTAAGTGTCAAGGGCACATGACCTTTAAACGTTGAGGTTTGGACTTGACTTGTACTGTGTTATCTAGAATGACAGTGGCCCAGGTCCAGAGGCAGCAGCTGTGACTCCCATCAATAACATCGCGTTCTTGTATCCCCCACTGCTGGAATGAGCAGACATATAGATCACACAGCCTTGAAATCACACATTGGGAAATACAGAAATTCTTCTCCCTGTGAAAATTTGAATCTCCTAGATTTATTTCTATGAATATGCTGGCTTCATATTAAACAATATTTATGTGATGTCTTCAGGAGCATAACTCAGTAAAATCCAGCCCACCCTTCTGTGTTGATCAAACCATCTATCCTCTGCCATTCAGCTACTGAGCAGTCGGTAGCAGGGGCAGCTGGGAGGCAAAGGAGCAATCCCCGTCTGACTTCTACCCTTAGCAGCCTCAGTCATGGGATAAAATAAACACGCCCTTTAAGGAATGTTCGTTCTCACCAGCCTGGGTCACTTTTCCTATTACGCAGCTATGGTGTCTCAAATCGGGAAAATAAGGTGGATAAATGATAGTTATTTGAGTGTTTCTTAGCCTTTCCGTGTTTTGTGTAGGTGTGCGCCAGGGTATTTTGGGAATCCCCAGAAGTTTGGAGGTAGCTGCCAACCCTGCACCTGTAACAGCAATGGCCAGTTAGGCACTTGCGACCCCCTGACTGGAGGTGAGTTCGATGCACAGCCCCGACCTCAGTCTTAAAGCTTCTGTGAGACAACAGTCTAACGAGCAAAGCACAGCACTCTAGCTCACAGATTGTCCCTCCCCTGACAGTCCTGTGAGTGCTGGGGGATTATTGGTAGTTTTGAGGAACAATTACTTCAATGTTTTTAAGTAGATTGTTTTAAAACCCCAATGATTTGTAGCTTAAATAACTTTAGACCCACTTTGGTGATTTTACTGAGATGTTCCTGGGACACTGTAGTTTTTCTTTTTAACAACTTTATTTTAAAGTTATGTGTATATGTGTGTCTGAGAGTATGTACACGTGAGCACCAGTGTCAGTGGGGGTGAGAGACATAGACTCCCCCGAGAACTGGAGTTACAGTTAGACAACCTGAGTGGGTGCTGGGACTTGAACTCAGGTCCTTGGCAAAGTAGCTCTTTACCACTGAGCTCTCTCTAGCCCCACGCTACAGTTATTTCTCCGTCAGCTCTTTCTATGCGAGCCTGGGGAAATTAAAGTGTTCTGTGTGTGTGTGTGTGTGTGTGTGTGTGTGTGTGTGTGTGTGTGTGTGTGTGTTTGAGACAAGGTTTCTCTGTGTAGCGGCTCTGGCTGTCATAGAACTCGCTCTATAGACCAGGCTGGCCTCAGACTCACTGAGATCCTCCTGCCTCTGCCTCATGAGTGCTGGGATTAAAGGCATGTGCCACCACCGCTCAGCTGTTCTTTCTTTCTTAGCTATACAAGTTCTGGGATGTGTTCAAGTCAGAGGTTTGGATAGTATGTACTGTGTGAAAGATAATTTGTCACAGTTTGTATGGATTCATTCAGAAAAACTTGGAACAGAACAGAAGAATATTCTCTTCTTTCATAGAAAATGCTGAAAAGATGTGTTAGGAAAGCAGCATAGATGTACTTAGGTGAACTCTCTCACGATTGTGGGCAACTTGAAGAACTAAACTGGGAATGTGCAGGTTATAGCAGATCAAGCAACTGTTCCCAAACCAAGACAGAACAAACTGGTTAACACCAGTTGTTAGATTGGAGCAGTCATTCAGAAGTTCAAGTCTGGCCTAGGCAACTTAGTGAGACCCTGTTTTTTCAAAGTAACAAGGAACTGGAGATGTCTCAGTGTTTAAGAGTGATAGCTGCTCTTCCAAAGGACCTGGGCTCAGTTCCCACCCTGCACATCAGGAAGCTCACAACTGTAACTCCAGCTTTAGGGGATCCAGTGCCCTCTTCTGGCCTTCACAGGTATCTGTATAGATGAGGCACACACACACACACACGCACGCACGCACGTACACACACACACACACACACACACACACACACACACACACAAAACAAGTCTTAAAAAAACAAAAATAACCTGAGTAACAAGAGGACTGACGATGTCACTCAGTGGCTGAGTGATGGTCTGATGTGTGAGACCCCAGCTGAATCTCTACCAAAAGAGAAAAAGGAAAGTAAGACATGCCATTCATGAGAAATGCCCGTCTTAGAAAAGAATTAGTGAAGGAGGCCACCAAGGAAGTCCGCGCTCATGGCAATGGCATGGTGAAAGTGGAAAGCAGGGGCCAGTGACACCTTTGTGACTGGGCAACTAAAACCTTCCAAAATGGGCTTTTCTGAAACCAAGTTAAAAGGCAGATGAAGACCAAGTAAATTAAAATGTCTTTTTTTTCCTCCTGACTTTAGACTGTGTAAGCCAAGAACCCAAAGACGGCAGCCCTGCAGAAGAATGCGATGGTGAGAAATGAAAATCCTTCCCTGCCTTTCCCAAGCTGTGTTTCATTTAAGATGCGTGAGTGCTGGACTGGACTTGGGCACTTGCTAGTCTGGGAAAACAAAACAAGAGGACAGGGAAGGACAATATTGGCTCAGATCCTGCCCCATCAACTCTTAGCTGTCTACCATCCACAGGCCACTTTACCTCTCCAAGTCTCAGTTACGTATAGAATGGACACAGAATGCCCACCTCATACAACTTCTGGGGACCTTCTGAGGATGTCTTATCACTTAACATAGTGTCTAATCATCTGTGTGTAGTGGCACACGTCTGCAATCTCATCACATGGGATACTGAGGCATGAGGATGACTAATTTGATGTAGCTTGGGCTATTTAGTGAAACCCAGTCTCAAAACCAATCAACAAAAATAGTCGTTAGCAGATACCCTATAAACAAAGGGTGACCACAGGTAAAATAAGCAACAAGCTGCTAAGATGCACCATTTCTAGTAAAAACGCTCTCGCACATACAATTCTTTCTTCTACAGAGCGCACATCCCCCCGTGAGCCATGGAGGGGTGTGACTTCTGCCTGTGATCATCTGTGTTTGAGGAGGCAGGTTACAGAGCCCTGCTGTTCTCTGTGGCTTTTCTGGGCTGCAGCCTACAGCATAACCTACAGTATATCTGGCTTTCCCTATGGCCCCTGCAGACTGTGACAGCTGTGTGATGACACTCTTGAATGACTTGGCCACCATGGGTGAGGAACTCCGCCTAGTGAAGTCAAAGCTGCAGGGCCTGAGTGTGAGCGCTGGTGTTCTAGAACAGATCCGGCACGTGGAGACGCAGGCCAAGGACCTGAGGGTAAGCCTTCGGTGGGGATCCAGACTGGTGTTTAGTGAGTGTGGCTGGGCCTTGCTCTGTACTGGGGAATCGGTCCTGGGACCCTCTATGGGAAACCAAACCTGCAGATGCTCACATCCCTAATATGACATGGCCTAGGACTTTCTTAAGACCCAGCACTCTGGCTTGTAAACTTTACATCATCTCTAGATTACTTATAACAATGAATAAGTATAAATCCATCCAAATAACCATTCTACCACATTGTTTAAGGAATAATGAGGAAAAAAACACTACATGTTCAGTACAAATACTTTTTTTTCCCCCAAAACCTTTGGACCTGGTGGAATCCATGGACATAGAACCATGGGTGCAGAGAGCTGGATGTAGAGTGTGTGTTAATGTCTGCTCCTTAGACAGGAATCGGGGTACAGGCGACTCCACTTAAAACTCAAGGGTTTTTTATCCCCCTGATACAGATGAAGAGTCAGTTCTCACCAGTGAGAAGTGCTCACCAACACACAGGTCTGACACTTGTGAGTTCATTGCTCACTGAACAATCCTGAGCTTTCTTTCTCATAAAGCGTTCAGCTCCGTGTCTTGCATTCAGAAGACTCAAACACGGGCTTCTTCAAAGCTAGTATTATTCCTCTTAAAATAGTTGCTAGAATTTTCTAGGGAAGTTATGTGAGCCTAGGTGGTCCTTAGATGGTTCTTCTTTTAATAATCAGTGTTTTGAATTTGTACAAAAGATAGTAGACTCATTAGCTCATTTATTTCTTCATGAGTAAGAGTTGGTTGTAGGTCCCTTTTAGATAATGGGTCCCTTTCACCTAAATGACCAAATGTACTCACTCCAAATAGTTCAGAAGTCCTTTCCTGTTCCCTTAAGATCTGTAAAATCTGCAGTGTGCCCCCTTGCCATTCATTCCCAGGGTTGGAATTTTTTACCTCATCTCTTTCTCTTGATTATCAACTTCATTGATTATTTTTTCTATTTCATCAACTTTTCTGTGTTCAATTTTTCTGATTTTTACCTTTTATCATTCAAGGCATTAATATTTATTGTTATTATTAATGGATATTTTATTAATGCTTTGAGAATTAATTGATATTTTATTAATTCTTTGAGAATTTCTTACAGTGTATTTTGATCATATTCATTCTCTTACCCCCACCTACCTATGTCCCATAACTTCATGTCCTTTTTTGTTAAAAAAACAACCAACCAGTTGACTCCAATATGTGTTATTCCTGAGTGTGAGGCCACTATTCAAGCACGGTAAACCTACTAGGACCCACATCCTCAACTAAAATGGACTCTCCCTCCTCCAGAAGCCATCAACTGACAGTATTTCCTCATGAACCCCTTCCCATTCCATGCTGGAATGTTGATTGGCTTGACCTTGTACAGAGAGCCCCAGCTGCTGTGGGTTCATGAGTGTGGTGGTTCTGCATGACCTGAAGACTGTTCCAGGCTGATTGCCCCTGACGCTGGCTCTTACAGACTCTCCACTCCTCTTCCACAATGATCCCAAGTCTAAGAGGAACGGAGTCATGTAGGCATCCCATTTGTGTTGAGCACTCAGCTGACACTCTCTGTGTACTATGACCAGTTCTGAGTTTCTGTGTTAACTACCAACCACTGCACAAAGAACCTCTCTGCTGAGCTGAGAGCTGACTAATCTTTACATTGAGAGATACAAATTTTTCTCAGGTCATGGAGAAATCAAGTTGGTACTGACCAGGAAGCCTCTTCCTTGGTGAGTGGCTATCATAGTGCTCAGAGGTTCTCTGCAGGCTACTGTGGAGAAAACAGTCACCAACCATCTTAGCCAGCTCTGAACCATACACACTACAATAATGACCAGCATGGCAAGATACGTCCGTGGGTGCAAGCGTGCAAAAATGTCAGGGGGACCAGCTAGGAGGGAGGTATGGCTGGTATAGTGAATCTGGTCAAGAACCAGACTGCGGATTTCAAGGGCGCTACTACTATTAGCCTCAAGGGTGCTACTATTATTCTGCTAAATGGGCATACTATCAGACTTAACTGATTTCTACTCTTACCCATATATTTAACTGCTTCTTTCTATATTCTGTGGAATAATTTGTTATTCATTTTCTAGTTTCTTATGATCAAAGCTTATTTTACTGATTTAAAACTTTATTGTTACTAACATAAGGATTTATTGCTGTGAAGAAATGCTTCTCTTAAATACTACTTTTCCTGTATTGCTTAAATACTACTTCATAGTATTGTTTTCATTCTCATTCAATTCAAAACACATTTCTATTTCCCTGTGATGTATGAATAACCCATAATAATTTAGAAGTGTGTTGTTAAATCTAGATCAGAGATTTTTTTCTAATGGCTTTCTAGTGTTGATTTATAATTTGATTCTTTTGTGGTCAGAAGCAAACTATGTAAGATTTCAATGCCTTTGGATGTGTTGAGGTTTGTTCCAAAGCTGGGATATTGTCCATCTGGGTCAGTGCTCTCAGTGTCCTTGGAAATAAGGGAGTTAGGAGGGTATTATGAGAAGTGGTGGGGCCACAGGCCTGAGCCAAGCTTTCTCAAGTAATCCTGAGGGTTACTCTTCCCATTAATGAAGGCTGAACACAAAACCTTGAAACTGTCCAATGCCCTTTGTTGGCAAAAGGAGAAAAGAGGTGGGCCATGGGAGTCCTAGTCTTCTGACAAGGACCTAGACAAGCCCAGAAGCCTGATCCATGCTGGAAAATGACATCCTCAAGCCTGGATTCATGCTGGAAATCACATCCTCAACATCATCATAGTATGCGAGTTCTGAACTGCTAATGTATGCCTGGCCTTAGACTCAGGGAACAAGGTTTCGTGTTAGGGGCTGTGATAGCTATGAGATCACTAGAGATGATGGAGTGAGTGTGGAGGAGGGAGAACACTCCCAGTGATTGATTGAGTCTGCAAATGTTCAACAGACACATTAACCAGAAATGCAGCAGAGAAGAGATGAGGGCACTTTAGAGAAATGAGAATAACTGGACAGTCTGAAAATTTCTTGAAAGAATAGCATCCATTAGAAGAAATGAGAAATGAGATGTGGAGAAAATCTCACTTGAAATCAAGTAAGGAGAGATGAGAAGACCTGACTGAAAATCACTGAAATGGAAAAATATGGTTATTGAAGTACAAGAATTGATGAGGTAAAGCCTAGGCTAGACACAGTGGAAGAGGCTTTGGGTGAAGGTTAGTGAGTGCTTTTGGAATGAGAACTGATGCCAGTGGCTCCGTCTGAAAGTAATTCTGGAAGAGTGTTCCTTTTCATCCCTTAAGGAATTCGACTCCGTGGTTTATGGGTTTAATATAGAGAAGGAAACGACTCTTTCTGTGGTGAGAGAAAAGGAAGCTCTGTGAGGTAGTTGCTTTATTTGGTGTCTCTGCATGGATGCTGTATGCCAGGCACTGTTTTGTGTCTCACTCACAAGATGGAGAAAAAGTGCTTTCATTTAGCCGACATGTAGATGCTGTAAGAACAACAGCATATTCACACAGCTGGAATTCAAACCCAAAGTCTAAAGACCACGCTTTGCTCCCCACCTTTACCCGTGGCCGCTCAGTGGTGCTTGGCTTTCCCACTGGTCTATGTGTCTTACTGCTCTGCCACACAAATTCTGAGACAGCTCAATGAAAACGAACTAACATTTTTGCACGCTCATGAGTACATACCTACACCCAGTGGTTTAGAATACCCTCATTGTAGTGTCAGACTCACTGCTAAGCTGCAGACCTGGGTTTGGTTTTCTCTGCATTGTCTCTGACATACAGACGGAGGCAATAGAATCATTTTATTTAAATCTCTCTTTCAAGGTATTACATCCCTCCTCCAAAAATTAAAAATAATCCCTATTCTAGAGCCAGGCAGTATAGCACGAATCTTAAAAGATCTTATTAATAAAAACAAACCCAGAGCCAGGTATTGGGGTGAATGCTGAAAGATCAGAGAAACTGAATAAGCCACAGCTAACCTCATCTCACCAATTCCTCAGCTGATCCTGTTTCCTCAGACTGGAAGCCTCTGAGTCCTTATCCAAATGGATCTCAACTGAGCTGCTGCTAAAAGCCTAAAAGTTTAACAGACTCTAGTTCCTGATCCTCACACCTTATATACCTTTCTGCTTCCTGTCATTACTTCCTGGGATTAAAGGCGTGTGTCACCATGCCTGGCTGTTTCCAGTGTGGCTTTGAACTCACAGAGATCCAGTTGGATCTCTGCCTTCAGAATGCTAGGATTAAAGGTGTGTGTGCCACTATTTTCTGGCCTCTATATCTAGTGGCTGTTCTGTTCTCTGACCCCAGATAAGTTTATTAGGGTGCACGATATATTGGGAGACACAATATCACCACAGGGTGGTGGTGGTGCACGCCTTTAATCCCAGCACTTGGGAGGCAGAGCCAGGCAGATCTCTGTGAATTCGTGGCCAGCATGGTCTGCAGAGAAAGATCCAGGACAGGCACCAAAACAACACAGAGAAACCCTGTCTCAAAAAACCAAAAGAAAAAAAGAAAGAAAGAAAGAAAGAAAGATCCCTATTCTAAATATGTGTGGCAATGTCACCTTTAAAAGTAATATGGCAATTCAGTAATAATATAACAGCAATAAAATGAATAGGGAACTGGATTGTGACCCAACACAATCAATCAGTGATCAGCTGTGCTGCCACAGACACGTCATCCAATTTCCTTGAGAATACCAACTTCTCATTTGAATGTGAGGACATCCAACTATATCCACTCAGAATTCCCCTACAGTGAGACGGGCCTCTTTGAATATAAAGGTTCTTTCAGCGCAAATAGCTATATGTACTGCTTTTATAAGGCAAAGTCATTAATTCAAGTAAAAAATATCTCTCGTCTTTGGATTTGCTGTAGTTTGGGTCTTTAGTGCCCCCCTCTCCCCAACGCCTAAGCTCTGAAGGGATGTTCCAAGTGTAAGGGATGGTGGTAGGTGTTTCAGGATTGGGCGCATGCTCTCCAGGGGGCTTCGTCGGACCCCAGCTCCTCCTCTCCCTCAGTTTCATCCCCTTGCTCACAATGTGCTTCTACTGTGAAGCGCTACCTCGCAGGGACCCAAGGCCATGGGGCTAAAGCCCCTAAAACTGAGCCAGGAGAAGCCTTTTCTTTGTCAGTTGATTATCTTTTATTTATAATTTATTAAATTGATTGTAGTGGTGGAAAGAGGGCCAACATATTTGCTTTACTTCACAACCGTATCATAATTTACGTCAGAAAGTAGATTCATCTTGTAGGTTACTTCTAAGAACCCCCTCCTCCCCGCCCCCTCCCCCCATGGAGCCAGCGTTGGGCTTGTGGAAGGAACTTAGACGGCTGGGCAATGTCTGCTCTGAAGGGTTTAGCTCTGCGTCTGCTTTCAGAACCAGCTGCTGGGCTTCCGTTCTGCCATCTCAAGCCACGGGTCCAAACTGGACGGCCTGGAAAAAGAACTGGGCCATCTGAACCGTGAATTTGAGACTGTCCAGGAAAAGGTGATGTATTGAGTCAATTCCCTTAACCCTTTCCTCCCTTGTGGATATTTTCTGTTTCCTGTTCCCTTTTACTCTAATTCACTCCTAATGAGTTTACTTTCCATGTAGGCACAAGTCAATTCCAGAAAAGCACAAACATTATACAACAACATTGATCGGACAACCCAAAGCGCCAAAGAATTGGACACGAAGATTAAAAACGTCATCCAGAATGTGCACAGTAAGAAAAGTTACCCAGCCCAATTAAAACCTATTGCTTAACCTTTGTTGTGTGCTGAATGAAGAGTTTATTTTTGAGAGCGCCGTGTTATGAAAGAAGATCCCACTGTGATACTTAGAGATGAACAGGACTCTCCACAAAGCTCCCAGAACCCCCAGTTTAATAAGCTTCTTGATGTTTTCCAGTTCTCCTGAAGCAGATCGCCAGGCCAGGCGGAGAAGGAGCGGACATGCTGGTGGGCGACCGGTCCAGGGAGCTGGCAGAAGCCCAGCGCATGATGTGGGAGCTTCGAGGCCGAGACTTCAGAAAGCACCTCAGAGAAGCCGAGGCCGAGAAAACAGAAGCCCAGCGCCGTAAGGCCAGCCCCGATTCCTGTGTCCACTCTAATCAACTCGAAATGCCATATTCTAAGGGCCGAGCTCTGGGCTGTGGGAGGAAGGTCTCGTTTCGGCAAACCTTGCTAGAGGCCGCAGTGGGAATGGGGCTGCCCCTTTTGGCCCTAGAGCCCAGTCTTTTCTTCAAGTTTCCAAGAGGCATGACATCCTACCACGGTGTAAATGACCGCAAAAATGACCCTAAAATTAAAATATGTGTGCCTTGTCCTCCCCCACGTTTTTGTCTTTGAGGTGAAGTCTCACTCTTTAGCCCAGGCTGGCCCAAACTCTGGTAGTCCTCCAGCTTCAGGCTTCTGAGTCCTGGTCCTGCGGGCATGGGCCACCATGAGTGGCCCTTTCATCTGTACAAACCTCTTTCTGGTGACAATTTCCTCTTTTCTAATTCTCTTGCAGACGCCATTCTTGCCCCTCACTTTGGAGATAGTGTCTCACTCCATAGCCCGGAATGGCTTTGATGTGCAGTCCTACCACCCCAGCGTCTCACGTGTTGAGATTACTGGCATGAGCCACCAAGCTTAGCTCCATTAAACCATTTTTAAAGATTATTACTTTACCACTGCTGAATTTTTTTAATCACAAAATTAACATTGGCACTATTATTATAAAACAATGCCCAAACCAAATATCTGAGTAACTAGGTATATGTAAACGTAGAGAAAATGCCTTTCTGGGTCAAAAATAACCATATTAATTTACCATATATCTTTCATATGGATATTTATTCTCTGGTAAAATGATGTATCTAGGGCACATGTGCAGGTTGTAGCCGATATGTGACATTTGTGCTAGTCAACATTAATCCTTGCTTTTAGCAGTGGAAGAATCATGGCCTTCTATTCTGCTCAACTCCTACACTGGTCATTTATCCTTCCGACTGTCTTCTCTTCAGTAATGAGAATGATAGCCACTGCGCTTGTGTGCTTCTCATGGTAGCCAAAAGGCAGTGCATGAGTGCACGTGATAGGTCTCTGTAGGTGAGCTTTGCCGTCCTGTTCCCTCCAAGGCTGTGGGAAGCATCGTGGAGTGAGCAGGAAGGCAGCTCTCTTTCTGTTGTTCTGACACCTGGCTTAAGCAAACTCATCTCTCAGGTGAAAATCGGAAATTGTGTTGCAGTGCTGAACCGGCTCAGGACCTGGCTGGAAACCCACCAGGTGGAGAACAATGGACTGCTAAGGAATATTCGGGATTCGCTAAATGATTATGAAGCCAAACTTCAGGACCTGCGTGCTGTTCTCCAGGAGGCCGCTGCCCAGGCAAAGCAAGCCACTGGCCTCAACCGTGAAAATGAGGGGGTTCTAGGAGCCATCCAGGTGAGCCACAGGCAGAAGCCTCCTCATGCTTTCATTAACGGTAGGGCTGAAGGGAACGGGAGGCATGACCAGGCACCTGTCTGGTTTTTCTACCTCAGACCCTGATCAGACAGGAGTGAGGCATTAACTGCAGGAGAAGTCCCCTCACTTCCCCAATTCAGAGGACTCTGAAACCTCTGGCAGAGTCTCACTAACTGCCACAGCCTGCCCATGGCTGGGGAACATCAGAGGGATTGGTTGCTGAGTGAATGAGAAATTCATCAATTGTTTGAAACAGTTATCTACCTGTTTATAGGAAAGATGCAGAAGGATAGGTCACATGCCATTATAATGGCAGAATTTTGAGATTAAGGTTTCAGCACATACACACATACACATAAGAGAGACAGACCACACACACACAAGAGACACACAGAGACACATATACATATAGACATACAGACACTCATACACACACAAACACATACGATAGATAGATAGATAGATAGATAGATAGATAGATAGATAGATAGATAGATGATAGATGATAGATGCAGGCAGGTAGAGACTTTCTTTTTGGCACATTTGGAATCAGACCCAGGGTCTCATGTTAGGCGACTATTTTAAAATCAAGCCAACACCCCAGCCCTATAGTTTATATTTTTGATGGTGACTATCCTATACCAAAACAACAAAGACAAACAAAAAGATACATGAAGGGTTGTCAATGACAGACCGGAATTGAATAACATGAATGGCACCCAAAGAGGAGGAACCTGATAAACACAAACCAGCGTCACCTTAGTGGGTGATGCGCCCAGCTCAGTGCTGTCCTGGATAGCACTGCCTCTGTTTGAATCTCTGGGGATGCCAGGGAAGAGGGCACGCTCCAGCAGTGTGGGCCCCAGCCTCTACGCCGTCTAGCCTGGCAGACTCCTGCCCTGTGCCGCTGTCTTTCGTTCAGAGGACTGTTGCGTGCTCACTGGGACCAGTGTGTGGAGTGATTGGCCCGGGTTCGTTTATTTAGTTGAAATCTTATGTTCTGTTCTCCAAAGCAGATCTTAATAACATGCCCCACCTCACCGGTGGAGTGCCCAGTGTATGACTTCTTCAGCCGTGCTGGCAGAGGATACCATGATAACGTAGCAACGTGGGAATCCAGGCCCCATCACTTAGAGCAGGCTAGGCTACTGTCAGCTTCGAGAAAACATTGGACTCTGACTTATTTCCTGTTGTTTCGTAAACATGTCTGTGCTTTCTGCTAATGTGTCGTGGAATGTGTGCACATGGGCTCTTTTATTCTCTCCAGAGACAAATGAAAGAAATGAATTCCCTGAAGAATGATTTCACCAAGTACCTGGCCACGGCAGACTCTTCCCTGCTCCAGACCAACAATCTCCTGCAGCAGATGGACAAAAGCCAGAAGGTAGCAGACTCTGGTTCTCTAGAAACATCCAAACTAGTCGAATGCTATTGTCAGGAGACAGTGCAACAGGCGAACCTATTGACTTTTGAGTACATCCCTTTAGACAGAGCTCTCTGCTGGGAGAGGGGGATGAATGCTGGGCTTCCCTTAAGTCTGTCCACATTACCTCATTTGTCCACAATGAGCAAGTCACTTTTGTGGTAACAAGCATTGCAATGCTATTTTAAAAATATCAAACATGCCTTTCTTGATGGAAGACATCAAAGACTTGATAAAAGCCTGACAGACTTCTTAGTAGCCTTGTGGGCATTTTGAAATAATCTTTCCCAGTGTCTATTTCTATATCATAAGTAGCCCTTCCATTTAGCTGAACCTCACCTTGATGATGACATTGTAACTCTATAAACCTTGTAAAGATGGTGCCCATCAGAAGGAAGATATTCAAGACGATGTCAAAACTTGAGTTATAGTCAATGGCACTATCTGAACTATGGATAAGTTGATATGATAAAAATGACAGAAAATAGAAATTCTCATTAGAACATCATTTATGAGGGAGTTTGAGAAAATGACATACATGTTCACTGCTTGAATAGATGTTGTTTATTTGGAAAAAATAGGAATATGAAAGCTTAGCTGTGGCTTTAAATGGAGCAAGACAGGAGCTAAGCAGCAAAGTGCAAGAGCTCTCCAGATCTGCCAGCAAAACATCCCTGGTAGTGGAGGCCGAGAAGCATGCGCAGTCTTTACAGGATCTGGCAAAGCAGCTGGAAGAGTGAGTGCCTGGCTGCAGAGGTCCAGATATCATGGGTTGATTGAGTATCAAGCAAGGTCCTCACTGGGCTGGCTAGGACCCGGGAACAGGGTGGAGGGCTAGACCAAGGCCAAAGCCCCATCCAGAACCCATAGACCAAGTCAAAACCAGACTTGCGGTGAGATCTGTCCCTCAGTTGTGTCCTGGGGACAGAGTAGCAAGTGCACAGCATATGTTGCGCAGTCATTGGGAGGATGGCATCCCCAGGCAGAGAAAGGATGCTGGATGACCTACCCCCACCCTGTATCATCTTCCAGGATAAAGAGAAACACCAGCGGGGATGAGCTGGTACGCTGTGCTGTGGATGCGGCCACCGCCTACGAGAACATCCTCAATGCCATCAGAGCAGCGGAGGATGCAGCCAACAAGGCTGCCAGCGCCTCGGAGTCTGCCCTCCAAGTGGGTCCCTGGAGCTGCACCGGCTTGCTGGACTGGCTCTGGGGGCAGCTCATTTTCTTACTCTCCTATGCACGGAACAGTATTAAAAATTATTTACTTAAACTCAGAGCTTATTCTAGGTATAGACTTGAGTTTGTTCTTGGTATAGACCATTTCTGCATTTACTGTTTGATATCAAGAGTGTGATTTAAGTGTATTTGTACAATCAGATAGAAAACATACCACTGCCAATCTTGAACCTAAACAGATAGTGTATCCTGCTTTTCACTAGGTGTTTTTATGCCTTGGTTAATAATTGATGTTCACCAAAAGAAAGATTTTGGGAATTAACTGGATTGCCATTTCTTTTTACCGATTTGGTCTTAAATCTGGGCATGTCTGTAGAGGCCTACAGGATCTTTGGTGCACTGTATAATATCTCCATATACAAGAAATAAAGGATAGAGAACTCAGTATTAGAGTTGGGAAGCTGGGCCTTGAAAGATCAAAGACTTTCAGGTTTCAAGGCTTGAAAGCCTCAAGGCAAGTAAATGATTGCAGGGGTTTCGTAGGGGCTTTGGCCATGTGTCACCAGAGATCAGGCCAGCTCCCCAAGCCACAGGCGCACGTCTACCCAGAGATCAGCCCAGCTCCCCAAGCCACAGGCGCACGTCTACCCAGAGATCAGGCCAGCTCCCCAAGCCACAGGCGCACATCTACCTAGAGATCAGCCCAGCTCCCCAAGCTACAGGCGCACGTCTACCTAGAGATCAGCCCAGCTCCCCAAGTCACTGGTGCACGTCTACCCAGAGATCAGCCCAGCTCCCCAAGTCACTGGTGCACGTCTACCCAGAGATCAGCCCGGCTCTGGAAGTCACTGGTGCACGTTTACCTAGAGATCAGCCCAGCTCCCCAAGCCACAGGCGCATGTCTACCCAGAGATCAGGCCAGCTCCCCAAGTCACAGGCACACGTCTACCTAGAGATCAGCCCAGTTCCCCAAGTCACAAGTGCACGTCTACCTAGAGATCAGGCCAGCTCCCCAAGCCATAGGCGCACGTCTACCTAGAGTCCTAACCGCATCGTTAGGCAACAGTGTGCAATTCATTCTTTCAAATCTTGTTCTTTAAAGATTAAAGATAAGGGATTAGGGCCAGGGGTGAAAAGTCTTACTCTGTGTTTGCTAAGGTATAGTGTCTGCTCAAGGCTGATAAACATTTCCCTTTCAGACACTGACAAAGGAAGATCTTCCCAGAAGAGCTAAGACCCTGAGTTCCGACAGCGACGAGCTGTTAAACGAATCCAAGATAACGCAGAAGAAGCTACAGCAAGGTATCAGAAGGGTGGCGGCAGGGACAGTCAAGGCAGCCTGTGGGGTGTGGGGGCGGGCGGACGCCAGCGTAAAGGACACGTCTGCACTCACAGTTTATGTTATCAGTGCCGTGCATTTACCAAGAGTCCTAAACAGCCCCTATCCATCCTGCATGGACTTGACTCAGGTCTCATACAGATGAAGAAGTCTTGCGAATGCTAGCCTTCCTTGGTCTGACTTTGGAGGTACTCTTAGTTAATCCACTGGTGACGCTGGCAGTGGGAGCCACATATGAAGGCCGCTCATTCCGGGTTATTACAGCAACTGCTTCAAGATACCAAAAGTCCTAAAATCTTAGCAACTGAAAGTGTCCAAAAATACTGCTAACATGGGCCATGAGAAAATTTAAGCATCTTTGGTAATTTTTCATCTTATGTACTTAAAAAGTAATTAAATTGTCTTAACATGAGATGTAGCTCAAGGGTAGAGGCTTTGGGACACAGGGATAGAAGCCATCTGAAACTCAGCAGTCCCCAAGCTTTGAAAATGCTGCTCTTGAAATGTTATGGTCTCTCCCAGGAAGCCATGGCCAGGCGGGTATCTGGACTCTCCATCCTCGCTCAGCTACCCTGTCCATTCTGAGGGCTAGATGAAGACTCTGTAAATTTGCTTACTAAATATTTTTGAAAATCAAATGCACAAAAAGTAAAACCCTGACCAAGTGTGTTCTGATATGCAATCATTAATCAACATTAAGATGGTAGGGAATTAGGTCTGTCTTCATTACACAAGTCTAGAGTTGGATTGGTATGTTTGTGGTTGTTTGCTTTCCGTGGCTGTGAATTGAACTCAGGGCCTTGAACATGCTAAGCATGCCCTCTGTCCATTCTCCTCTCTGTACCTCTTCAGTGCTAGCGTGGTGTGGCTGTGGCAAAGGTAGGTGTTTTAAGTAGGGTGGAATACTGACTATGTTGCTAACTAAAACAGTCCTGGAGTCATAAAGAGCCATGTGTCACCAGCATGGTGTTAATACACTGGCCAGTCACTTCCTACATCCCAAAGATGGCTGCATTGCCAGCCAGGGATGTGGATTTGGACCGTCTTGTTCATCGGTTTGTTTTTGATGTGTCACTTGGAGCTTCTCTGGGGAGAACCCTAAGGACAGGTCCTTTCATTGTTCTGCAGGGGCAGAAACAGACATTCACTTTGTGTCCTTTGTGTGAGGCTCTCTCAAGAACAGTCTTGTCTTGGCCTCAAGGCATCCTTTCTGCATCATTCATTTGTTCGCTCCAGCATTCATTCCTTGAACAAGTGTTCAGTAGCATTAAGTCCCAGCCGGTGCCAGCCGCACACTGTGTGTTAGGACACCTCTTCAGCAAGCTTCCTCTGCTGAGGTCGGAGTGGAAGTCCAGCTGTCCCCTGAGCTATTCTGCATCCCTCCTCTGTGTGTGTCCTTTCAGCTGGTCACCACAAGGCTCTGGTAACTGCTCTTCCAGCCTCTGTAACCAGAGACCCCAGAGCTGTGGGGCTGGGTACTGCAGGAGCATCTGTGGGGTGATGACTAAGGTACACATGTACTCATTGGTCTGAAGACACCGCCCACTTCAGAGGCCACAGATGCCCATGGAACATCCAAATCCACGAAGTAATTGCCTCTTGGTGTTTTCTCTCCTCCTTCCTTCCTTTAGAAGTCAGCCCAGCTCTCCACAGCCTACAGCAAACCCTGAACACTGTGTCGGTTCAGAAGGGCCTGCTAGATGCCAACCTCACGGCCGTCCGTGATGGTCTTCGTGGGTTACAGAGAGGTAATGGTCACCCTGGACCCCTGGTCGTAGTTGCTTGGGAAGAATGCTTCATGTCTTTATGCCTCCCTATGTGTGTGTGCACCAGGTGATGTTGACAGTATGATCAACGGTGCGAAGAACATGGTCAGGAAGGCCAATGGTATAACAAGCGAGCTTCTGGACGGGCTCAACCCCATCCAGACAGATTTGGGAAGAATTAAGGACAGCTATGGGAGCACACGGCGTGAGGACTTCAACAAGGCTCTGACCGATGCCAATAACTCAGGTATGAGGCATCCTCCAGTCAGGGTGTCTTAGCTGTGTTCTCCATTGCTAAGGCCTCCATCCATTTCAGTTCCTTTTTGGTGAGTCTGACCTCAAGTTAGAATCGTGTGATCTATTCAGATAGCACGTGGTCTGTTAGAGAGACAGGGAGCTTGTCTCCTTTCCCCCTTTTGTGTGTGTGATGTGTATGTGATGTATGTTGTTTGTGTGTTCATGAGTGTATGCAGGTCAATAGTCTCCAGAAGTTCATGTTAAGTATATTCTTCAGTCATTTTCCTGCCTCTCTCCTCCTCTCTCTCTCTTTCTCTCTCCCTGAGACAAGGTCCCAGTATATATCCATATATCCCCAGCTGCCCTGGAACTTGATATACGTATCAGGCTGCCCCTTGAACTTAAAGATCTGCCTGTCTCTGATTCCAGAGTGATAGGACTGAAGATGTGTACCACTGTGCCCTGTGTCCTTCCTGTCTCTTAAGAAAGTGTGTGTGTGTGTGTGTGTGTGTGTAGGCATGCATATGCCAGAGCATGTGTGTGGAGGTTGGGGTACAGCTTATTTATTTGTTTGTTTCTTTGTTTGTTTTGGTGTTTTTGAGATAGTGTTTCTCTCTGTAGCCCTGACTGCCCTAGAACTCGCTCTGTAGACCAGGCTGGCCTCAAACTCAGAGATCCTCCTGCCTCTGCTTTCCAAGTGCTGGGATTAAAGGCCTGCGCCACCATGCCCAGCCAGAGGATGGTTTTGAGTGCTGGTCCTTGCCTTCCTGTTTGTTTTGAGGCAGGGTTGCTTGTCATTCACTCTGTGTACGCCACACTAGCTGGCCAGTGAGGAGCTGGTGAGTCTCTTGTCTCTGCCCCCACCTTCTAGGAGCACTGGTATGGTGGACTCACGCACCACATTCAGTTTTGGGTTCTGGGGATTCAAACTCAGGTCCTCATTCTTGAACAGCAGCTGATGTCCCCACTGGGACATCCCCAAGCCTCCACTTTAGTTTCTGAGACAGAGTCTCTCACTGAAGCTGGAGCTTCTACCTGGAAATGATGCAGATTAGCTGGCCAGTGATCTCACCAATCTCTCCACCTTTCAGTGCTGGACACACACTGCTGTGCCCAGCTTCTTCCATGGCTCTGGGGGTCTGAACTCTTCATGCGTGCACAGCAGTCTCTCTGCCAGCTAAGCCATCTCCCCAGCCCCAACATGGCCTATAGATTATTTTACTTTATTTCTTTTCTTTTCCTCCTTCTTTTTTTTTTTTGATACTGTGGGAGTTCTTAATCATGATGTATTAACTTACGATTGCTACTAAAAGATAAGAAAAGAAATATTTTCCCATGTTAACCAAGGAAAATAATTTGATACCTACATCATTACAGAAATCTATAATGAATTTAGGAGAGTCTTGCATGATTATGATCTGTCTTGTTCCCAGGATTGCTAGAACAAACATTCCCATCAAGAACGTCTGCACTTAACCTTTTCTCAATGTACTGTGTAATATTTCCATTTTCTCATTTTGCCAACAGTAAAGAAATTAACCAAGAAGTTGCCTGATCTTTTTATCAAGATTGAAAGTATCAACCAGCAATTGCTGCCCCTGGGAAACATCTCTGACAATGTGGACCGAATCCGAGAACTCATTCAGCAGGCCAGAGATGCTGCCAATAAGGTGGGTGTTCCCATGCTGCCAGAGCTGCTGGTAAGATCCTCAACACGTTCGCAAGACAGGAGAGGCTTTTGTTTGTACAGGAACTGGTTGTCTGTCTTCTCCCAATTCTGATTAAATGAAGTTTAGCTGCCTTTTGTCACCTTTCACCATGTGCACGGCCTTAGTCACCTAAATTTGTGGCTTTATCGGCACCTGAGGCTGTTCCCATGCTCTGAGTTCACATAGGCCGGAAGGAGGTTCTCTCAGGCCTCACTTTGTGGACTGTAATTGCAAGATTTAGTGAAGGTTCTGTGGTCAGGACCTAGTCTCTCAAGGTTGAAAGTGTTGGAACCCACATTTGTTGAGTTGGAGGACACAGATGTGTTGTGTCTGTGACCCCAGCTCTGTTGGGGGTGAGACGGGGGGGGGGGGGGGATGAGGGGGGGAGGGTGTCACTGGGACTTGACGGCTGCCAGCCTAGCCCCAGGCTCAGAGAAAGACCCTTGCTCAAGGAGTAAGACAAGCTCTATAGAGCAGGACATCTGACCTCCTCTTCTGGCCTCTGCTTACATGCAGGTGCACACCTGGTACACACATGTACACTCACACATACATATACACACATCCATACACACACATGCACACTCACACATACATACACATACACATCCATACGCGCACACACACACACTCACAATACACATACATACTCACACATGCACATACACACACATACCCATACACATACATGCACATACACACACATACCCATACACATACATGCACATATACACACCCTATACAAAGGATGCTTGTTACAATACACTTTATATAATCATGTTTTTATTTTTAAGAAAAAAGCTAACTGCTTACAGTGCTAAATACTAATGAGCTGGACTCATGCATATCACCCAGATCAACCTACAAATATAGTTTCCAGCAAAGAAAGCAAGTTATAAAAGTATGGTCAGCTAGCATTCACAGGAAAATATTTAAGTGTGAAAAAGAGAGCAGATGTAGCTGACAGGTAAGTAGACACAGCTGGAGTCGTAGATGAGTCCTGTGTAGTAGAAATAGCAAACCCTGCCTAAGCGTTTGCATAAGGCTCCAGCTGCAGGGTGGGGGCGGCTGTGAACGAGAGGAGGCGGCAGGTGAGGATACAAACACAGGGCCGCAACCTCCATCTTTTACGGTCCACACAAAGTGTCTTCTTAATTTAAAACACAAGCAGGGGTTCACCAGGGGACAGAACGGGCTTCGCAGGAGGAGACCCAGCGGTGCGGTTGGGTCTCCCGGAGGGCAGATGGTGAGTGGAAGAGAGCCTTGATGTGAGCTCACAGAGCAGGTGAGAGGACCCTGGCCTCACCATCACACGTCAAGATACCAGGAAACACTAATGCGTGACAGAGAGAGCATGTGGTAGTGTCATGTGGAGTATCATTCCAAGATGGTTGTTCTTTGACTGCTAGAGGATGTTTGTTTTCTGTGGTTTAGGCTGGACCTGCCCCGTCGTGGTCCACAGACCTGTGCTAATCGGGTGACTCTTGCTGATGGTTCGTAGGACCTAAGTATGATATTAAGCAGTAATGCCTGGGAAGTTCCAGTGCTTTGAACTGCATGTGCTTGGTGGACTTCCATTTCATACAGCTTCCTCATTACACTTTTCTAGTAATTTTGATGTTACAGGCATACTGGTTCATGACCGGCTGGAGGGGGCGAGCAGGGCAGGGCCTCCATCACACAGTATCTAAGATACACGTATGGTCTTAATGCCCGTGTGTACCCACGAGTGTGTGCAGAAGCTGGAGGTCTTCCTCAGTTGCTCTCTACCTTATGTTGTGAGACGGTCAGTCTCTCACTGAAGCTGGAGCTTGCCGCCTCATTTAGACCACCTAACCAGCAAACCCACGGGCTCCTCCACTGTGCTGGATTACAAACACACATCACTGCTCCTGTGTTTCTGTGTTGGTACTGGGGGTCTAGACTCAAGTTCTCATGCTTGCACGACATGACTGACTGAGCCGTCTCCTCACCCCAGTGCGTGCGTATTTCCAGTCAGAATGTCTGTGATAAATGTAGGCATAGTGTGTAACATACTCATTGGCAATCATTCCCTTCTTAAAAGTACTTTAAAGAGCTGGGTATTGTGGGCCATGCCTGTGACCGCAGCACTTAAGAGATGGCAGGAGGGTCACAAATTCAAAGATATCCCGAGATGTAGAGTGAGCCTGAGGCCAGCCTGGACCACATAGATCCTATCTGAAAAAAAAAAAAAAACCTATTTAAAATATTTTAATCATATGCAAGCACTATCATAAGTGGTTCCATGAGCATTAACTCCGTGAGCATTAACTGTAGAGTAGGAATTACTGTTAATGTTACCATCGCCATCACCATCACCACCGTCATCACCATCGTCGCCGCAGAAGACCAAGTTCACTCCTTAATGGCCCTCAGCCGATTCACATTGACAATAGATGGCTCAGCAGACAACTTCATGAATTTATAACCTGGGTCCAAACCAAGTGTGGCGGCACAGCCTTTAATCCCAGCACTCAGGATGGGGAGGCAGGCAGATCTCTGTGAGTTTGAGGCCAGCCTGGTCTACAGATGAGACCTTGTCTCAAACATATGTGTGTATATACATATATGTGTATATATGTGTGTATTATGTACATGTGTGTATGTACGTATGTAAAACACAAAAATTAACCTGGGTCCAAGAGACGTACCCTTCCGATGCTTATCACAAGAGCTGGGACAAGCTGGCGTGTCCCCGAGAAGGACGGCTGCAGAGCTCCCTCGCTAAGCTCGTCCTATTTTTCACAGCTGTTTGACACCGCGTTCTTCCATCTTACTCTTCCTCAAGGTCGCAGTCCCCATGAGGTTCAACGGGAAATCCGGCGTCGAGGTCCGGCTCCCAAATGACCTGGAAGACTTAAAGGGGTACACGTCTCTGTCTCTGTTTCTCCAAAGACCCGACCTGCGCGAGAACGGGGGCACCGAGGATATGTTCGTGATGTACCTCGGGAATAAGGATGTGAGTGCGGTTCGGACTTTTCTTGTTTTAGTAACAGGATGGTTTTGGAGGCCACCAGGAGACTCGTGACATAACTGTCACTGACTACCCCACCCTCCTGTCTGAGTCTGTGACCCTGCTGTCACCTCCTGAGTGCTGTGGTGGTGCCAGGAGAGACCTCTAGTTCATCACGGATGGAAGTCACTGATGAGAAGCCTTGCTCAGTGGGCTTAAGATATAGGCACACGTGTGTCCATGTGGGCACATGCATGCTTACAACTGTAGGGTCAGTTCTTTCTTCCCAGGAAGCAGTATCAAGGCTCTATGGAAACTAACTGGCTGCTCCTCACCACACTGTGTCCTGTCCTCTTCCTGGGAAGGCCCAGCCACAGATGTCTCCCCAGGCCGGAGGGGTAGGGACCATAATATAAATGAGACCGGAAGCAGAACCTAACCTCTCTATTGCCCGTCCTTCACCCAAACTCATGAAACTGCCACCACCACAGGCACTGTCAGCAGGTGACTTGAGTGTCCCCATGGATTTTGAGCAGGTGGACAGCTGTTCTAATTATGTGCCACAGTTGATGTTTATGATAAAATAAATTTACTTAAATGCTCTGAATACCAAAAAACACTTTAAAAAGGTCAAAATTGTCAGTTTTAGTATCTGTCTGTCTATCTATCTATCTATCTATCTATCTATCTATCTACCTCTCTATCTATCTATCTGTTCATCCATCCATCCATCCATCCATCCATCCATCCATAGATGTCTCTTCCTTATGGTTCTCCCATTCTAATAGAGAAGAAAGCCACATTCACTATGGGGAAATGTCATAGCAGAGGCTGGCCCAGAGTGCTAAGAGGACAATGCATGGCACCCAGAGAAGAGAGGTGGTTTATCTCCCTTGCTGATGAACTCCAGTGAGCAGCTAAGTCTGCTTGCTCTGTAGTAGATGCTGGTAAACGATCAGATTGAACAGTGGGGGAATCAGTGACCCAGTCCGCTAAAACACGAGGCGACAGCCCCTGCATTATTACTCAAGTGTGCTGTAGTGGCCTTCAGAGGATATACCTTATGTATTCTGTCTTCCCATTATTTTATGCAATAAAACATTAGGAACCTCTTGATATGGAAAATGAGAGTTTGTAATGTTTGAAGGGTTCTGAGTTCTTGTCACACCTATGCTCTGGGATGTATCTGTTTATCTTTCTGAATGCCTCACTGTCTTAACCCTCATGCTTAAACCCTGTTCTAGAATATCGTTTTAAATGCTGTCTCATTTTGAACAAAAAGAGTCTGAGGTGACCTTTATGTCTCCAGGCCTCCAAGGACTACATTGGCATGGCGGTTGTAGATGGTCAGCTGACGTGTGTCTACAATCTCGGGGATCGGGAAGCTGAAGTCCAGGTAGACCAGGTGCTGACTGAGAGTGAGAACCAGGAGGCAGTTATGGACCGAGTGAAGTTCCAGAGGTACGGTGCTGTCACGGACTTGACCAGCCTCAAACTCTTCCATGGATGTTACGAAGCTGTGCCCTTAGCATGTTGGCTTTGAATTCTTTCATTTTTTTCCTACAACTTTATTATCTAATTTTCAACAGAATATATCAGCTTGCAAAACTTAATTACACCAAAGAAGCCACATCCAATAAACCCAAAGCTCCTGAGGTCTATGACATGGAGGGCGACAGTAGCAACACCCTCCTGAATTTGGATCCAGAAACTGCTGTGTTTTACGTCGGAGGTTACCCACCCGATTTTCAAGTAAGTATCAATGCAGACTCGTCGAGTGAAGTGCTTAAATTTTGGTGTGGTATAATGACTTCATCTCTCTGTTTTAACCAGTTCTGTACAAAATGAATTACCCATATGCTCTAAGAGTACACCTAGTGAGAAGAACTGAGATGTATTTCCTTTGTCCACTGTTTTAAGCTTAAGAGAATTAATTTAATGTACTGTATTTATTAATATTAATAATCACCCCCATTTTACAGACGAAGACACTCAGGCAAGGGAGGTTAACAGTTAGCCTGGGTAGAGACAGCCCTTAAATGGCAAAGTCCTGGACCACATCCTTCACCCCTATGCCATGCTCACTGTTGAAAGTCCTGGCGCTGCATGGCCGCTGTCCCTTCCTGTTCAACTCATGGAAGGCTTGTCTTGTTTCTCTCACAGCTGCCTAGCAGACTGAGGTTCCCTCCATACAAAGGCTGTATCGAACTGGATGACCTCAATGAAAATGTTCTGAGCTTGTACAACTTCAAGACAACTTTCAATCTCAACACAACTGAAGTGGAGCCTTGTAGGAGGTAAATGGAGCCTGGAGGCCCTTGTCCCTAGGACTGGGCTGGGCTGGGCCCTGCTGCTCACATCTACCAGTGGTGGGCAGGCAAGGTTGTCGATGTTGCAGTTCATTGCAACTGCTTTCTTTCTGTTTGCGGACAACACCTACCATGCTGCATCCCTAACAGCGAAGGACCGGTCTTGCCCTAGTTTACATAAGGCATCAGATTAATTTTCTCAGTTTTTAAAAGCATGACCCTTTGGGGACTGTGCGATGGCTCTGTGGGTAACAGCATGTGCTGCACAAGCCTACGGACCTGGGTTTGATCCCCGAGTCCACGTAAAGGTTGAAGGAGGACACAAACGTCACAAAGTTGTCCCCTGATCTCCACGTGTACCACTGTAGCACATACACTCACATACATAATGCACATACATGATAATAAATACAATTTTAAAAAAATGAGCCTTTAATTTTTGGTGCCTCCTTCTATAAAAAATACTCAATATTAGATTACTTAGGCACATAATTATGTAATTAAGCTTTAAATAACAGTAGTCTACAAAGCAAGTGACTTTCTGTGTACTTTGCCTTCTGAACCTATTTGAAAATTGCTCTGTCTTAGTCAGTGTTCTGTTGCTGTGAAGAGACACCATGACCACGACAACTCTTATAAAGGAAGCATTTCACTGGGGCTGGCCTGCACTCAGAGGTTTAGTCCACTGTCGTCATGATGGGAAGTGTGGTGGCTCACAGGCAGACATGGCGGCACACTGGAGAGGGAGCTGAAAATTCTAGATCCAGGTCTGCAGGCAGCAGAAAGAGAGAGAGCCGGCCACTGGGCCTGGCTTTGAAACCCCAAACCCACCCCCAGTGACACACTTCCTCCAACAAGACCACACCCCCTAATAGTGCCACCTCGTAATGACTAAATACTCAAATATTTGAGCCTATAGGAGCCATTCTTATTCAAACCACTACCTGCTCTTTTGAGCTCCTAGCCATCTCTGTAATGTAAAGGATTTGAGATATTCCTATTGTTATTTAGAAGCTGACACTGAAAATTAATAATTTCTTATATTTAAATATTTTCAGCTAGTTGGCCACTTTCTCCTAAATACACATCTCTAGAAGATGTTCTTCTCTTCCTCTCCCTCTCCCTCTCCCTCTCCATCTCTCTCTCTCCCTCCACCCCAGGTTTACATGATATATGTATGTGTGTCCAGGTATATTCATCCATGTGTACACATGTTGGAGATCAGAGGTAGACATCAGTCTTTTTCTCTATTACTCCCCCACCTTATTTTTGAGTCAGGGTCTCTTTCTGAACCTAGAGCTCACATTTTGACTAAACTGGCTAGCCAGAAAGCCCCTATGTTCACCTGCCCCCCCCCCCACACATACCCCCACACACACCTGTACTAGGGCTACAGATATGTGCTGCCATGCTCAGCTTTAACATGGGTTCTGAGCATCACAACTTGGGTCTTCGTACTTATGTAGCAAGCACCCACGGAACTGCCTCTTCAGCGCAGCGATTAGGAGCACACGAGGAAGGAAGGCTGACTGACATGCTAACAGTGTTTCTCCTTTTCCTACCCAATTGTGACTCCCAGCCTGTGCATTCCTTGTCCCATGTTAGAAACACACCCGCAAGGTGGCCTTTGATGGCTGACCTCTAACTTCCGGTTGGTGTTGACAGGCGAAAGGAAGAGTCGGACAGAAACTACTTTGAGGGTACAGGCTATGCCCGCATTCCCACTCAAGCCAGCGCCCCCTTCCCAAACTTCATCCAGACTATCCAGACCACCGTGGACAGAGGTTTACTGTTCTTTGCCGAAAACCAGGTAATTTACACCAAGCCTCCAGAAACGAGGTGAATACCCACTGTGTCTAGCAATCTCGGGGTGACTGGGCTATTGTACATAGCCCATCTAGCTTGGCAGTGTGACCTTGGCCAGTCATGTCTTCTTTCTGCTGGGGTGAGTTTTAACGAGGACAAAGGACCAGGAATTGAGCAGTTACCACCCAAAGGAGGCAGGATTCTCCTCCTAACCTATTTTCACGTCTGTTTCCGACTTTAAAATGGTGGCCTGCCTACTAACGTCTCACTCTGCTTTAAACAAATGAAGACCTCCTGGGGACCTCAGTCTAGGTGGCTGGACTTCCTGATGCTGTGACCTTGGTCTGGCTCATGGCAAGTGTGGGGATTGTGTCTTTCTGAGCCCACAGTTTGACTCCCCCGGCATAGAAGCTTCTGTACTTTGAAATAGCCGAGGTCAGGGGCCCACGCTTTATTTTTAGTATTTTTCTATATTCTTGAGGGCTTTATACTGTGTACAATAATATAATCATATCTGCTCCTCTGTTTCCCTTTCCAACTTCCTCAAATCCCCCCAACATGGTCCCCTCCCAATGTCATGGCTTTTTCTTGATAACTCACTCAGTTCAACTGGTGCTGTCTATGTGTGGGGGTCTAGTGTATTCTGGAAAATCTAGCAGTGGCCACATGTTCAAAAGAAGAATGATTTTCCTTCCCCTGGCAGCCATCAGCTGCCAATATCTACTCATTAAGGGACACCTTGCTGTAAGTCTGGCAAAGATGATCCCTGAGCCTCTGTAGTCGTGAGGGGTGGTAGTGAGAAAGACGTTCCGCTTAGGGCTGAGCACTCATCTCTTGTTCTTAACACTTTGACCAGTCATGTATCCCAGCATTGGCAAAAAGACCCACTCTGACCAAGGCTGAGAGCAGCCTAGGTCTGTGACCATAAACAGAAATATTTAGAAGGCAGCTTGACACTGTGACCATTTAGCAAAATAATATATTCTGTTGAAAATTAGATAATAAAGTTCTAAGAAAAAATAAGAAAGTTGACCTCCCAAGCCGGCGCGGGCTTTTGATCAGGATTATCCATAGCCACCAGGGAAATACAGGCGATAACTACAACATTCCATCTCCTTCTAGTCAGAATGGCCATCATCGGCACTACAAAGGACAGCAGGTGCTGGCGTGGACGTGGCCACAGGGAACCTGTATGTACTGTTAGTGGAACTGCCAGCTAGTGCAGCCGACTTTGAAAATCAGTGTGGAGGTTTCTCAAAAAAGAAAACAATTAAACCAAACATAGAACTGCCATATAACCCAGCTATACCAGAGGGTCACTCTTGTATTTCTTAGGTTAGATGTGCGCAAGGTGGTCGTCCACTCATGATTGCAAGTGCCCTCGACTGCTTCGAGGAGAGTGGACATGCTGTTTGCTCTGGTTCTGCAGTAGTGGGTCTTCTACTGGATCCACCTCCAGAACAGATCTTGTATACTTGCTCTCACAAGCAGTGTTCCAAAAAAATGTGCACTAGGTCACCAGTCTGAGAATGTGTGGATGATATTCAGCTTGAGATTTTCCCCAAACGCATCTGCTGCCAGATAGGAACAAAGCCTTGTCTCCACTCTTCCTTCTGAGGTTGGTTTGGCCCCTAAGCTCTGAAGTTTGGGAGGGTCCCAATCAGTCTAAAGGCTGGAGAGAGCAAGGCAGTTACCCAGCATCTCCAGGCTAAGGCACTTGTATTCCAAAACAAGGTCTACTTTGCTCTGGTGGAGGATCTTTTTTTTTCCCCAAAATGCATAGGATGAGTAGTGTCCCACATTTTGGATTGTTTCTCATTTTAGAATATTTGCATATACATAATGAAGAATCTTGAGGAGGCTTAGTGCTCAGGTAGCTTTCTCTACTCTTACACACTCCAGGGCCCAATACCAGAAAATAATGCTGCCCAGTTTCAGGGCTGGCTCTTCCCACATCAATTAAGGCAATCAAGACAACCCCCATAGACATGTCCAAAGGCCAAGTCAGTGTAGACAGTCAATTCCTCCTTGAGATGCTCTTTCTAGGTGATTCTGGGTTGTGTCAAGTTAAATATGAGCTAACCATCACAGGATCCAAGTGTAACATGAACTCCATGAATGTTTTATAAACACACATTGTATACATGTAGGTTGAAAGTAATTTTATGCAATATATTTTAAACAATTTTGTGCATAGAGCAAGGTTTGTATGCCATAAACCATCAGAACTGTGTTGTTCTGCTGATAATCAAAGTGTTTTGATCTTGAAGCATTTCCCATTTTGAATTTGGAGCTTGGGGGATGCTCAACTTATTTTACATTTTGAAGTTTTTTGGAGACTAAGGACCAGAAATAGTGTTTGGTCTGGAGGAACCTTACATAACCCCATTGCATAAGAATCCTTAGAGCTTCTGCTAAGGAGGCAGTTATTGCTCTCAGGGAGCCATTGCTCCCTGGCTCAGGTTGATGGCTCTCCAGGGCAAGACTTTGGGATCCACACTAAAAGCCTTTTAGATGAAGGCTCTCAGAGACTCACGGGACCTCACAGAGAAGACTTCTTATCATAGGGAACTGGATAAGAGCAACAGCTTCAAGTCTAAGTTAGAAAGCCTCAGCTTTTCTGACCATTGAGGAAATAGGGGGTTCAAGCCCGTGCTTCCTCCATGGCCAAGAGGCAATGCTGAGCAGGATGAACCATATCCTGCCCTCTAGAGGGCAGTGCTGGCGTTGCACACAGGTGCACTGCGGGCCAGTGAGCTTCATCACCATTTTGAATCGTGTAGAGGAAAATGATGAAGTATGAAATCAGAACAAAAGACGCCTCCTTTGAAACCCGGTGGACAAGTAGAAGGTGACATTGGAAGTGTGTGGTAGAAGGGGACTCAACAGGGACGGGGCACAAAGAAGGCCTTGGCAGTGAGCACCTGCAGGGACAGAAGGTGGCCTGCCAGCAGGACATGATGAGAAGCTAGGAGAAGAGATGGGCAGCACCTCGAAGCCTCTGCCAGGGAGTCTGTGCTGTGCCCTGAGAACCAAGAGAGTTAGCATGCTCACTGTCGATGGCAGGAGACTGCCTGGCTGCACGGTGGAAGGTGATCTGGGGAGCAGGGGAGGACCACAGGAGTGATGATATGGCTGAGCCCAGGCGTGTGCCGAGAGAGTTCGGGGGCAAATCCCAAGGTTTGAATGGGCTGATTGGACGAGAAAGGAGGAAGGTGAGCAATGATTCCATGTGTGGCCCCCTAGTCCTGGTTGTGATAGAACGAAGTCAGGACTCTGGCTGGCACGCAGGAGTTTGTCCGAGTGCTGGGCACTGTGGTGTCCCTCACAGCTGCAGTAGTCAGCCGTCAACTGCCTCTGTGGTCTCAGCGCTGGTCTCCCGTTAGCCCGGGAGCACCTGAAGCTGGCCGCACCATCGGGAATCGCTGGAGAACCGGGACTACTTCAGCCAGGCCTCCCGGTAATCTACCTGTTTCCACACTCCAGGATAACTTCATATCCCTGGACATAGAAGATGGCAATCTCATGGTGAGATACAAGCTGAATTCGGAGCTGCCCAAAGAGAAAGGAATCCAAGACACCGTCAACAACGGGCGAGATCACACGGTACGTCCTTGGAGTCTGTTGATTTGAAATTTTAGAAGTCAGTGAACCTTTAAAATGAAATAAGCGCCCCTAAACAAAAATAGGCAAATGACACACAAACCTGTTACAAGGTGAACTTATTAACTGAGGGGTGTGTCCTTTAAAAATTTGAACATTTAGGCATAAAGTATAATATATGTAGCATATGTAAATTATGTAAACCTTGATAAATTTCAACTGAGAATGTTTCCATTAAAGTGAGACTACTTCTACTAAAATGTTTTAGGACAGTGGTTTTTAACCTTCCTAATGCTATGATGGTCCTAAAGGGGTCACAACCCATAGGTTGAGAACCACCGTTCTGGGGGCTTGGGGAGATAACTCAGACTGTATGAGGAGCCGAGCTGAGCTTCTCAGAAACTAAGAAAAAGCTGTGTGTGGCGGGCTGGTCATCCAAGCACTGGGGATGTAAAGGCAGGCAGGTCCCTGGTGTTTGTGGGCCAGCAGCCTAGACTATGTGAGTGAAGACCCTGTCTCAAATCAAAGGTGAACAGTGCCCGAGGAACAACACCTACAGTTGTTTTCTGACCTCTGCACACACGTGCACACACATGCAGAAACATGAACATGCGCACAGACACACACAGACACACACACACCACACACACACACACACACACACACACACACACACACATACACACACACACACACACACACACACACACACACACACACACACAGCAGTCTTCTACCATGCATGTAAATAAATGCCAAGGAAAATAAAACCACAGTTACTCTGAACCACCACAAATAGGTTTGTGTCTCATTGCTTGCTCGTTCATTCCCATTCATTTTAGATTTCGATTACAATCGGAAACTCAAGAAAACTCATGTGGGTGTATATGCATGACCTTAACATAAAAATTGAAGGGGAAATATTTGATTTCGGCACATATTATCTGGGAGGAATTCCAATTGCAATCAGAGAAAGGTAAGATGATGCTGTGGGTTTTTTGGGGGGTGGGGTGGGGACCACTGCATGCATGTGAAGGTCAGAAGACCACTTGTGGGGGTTGATTCTCTCCTCCTACCCTGTGTGTCCTGGGCATCAAACTCAGGTCATCGGGCTTGACAGCAAGTATCCTTACCCACTGAGCCATCTCGTCACCCCAGTGTGCCGCATTTTATTAAAGCAGACCCCCTCTCACGCTGGCAGCGATTGCTACCGACAATTCTGGTCCCCTTCATTTAATTTTAGCCACAGGCAGTTAACTTTGCAATACTAACAATGTAGTCTGGAAAGAAGAACAGATTGTAGAACTGAATAATGGGGCCGGCCATCCAACATGGGGGAGTGGGGTAAACTGTCTGATACTCCCATTCCCCTGGTTGTCACTCCGGGAAGGAGAGAAACACAGAGTCCAGTTGGGTGGATAACACCGAGGGAAACAGAAGGAGTCTATTGATCTACCCATTAAAGAAGTTCATGGACAGGTGTAGGCTAAGAACACACATATGGGGGAGGGGAGAGAGGGAGAGGGAGGGAGAGAGAAAGAGAGAGAGAGAGAGAGAGAGAGAGAGAGAGAGAGAGAGAGAGGAGGCTTTACCTGGCAGTCTGACTTATGCTTCCAAATGAGAAGCTCCCCCCCTGTTCTAAATAAGCTTATACTTTTCTTTCTTGCTTTAATTAAAATCCCAAGAGCAGAGACATAAATGAAGTGGACGAAAGCCCGTGGAAATATTACCTGGCCTTTTGTTTCTTCAGAAATAAAACGCTACACGGTATTTATCAGTTTCTGGCCTCTTATCCATCTGGTAAGGTGTTTGGCCATCCAATGAGCCCCTGCAACTGTCGCTGATGAGGGTTGCTGGCAGGCCGGTGGCCTGGAGAGCCTCAGCAGGACCCTGCAGGGGCACCCACACAGCTCTTCTTCTCAAGGACCCTGGTTTAGTCAGAGAGCTCACACCTGACAGGAACGAGGCCCGGCGGAGTCCTGGCTGTGTCCTGCAGCTTTGCGCTGCAGAGACCATGGCTCTCCTCCCTCTCAGCCTCCTAGGAATGAGGACTCAGGTCTTTGAATGACTTGAGATTATAACTGGGAATCATGTGTCTGTTGATTCCATCTTTAAACCCTTCCTGATAAGGCCAGAGGACCTGGCACCAACCAGGACATTTTCCCTTGGATTTGAGTGTGATCATAAAACATGGAGACAAAGGTCACAGGAAAGTGGCCATCAGTCGGAGTCTGACAGACACTGGGCTCAGCATCACTTTGAGATCCTGTAGTTCCCTCACATCTGCTGACTCCAGCCAGAGAGCTGGATGAGCTTTTGTGGGCAGATGGGCCCAGAGTACGCACATCCATTCCAATGCAGGAAGTCATTGAACAGCACTTGCCCTGACATAATCAGGTTCCTCTAGCAAGTATCTTCAGACCTTGCATCCTGGAGGAAGTGTGGACGCCTAGGCCCTCAGCTGGCCCAAGAGAGTGGATATAAACAAATTCGTAAAGTCACCAGCCCCAGAAATTGAAGCATTCGTCCCTCCTCTCCAAGGTGAAGGCTGTCTTTCTAAAATAGTTAGACCATAGTGCCAACGAAGGTGTGCTTTTCTTTTAGTTGAATTTAATTTATGCACATTCCACATAGCTCTGCTGTTTATAATGAATCTGACTAGATTGAAGGCAGACACCTTTCCATTTGGATTAGTAGAGCTGCCTTAGGGATTTATAATGAAACTGGCACTGGATTTTCTTAGTACATCATTTGATTAAGAAACATTAATATTTGCTTAGACCTCAGTCAGTTCGTGTGTATTAATATTTTTCATGAATTCACCTCCACACAGGTCAGGAAGTCCAACCAAAGGGGAGTGGCAGGGTGCCGCACAGAAAGGTCTGCTATAGAAATTGATTGTGGAGGCCTAGGAAGATGTGTCATTCTGTAAAGGGCTCAGTGAACAAGCACGAGAACCCGAGTTCAGAGCTCTAGCACCTACATAAAAAACCAGGCATGGGGTTGGGGATTTAGCTCAGTGGTAGAGCGCTTGCCTAGCAAGCACAAGGCCCTGGGTTCGGTCCTGAGCTCCGGAAAATTAAAAAAAAAAAAAAGCCAGGCATGGTAGTTCCTTTAATTGTAGTGCTAGGTAGCAGAGGCAAGAGGATGCCTCAGACTTCCTGGCCAGCCAGTCTAGCTGAGTTGTTGAGCTCCAGTTTCAGTGAGAGACCTTGTCTCAAAAAATAAGGTGGAGAGCAATAGAGACAGACATCCATTGTTAACCTCTGGCTTCAACATGCACATACATACAAACCCACACCCACAGGAATGCACACACACATATACACGCATACAACACACAGCCATAAGAAATTGCTGGCGTAACGATAATAGGGTAGTAATGTAGGGTAAATAGTGATGCACCAGGTACTATATAGACAGCCCTACTGTCTTGCAATGAGTCCTCAGTTTCCCTAAGTGTTATTGAGCATGTTACACATATTAAGTTAATCATATGACAGGCCCATGAAGCAGAATAGTGGGTTTTCATTTTGGATTAGAGAGGAACAGAGGAGTAAAGGTGCCCGGTCAAGCCGGCCCAGACCTTGAGCCAGACAGCCCAGCTCCAGAGCCCACAGCCCTCACCCACTCTGAGCCTCTCACATACCTGTGTTGCGTCCACCATCACTCCAGACTCTTTCTGAACATCAACGTATTTCATCCTCAAAACAACCACTTGCTCACGTGGCACAGTTTGGGGGTAGCAGGTAGATTCAAACCCAGGGTGTCAGCTTGGCGTTGATTAGATCAGCCATGTTTTCCATAATGTAGTAGAACTAAAAAGTAACAGTTTGCTGAGTTCACAGGGTCTGTGGTAAAATGGAGCCTGAAGGTTTTTAGCACACCCCTGGATCTTGAATTCCCACATACATGTTTCTATATCACCTGCAGTTACAGCGCATCCACAGACTTTCCATCCATTGAGAAGCACCGGGAAAACAGCCTTTCTGGGGAGGCCAGCCTGACAGGTCTCCTTTCGACATTCCTCCCCCAGGTTTAACATCTCCACGCCTGCTTTCCAAGGCTGCATGAAGAATCTGAAGAAAACCAGTGGTGTCGTCAGGTTGAATGACACTGTGGGAGTCACCAAGAAGTGCTCCGAAGACTGGAAGGTAAGCAGGACTCAGAGCGTGGGACACACTGCATCCCAGAGGGCCATGGTGCTGCCCGCGGTGAGCTGGCTTCACGCACTGCCGATGAAACCTGATTGTGTGGCAAAGCAAAGCGTGAGTCCGTCTGGACTGCACTGATAGTGTTCGCCATTTCAGGGACGTGGTGCAGTTTTAGAGCCCGTATCTGGGCGTCCAGGACACGATTATAACATCAGTGATTTCCATGTTTGCATTTCAGCTCGTGCGAACTGCCTCGTTCTCCAGAGGAGGACAGATGAGCTTTACCAACTTGGATGTGCCCCTGCCTGACCGCTTCCAGCTCTCTTTTGGGTTTCAGACCTTTCAGCCCAGCGGTACATTATTGAGTCATCAGACACGGGTAAGAGGTAGTATGTTTGAATTAAAATTCTGGCTCCACAGTTTCTGTCCAGAGCAGCAGAGAGGTTTGGAGCGTAGAGGACTTAGGCATTTTATCCGCTATCATGTGAACAACTCTCCACCTGGGGCAGATCCTGAAGGAAATCCAGCTAGAAGCTGCCTAGTGATTGATAGAGCTGGATTTGTGTGTATTGAGCAATCTTTTCCACTCTTTGCAGATAAGTGTTAAAATGAACTATAGCAGGTATAAGCAATAATGTGGCTTAGGAAAACATTAAGATTTATACTCAGTTTCTTCTTGATTACAACTTCAAAAGATGGTCTTCAGAATCCTCTATTGCAGCAATTACTCCTCAGAAAATCTTTACCCTGGAGAGTTTGAGGAAATCGGGCCCAGTGCCCCTTCAGTAGAAATTCCCTTGGGGGCTGGGGAGGTGACTTGGAAGTAAAGTGCTTACTATGCAAATGTGAGGATTGACGTTTGGATCCGCAGCACCCCAGCACCCACGTGAAGGTGGGCACAACAAGACATCCCCTTAGCAGTCTAGGGCTCAATCTCCTGAGCTAGACCAGCCCAAATGGTGAGCTCCGGGTTCTGTAAGAGACCCTGTCTGAATATGTGAGGTAGACAGCAATCAGGGAAAACACCTGGAGGCAACCGTGTGCCTCCACACACATGTGCAATGGTGAGTGCACACCACACGGCATATACAGAAAAGGAGCACACAGCGAGAGCAGGAGAGAATGAGAGCAGGGAGAGAGACTGAGACACTGAGACTCTGTTCACAGACGAGCCCCTCTATAGCTCCTGAGATATGAGTCAGCTTAGAAATCCACTCATAGGAAGAATGGGACTTTAAAATAAATAATGGTTTTTGGGTTGTTTCTTTAGTGTTGCCAATCACAGTGGATATTTTGTATCAGATCTAAAAGATGACAGTGGCTGCCTCTGTGGCTATGCCCATTAGGAGGGTCACTTGCCTTTCGGTAAACTTGTTTACCAGTTTTTGCAGACTTTTAAAATGATCGCTAAAGAGACAACATGTGCCATTAGATAGTATAGGAGCGCGCGGTCTATCCAAGCTTGATAGCACATTAGTTTGACCTAATGTGCGCTCTCTCTCTCTCTCTCTCTCTCTCTCTCTCTCTCTCTCTCTCTCTCTCTCTGTCTCTCTCTGTATGCACATGTGAGCACACTTGTGGCCATGTGGTCATGTATGTGTAGGTGAATGTGTGTGCTCAAGAACAACTTCGTGTATCATTCCTCGGGAGCCATTGCCTTGTTTGAGACAAGGACTCCCCCCAGCCTGGGGCTCACCAAATAGGCTAAGCTGCCTAGCCAGCCCTAGAGATCATCCCGACTCCCTCTCCCCAGCCTTGGGATTGTGAGCACACACCACTGCACCCAGCTTTTTCTATGTGGGTCTGGGAACTGGGCTCAGGTCTTCACCCTTGTGTGGCAAGCATTTTCCTGACTGAGTCATGTCCCCAGCACTGACCCAGCACAATTCTGTCACATGTAAGTACAGTTGGTACACACTCCACAAAATGGTTGAAAGCAGATGGAAGGATTAGATTAGCAACAAGTTAGAGCAACCCTGTGCAGTACAGGAATTCTAGAAATGTCTTAGGGATATTGCTTTCAAGTTCAAAAATGGTTATTTAGGAAACACAATTGGTCCCACTGGTAACCAGTTCTGCAAAGCCATCACTGTATGTAAAGATGCACTGGAGAGAAACTGGCAGATATCACACAGCTTAAGGAAAATGTCAGAAATTAGGCATAACAGAGAAACTGAATGAAGCTGAAATGAGCACTAATGATAGGTTTTAAGTTACTCATTGACAGAAAGAGTCAAGGTCTTGCCAGTGTTTGGATGAGCACAGCTTGACATGGAAAGTTGGGCTTCTTAGAAATGATGACCAAAACATAAAACACTTATGAAAATCACAGAGGAGTCATTGTTGTTATCTTACATAGGAAAAAAGATTCTGAATGATGATGAATCAACTCCTTGCTGTAAACTTTATGCAGAAGAGAATGGATTCTGATAGAAATAACTTCATCAAAATAAGTAAAAATAGGGGGAAATTAGATGTGATTTAATGTTCTATACATCTGGTTAGAAAATCAAGTGGGCCTAACAAAAGTAGATCGAGACAAAGACTGACAAATTCATCAATGTTGAAGTAATCTGCATATCATTATTTTATCATAAACAAGGAGATGAACTATTTAAAATTATCTTTCAATCGAGAGGCAAGGACCAAATACGTGGGTCAAAACACCCTGGCTGCTTTATGCCTAGTTCTGATCGTTCATTCGTCGTCTCTAAATGCACATTAATTGGTGGTGGTGTATTCTGGGATGGTTTCAGACAAGTAGCCTGCAGGTCACCTTAGAAGACGGTCACATTGCGTTGAGCACCAGGGACAGCAGCGACTCCATCTTCAAGTCTTCACAGACCTACAGGGACGGCTTATTGCATCACGTGTCTGTAATCAGCGACACCTCAGGGTGAGTGGACTGCCTCTGCTGCCGGGGTCTAGTTCACCAGAGTTCTCCAGCATAGCCTCTCAGAGCATCTCTTCCTGGTGCTGATGCTGGTTGGCTATGTGTTTTCCCTTTCCTAGTTCTGTCCCTGTGTCCTGACTGAAACGTAAAGTCAGTGGTCAGATGTGTGTGGATAGATAAAATTCAAAATGGACTACCCACCCTAAACGTGGGAGGAACCATCACAAACCTTCATACAGGATGGCGTGGGTGAGCCTCCAAAAATGTGGTGAAGACATGCACACCTGAGACTGCTCTCCTGTGATTCTGTGTCCAGGGGTTTAAAAACAGGGCAAATCAATTGTTTCAGAATTCGGAGTGGTGGTTATTCCTAGAGAGGGAGGGAAGCTGGGAACTACAATTAACACAAGGTATTTGTGTTCTTGAGGTACTGGGAAAGTTGGTATCTTTCTATGAATGCAAACTATATTGATATATTCATGTTGCAAAAATTCATTGAGGGGTTGGAGAGATGGCTCAGTAGTTAAGAGCACTGGCTTCTCTTTCAGAGGACCCAGGTTCAATTCCTAGCACCTACATGGTGGCCCACAACCATTTTTAACTCCAATTCCAGAGAATCTGACTCCCACTTCTGGCTTCTCAGACACTAGGCACATACATGATGCACTGACATGCATTTAGGCAAGGCACACATACACATAAAATAAAAATAAATAAACCTTTTTTAAAAATTGCTTGAGCAGATATCTATGATGTATATTTTCAGTACATATATATTATTTGGCTGAAGTGTTGTGTGTGAAAATACTTTGCACTTTCAAATCATTTCTGATTTGACTAGTCGTGGGTGACAGATTTGAGTCTGGGTCAGTCAGTAGATCGTGCCCACAGTGTGGGGGTGTTTTGTTGCAGTTTTGTTTTTTGTGAGGAGTCTCACCCTTTTCTTGTGTCTCTCCTTTTTCAGCCTCCGACTCCTCATTGATGACCAGGTTCAGGGAAGGAACCGAAGGCTCCCTGGCTTCTCGAATCTCCAGCAGTCCCTCCGTCTGGGTGGTGGTTATTTTGAGGGTTGTATCAGCAATGTTTTTGTCCAAAGGTGGGGGATCTTTTTTCTGTGGTTATCAATAAGAGCCCACCCACCTGCACAGTGTCACACTTAACCCAGTTACTGGATTAGATTTCTTAGTGTTTCTCAAGGCTCTCATTCTGCCTCAATATTTCCAAAATTCATTTAAAAACCAACAAGTAAAAGCTCCTAGCAGCTCAGACCTTGGAAAAGATCTAATAAAAATTAACTTTCAGATCATGGCCCTTGAAAAACTATTCATGCTATATGCTTTCATTTTAACCAAGACTGTACAGTTTGATTGGATCAGCTCTCCATGGCTTTTAGGGCAAGGGAATTTTGAGGATCTGTGCAGTTCTGGGGAGACCCAGTCACACAGTGCTGACCATGACTTTCAAAAGAGTAGAGCTCCAAGATTCCACTCATACAAGCTTTAATTGGTATCTCTGATTCAGAACACTGTAGCAGAAGAAGGTCCTGGCTCTGGCTGGGAACCTTAGGCTGGAACTTGCAGCCTTCCAAAATGGCACCATCATCCCTACGACCGACCATCCAGCAGGCATGAACCTTCTGGACCACGATGAGGCGCACAGTTCTCACTCCTGTCCATAGCTGATAAAGCAGCTCTCTTGAGCTTGTAGGCCAGTGGTTAGAGCAGGGCGTTGGGGGGAACAGAGAAGACAGGAGGTGTGTACTCACAGCCTCTGCCAGACAATACACACAGCTAAGCAAGCACCGTCACACAGATCTTTCCATAAACGACTTCTGTGGCGTCCTGAGGCTCACCCAGATTCCTGTGCTGAGCCATGTCTATAACTTCCCTCTCTGCGTATTTGATTCGATATTTCTATATGATATCCATTTCAAAGAATAAGCCAGTATTCCTGCCATACTTGAAGTCCACAGAACTTTCTGGAGCCCTTCTATCTTGCACATGTGACTTGCGCAGATGAAAAAGTTCATGTAGGAATCATGACAGTAAGAATGTCCTTTGCCACGAGCTCTGTCTCCCCACTTGTGGGTCTCCCTCCACAGGCAAGAATTTGGTCATGGTTTTCATTTTTCCCTCATTCCAGGTTGTCACAGAGTCCCCAAGTCCTGGATTTGGCCAGTAAATCTACCAAGAGGGATGCCTCCTTGGGAGGCTGCAGTTTGAACAAGCCACCCTTTCTTCTGCTGTTCAGAGGCCCCAAGAGGTTTAACAAGGCCAGGACTTTCGATGTCAATCAGGTAAGTGTCAGAGCCTTACCTTGAGTTTGACTTCTCCTCACCTTGCCTGGGGGAGATGATGGGAGAGGGTAGCACGTCCCCCAGTCTCTGCTGGTTAGGGCCGCCATGAAGCGGCACCAAAGGATCAGCAGCAGTTGACAGGCACCAAAATGGCAAAGCCAGGGCTGAGGGATGGCTCAGTCAGCAGGGTGGTAGAGTCATGCACAGACATGAGGACTCAAATTCGGATTCCCAGCACCATGTGTGGTAGCATGCATCTGTAGTTGGGCACAGAGGACATGAAGATCCTGGGAATTCGCTGACCAGCCAGTCCAGCTGGATTGGTGAGCTCCAGATGCAGTGAGAAAGTCTGTCTCAAAGATTGAGGTGGAGGGCAACAGAGGAAGGCATCTGACTGATGCTGGCCTCGACTTCCCCATGCTCGCACATGCTCATGTATACACAAACGTACACATACGTGCACTAAAAATATGACAAAGTGATTTCTCTTCCACATTTTTTTGTATCTTGATAAGAATTTGGCAATTTTTGCAGTCTCCAAAGAAGTGGAACTGTAACAGAATGCGGTAAGTTCACTCTGTGAGTGCAACACCAATGGACCCAACTAGGGCACAAGAGAGGAAAGGAAGCATTGTTACTTGTATCTAATAGGAATATCGAGGCTCATTCTCCAAGAGTGCTTCTCAAGCCAAGAAATTATGGGGCTTTCACTGGGGAAACTGATGTACATCATATAGAAAATATTTCCATCACATTAGGGGAGGTACAATCTTGAGCATGCTCAGTTAGACAACATGTGACTTCTTCATATATCCTTTGTCCAAAAGTGGTAGAAGAGAAACACCCTCTGCAGAGGAATTTTCATTATAATGCAACCATCCTGAGCAGCATTGACTCTGGGTCACTTGGAGGAGAGGCAATGTAGTCTTGGCTGTATTAAACCAGCTCCTTGCAGTTTGCTTTGCAGTGATCACTTAGTTTCATTTCTGTCACTGTGATAAAAAGCCACTCATGGGAGAAAGGGATGTATTTCATCTTAAAATTCCAGGTTACAGTCCCATCATTGTTGGGAAGTTGAGGCAGGAACTTGAAACAGTTGGTCACATCACCTCCACAGTCAAGAGCAGAGAGAAAGGAATGCATGCTTGCTTGCTTGCTTGCTTGTGATCAGCTAGAGTTCTCCACTCATACACAAGTTAGGGCTCTCTGCCTAGGGAATGGGGTCACCCACAGTGGTCTGCATCTTCCTCTATCAATTAACAAGATGATTTCCCATAGTTGTGCCCACAGACAGACCCACTTTAGACAATCCCTCATTAAGACTTTTCTCCTGTGATTTGAGGTTGTGTCAAGTTGACATTTAAAGATAATCATCACTGTCTTAGGGTTTCTATTGTTGTGAAGAGACACCTCTCCACAGCAACTCTTAAATGAAGGAAAAACATTTAATTTGGGTGTCTCATTTACAGTTCAGAGGTTCAGTCCATCATCATCATGGTGGGATATGGTGGTGCGCAGATAGACATGGTGCTGGAGAAGTAGCTGAGAGTCCTATATCTGACAGGCAACAGACACACTGGGCAGTATCTTGAGCATGTATAAGATGTCAAAGCCCACCTCCACAGTGACACACTTCCCCCAACAAGACCACACCTTTGCCACAAGGCCACGCCTCCTAATAGTGCCACTCTCTTTGGGGGCCATTTTCTTTCAAACCACCACAATCACAAAGGCCTTATCTGAAACAAATAAAAGCTCCCAAAGAACCCTTACTGGTATTTAAAGGTGCAACAACTCACTCCTCAATCCTTGCCTAAGCCAAGATAATTGCCCTTAAAGCTACCTGCCTAGCTGCTAACAGACCTTAATTTGGCTGTCGGAATTTCTGTGGCTGATTTCTTGCTTTTATATACTTTCACGTATTGGTAGCAGGTCTAGTGATTTTCTCAAGACTAGGGGAGCTATGCCCCTTCTTACATATGTGCCCACAAATATCCCTTGTGCAACCTCTATGACAAGGTATACATATTCACCCAAGCTTTGTCAAAGCCAGAGTGGCTTAGCTTGGACTGTGTATTTTAAACAGGCAAGGAGTTTTCAAATCACAATGCTCAATGACCACTTAGGTCAGAGACATCTGAAGAGGGCCTAGGTACCTGGCAGGGCCCTCCGGGTGATTCTCGTGTCTTGCAGAGACCAAAAGGAAGTCATGTTGCTAACAAGGAAGAGTGTGATCATTGTCATTAATTAAATACAAGCTTTGGAGTTAAGAAATGCCTTGCTCTGAGCTTGGTCAACAGGGTGACCTCCCCATAACTGAGGTCACAATAAGAAGAACATGCAGCCTTGATCCACCAGGCACTGTGCTAAGGCATGGGTACATGTTCTTATATCACTAGCCACATTGTACAAAGAAGGAGGCTCAGGTCTGGACAGAAGAGCAATTTATGCTATGAGCAGAAGGTGGACAATGGGGCTGTGCCCTCTAAGAGTAAGCTGCTGGGCTGCAGGGAGAGCTCAGTACTTGAGCACTAGTTTTTGACCAAGTAGAGCATGCTGCTCCAGCTCAGCCACAGTGTTCATTAACAATGACCATTTGCTGCTCATCCAGCTATAGTCCCCAGCCACGTGGTGATTATTAACAGACAATACTGACTAAGAAATGTTCTGTACTGTTTAGAAACAATTCACTTCATGGATACTTGGGGACTGTTATCTTACTATGATGAGAATACTGCCTTTAGAATTGCCCCTTCAGAAATGAAGTCATGTATTTTGTTTGTTCTAAGCTGGTAGCTACTGGGACTAAGTCAGTAGGATGGAGGTGGAGCTGGTGAGGAGTCAGTAGGATGGCGGTGGAGCTGGTGAGGAGTCAGTAGGATGGCGGTGGAGCTGGTGAGGAGTCAGTAGGATGGAGGTGGAGCTGGTGAGGAGTCAGTAGGATGGAGGTGGAGCTGGTGAGGAGTCAGTAGGATGGAGGTGGAGCTGGTGAGGAGGGAAGGGACTCCACTATTACTCAGAAGGCAGAGAGTGTTAAACTCAGACAATAATTGTATTTGGGAGAGCAGGGAGAGACAGAAAAATCCTAGTCCAGTCTAGATTGTAGACTACATGGTGATGCTAGAGACTTTTGTGGAGTTGGGGGACAAGCATTTGGAGAGAAAGAGAAGGAACAGGGAAGTTCGTGGCATGTTGAGTGATGGGTACCTGCAGGTCATGCAGGCAGAGAGAATTGGTGGGAAACTGTTGGTATCTCCCAGGGGGCCTAGGCAGGTAGAGAGTAGTGGGGGCCGTTGTTCTGAGAGGCATTAGTGAATGCATTATCTAACTTTTCCCTCTTCTGCACAAGCTCCAGATTAGATAAACTGTATTATTTCTGCTGTGAATAGCTTGGCAATGGAGAGAAAGCAAGGCTTATGGTGATCTGCTCACACCACACTCCTTGGAAAGCAGAAGGAAGTGAAAACTGGACAGGTCCAGATGTCAGGTTTCAGATTAGTGTTTTCTTGTTTTGTTTTGTTTTGTTTATAAGCTTTTCCAATAATACCTGGTCGGTAAATGATAGACCCAGAATTCACATTAGGCATAGTATCACCCCAGTGAATGTGCTCTTCAAGTCTCTGCTGGCTTGAAAAACTTGATAAACATTGGGAAATTTGATAGAGAAAGGAGGCTGAGGGAGGGATGTGAATCCCACACTGATGCCAGGTCAGGCTGGTGACATATGTAACTTGGACGTTTTCAGTGGCTGGTGCAGAGCTACTGAAAGGAGTTCCTCCAGCTGCTTAGGAGATTAAAGCACCGTCGTCTAGCAGCAAGCTTTATGAAAACATGTCGTAGGAAAATCTTAAACAAAGGAGTCGAGACAGCGGAGTTACTACAGCCATCCGGGCAAGAGCAGGGCTGCTCTCAGGGCAGAGGTACCAGATGTGAAGAAAGAAGCAAAGAAACAAAGTCCATCACAGAGCTCAGCAATAGGACACAAGGGTGATGCATGGAAGAAGTAGAGGGGCGGGTGTCCACAGAGGCCGTGGTGCTGAGCCTGGGTTCCTTCAAGGATGATGAGAGAACGGAGGAGTTAACAGTGTCAGAGGGAGCGTATTGACAGACAAGGAACGCTTGCTCGGAGGCAGTAGGGCCTGCTGATCCCAGGCAGGCCTCAGGCTGGGTTCTGTTCTCAAGAGGACCCAGCATAGCTCTGAATTCAAGCAGTTCACTTAGAGTTCTGATGAGTATGATTGAACATCTCCAACAGTGTGCAAGCTTGGGCTGTTTTTGTTTAGTAGTCTGTCCCTTTCTATCAGGGACTATGGGAGTCCAGCCCCTCGATAGTCCCCTCCCAGGGTCCGGGAAGAATCTACAACCAGCTGATAATTAATCTTTGAAGAAAAGAAATGAATCTATGTACACGAAATTCCTTAGTCCATACATTTTATTATTCTGTCAGGTTTCTCTCTACAAGCTTATACTCTGCTCTCATTTTTAGCTCCTTTCTTGCCCAATTTCTCTTTACATTTATCTGCTGACCCCTCTAGGTTCTATCTTAATTTTTTCATCTTAGTTCTGTCCCTTCTAGGTTCTTATCCATCTAGTTCTTTCCCATATCAGCTCCTCCCTCATCTCCTTTCTCTCTCATCTTGTTCTTCCTCATCCTGTTCTTCCCCATCTGGCTCTTCCTCATCTTCCATCTCGTTCCTCTAGTCCTCTCTTCTAGCCCTTCAGTCTAGTTCTTCCCATCTCAGTTTGTTCCTCTCAAGTTCTTACCCATCTAGTTCTTCCATTCTCTTTTCTCTTCTCTGCCCTGTGCCCTGGAAATCCCTGTATAAGAAGGGAGGGGGCGAGCTAAATTGTGTAAAGCTATTACTTAACGTCCTGACCTAGGTGGTGTCTCCTGGTGGAATTTACCTTAAGTCAGGTGACTAGCATGTGAACTGTTATCACTGTTAGTCCTTGAAAGTGGCTAAGGGAGATATCTGATTCCAGAGAAAGCCTTTCCTGAGGCAGTTCTCCAAATACCTGGAATGTGTATGTCCAGAGTGATCAGTCCACACTGTTAGCCCTTCTTAGGGAAAAGTCAATTGGGAAAACTATGAAGGCACACATGATTTTCATAACAGAAGACAGCTGATATTTAATAAGCCAAATAACACCAAAATCTCCTTGGAATTTGGCTTCCTCTAGAGGAATTCCCTAATCCCTCCAGGTAGTGACTTTGCCATAATGAGCTGAGTTCTTATGATATATTCCTGCAGCCTGCAGCACCTCTCTGCAGCCCTGAATCTGTGTGTGTGTGTATGTAGTTTGGAGGGTGTGTATGTAGTGTGTGTGTGTGTGTGTGTGTGTGTGTGTGTGTGTGTGTGTGTGTGTGTGTGTGTATACCACTAGACAAGCATCCCATCTCTGGAATAAATCCCAATTCTCTCATTACTTTCATTTAGAGACCATGTCTAACTTAGTTGCCTAGACTGGCTTTGAACTTGCTGTCCTCCTGTCTCAGCTCTAGAGTAACTAAGGACTTGCAGGCCTACGCCAACAGGCTTTGGTTGTACAGACAGCTGGTATGAAGTGTACACTCTGGCACCATATCTATCTGGGATAGGCTGGAGAGGAACACCTGACTATAAAGGAGGTTTCAGGGAAGTTCTTTACTGATGGCTCCCAAAGATTCCTTGCAAAATGGCTTTCATGAAGACAACAGTTCTACCTGTGATGACTTGTTTGTCAACTTGACACAATTTAGAATCACCTGAGAAGAAAGTCTCAGTGAAGGATTGTACAGATCAGGTTGACTTGGGGACGTGTCTGTGGGCATTGTCTTGATTGCCTTAGCTGATATGGGGAGAAGCAGCAGGAAAGTGGGGATGCTGTTCCCTGGCGTGGGAGCCTGGACTGTGTTTGAGTGGGGAAAGCTAGCTGTAAACGTGCTCCCGACTGGGGCTGATGGAATTAGCTCTAAACATGCTTGCATGCATTTCTCTCTGCTCCCGACTGGGGCTGATGTGATTAGCTGCTTCAGGTGTCTGCCTCGATGTCCGCTTTCTCTTCTAAGTCGCTTTTGTCAGAGTATTTTCTCACAGCGGCTGAAATGGAGCTAGGATCCCACCTAGGACGCAGTTCAGTGGTAGGTGGAACATGAAGCTTGACCCCAGTTCTCTCTGCTTCATCTTGGCTCTGAGAAACACTTGCTGAGCAGTGTCCAGCCGGGGAAAGACGGACTCTGCCTGGGCTTCTCTCTGCCAGGACAGCTCTTTTATCGACAGCTCTTCCCAACAACTTCTCCTCGAGAATCATGTCCAAGAGCAAGGGTCACATGGTCATTCCTGAACCAACACTTAGCAAGACAAATCCTCAGCTTTCACTTGAGTTCTGGAGATCCCCATTGAGCTCTGAGCCCTGTGGTCCAGACCTAGACACCAGAATCTGGACTCTGATGTGAGGAAAGGGGGCAATCTGGAGACTCAGTTTCTTCCACAGTTAATGCTCAAGCATTGAAAGTGTTGTCCACCATAGGACAGATTATTATGTCCCAGTCATTGCTGACAGCAGTGAGGACAGGTCCAGGGCCCTTGCTCTCAGTCTGTTCCTTGCCCCGTTACAGAAGCCTAAGGGGAGGTGGCAGGTTTTGGCTCTGTGTCCTGCTCTGGCTGTAGATGCCTCCTAATGGATGTCTGCTGAGAACACTCGGTTCTTCTGATGGTCCATGATGGGATGGAATGCTGGATCCCTGCAGGCTCCAGATGTAGCGGTTTCCCCTAAAGAGGAAGACTTGTATAAGGCATGAGGCACATGTACTCTCCCCAGAAAGGAAATAAAAGGGATGTTTGCATTCTCCAAAGCTGTGTCTTCCAGCCCCATTCATAGCATCCTGAAGGTGAAAGGCCCCAAGCTACAGCCGCACTGGGGCCCTGAGCGGTGCTGGGTGGGTGTGCAGGAGAGTGAGGAAGCTTAGACTAGGTGTCCGCCTTCCTCTCGGGGGTCCCCTTGGGGCCATTTGCTGAGTCTTCTGTCTCTCTGCTGACTTCATCGCTTAGACGCTGGGGTGAAAACTGCGTGTTTGGGCCAGGCGAGCACGCTGCCCTCCAGCTGCCCCCCCCATCTTCTCTCCTCTCCCTCACAGCTATTGCAGGACGCACCTCAGGCCTCCCCAAGGAGCATGGAGGCATGGCAAGATGGGAAGGCCTGCCTGCCCCCTCTGAATACCCAGGCCAGCCACAGAGCCCTCCAGTTTGGGGACAGTCCTACCAGCCACTTGCTATTCAAGCTTCCCCGGGAGCTGCTGAAACCCAGGTATTTCTCCTTTCCCTTTTTTTCTCTTTCTCTTTAAAATTTTTTTTTCTTGTTCCATTCAGTGCCAAATCAGAGCCCACTTTCCCGCCTCTCCCAGAAAAGTCTCATGAAGGGGGTGCTGTCAGTTTGCTGGAGACAGTAGCCTGTACAGGACAGAGTGGGGGCCTTCACGTTCTCTCCCCTGCACAGCTGGAATGGAGATGTGACTGCCATCGCCGCCACCGCGGCTGCTCAGGGCCCAAACAATAAGCTTGGCTCTGGCTGAGAATTGATGGTGTTCTAAAAATAAGGCTGCTGCTCCACCCCCAAAGCTAGTTATTATTTATGTGATAAATCACCTTTCTTCTTGCGCTGTATTGAAAGGGAAATTGTTCTCTTAGGTAGCCTTGGTGCAGATGGAACATTCCTAGAGAATGCTTTTAGCTAATGATCTCAGAAGGAAGGAGGGACGCACGGTTTGTCCTTTTTGGGTGTCTTGAAGGAAACATGGATGCCGACCATTGCTTCAGACTTTCATTTTTTAAACAGTGGCAGAAGGGCCCAGGGGTCAGAAAGACTGGCTTGAACTCTTGGTTCTCGTGAGGCCTGTGCTTAGCAACACACTGGCTGTGTCACGTGCTAGCTCACTTCTCTGTGATATGGATGCCGAGATGGGTCTGGAGAGGCAGGGGTTTAGTATGGGAAGTGGAAGGTGGTAGAGAGGGGGCAGGCAGGCACAGGCTGGGAGAGCCTGAGGCTGGGATAGGGCCACTATGGAGAATGGAGTGGGCGTCAGCCTGCAGCGCTACCTGAGGAAGCCGTCTAGTCCTGCACCCCTGAGGCAGAAATCACCTCAGAAGGGTCTATGTTCCATCATGCCTGCCACATTCAGCAGATCCAAAAAATATGACAATTGGGGACTACCCTGTGCCCTGTCACAAGCCTTCCCAAAATGGATATATCTTTGTGACCTTCATACACAGTGTGTCTTTTCTAAGTCTGCATTTCCCTTCTGGGTCTGCCTGACATTTTAGCTATGGTACACCTCTATCTAGCCTCCATTTTCTCATTGGTTAAAAGGGGTTAATACTGATTTCCTGACTATGGGTACAGGTTAATAGTTTGACAGGATACTGGCCCTTGGAAGGCCATTCAGCCACAGGATGGCTCACAGATATGACAGTCAGAACAATCCGAAGGAAAAGCCTGAGCAAGCAGTGACCCCATGGAAAGACTCAGAACTTGTCATTTGCAGAAACTCAACTTGTAGAAGACCAGAGCAGGAGGAGGCAGGATGTCCTTCAGCTGGCCCTTCTCCTAATGACATCATCACTTCTGGGAAGGGAGGCTCCATTGTCTAGCCCTGCTCTCTTGGCCAAGCTGGCCTTAATGACAACAATCCCTCTCTTAAAGAGGTGGCATCTGCAGATGCTGCCCTGACTGTCCTAGCTTCCCCCGGCTCTCCCCACCACCTCCCACCCCCGGCTCTCCCCACCGCCTCCCACCCCCGGCTCTCCCCACCGCCTCCCACCCCCGGCTCTCCCCACCGCCTCCCACCCCCGGCTCTCCCCACCGCCTCCCACCCCCGGCTCTCCCCACCGCCTCCCACCCCCGGCTCTCCCCACCACCTCCCACCCCCGGCTCTCCCCACTGCCTCCTGTCTCCAGCATCTTCTCCCTTCATACATTCAGCATAGTGGCCTGCTCACAGTCAACCCTGATGCTTTCTCATCCTGGTAGCATTTTGAAAGGTGAAGTGGGGGGTAGTGGGTAGAAAGCTGATCATTACGATATTGGCTATTTTTCTCATCTCTATAGCAAAAGCAACTTAAGAATGAACGGTCATTTGACTCATGGTTTGAGGGTACAGTCCACTGTGGCAGAGAAAGCAGCAGGAATATGAGGTCACATTACATCCACAGTCAGGAAGCAGAGAGATGGGCAGCTAATGCACACTCACTTTCTCCTTTTCATTTAGTCAGGGATCCCAGCCCAGGGAGTGGTGCTGCCACATCCAGTTAAACCTCTTTGGAAGACAGACCCCTTGCTGACTGCTGCAGGGTGTGTCTCTAAGTTGACAGTCAAGATGAGCTGTCACACTAGTGTGTGCAATCCTAAGCTACCCCAGTCCCAAATGTTTTAACAGTGGCGCCTTCGGGAAGCTGCCGGCTCTGCTGTGAGCTGTAGTCCTCATTATCATTTGCATCTCAGCTGTTTTCACCGTCCCATAAAGGGCACCATTGCTTTAACCCTGCAGTGGATATGTGAGTGTGCTCTTGATCTCCCCCACCTCCCCTCAGCAGTGAGGACTCACAGCTGCTCTGTCATAGTCTGGGATGCGAATCTGCTGCTGCCTTTTTGAAATGTTAGTCTTTTCTGCAGAAGACTGCCTTAAGAAACAGTTCTGGAAAGCGAATGTCAAGTCCAATCACTGCGCCCACGTATGCAAGTGCTGTGTGCTCTGGAGTGCATCCCAATATTCTTTTAAGTTGGCACAGGAGACCAGAAACGTCAGGAGAAATATGGAGCCGTGGGCCATCTGGGCAATTTCATTTAACAAATACGGGTTCTTTTTCATCTTGAAGAATGTTGCCCTCTAGGAAACCTGTTCATCTGATGAACAAATATGCATCTTAGACTCACAATGTTGAAAAGCAGAGAATTAACAGTCTAATGTTGTCTTATACCTCCAGATTCTACTCCTGAATTATTCATTTCCTTCTTAACTCGATCTCATCGCTATTTGTTCAATGCGTACTGTGTAGAAGAAACTACCCATACAGCTACAATAGCAAGATATCCCTGGTCTCTGTCCTCTAGGGGGTATTAGACATGAACCCCAGGGAATGAGTACAGACATCTAGTTGACTTCTGCCTCTCTACTGCCTTTTCATGTTGTACCTCAGTGAACTTGTTGGTGGTCCCATGCACCATAGATAATTCAAGAAACAAAATTCTATGGCTGTATCCCCAGGGCCCAGCACAGTCCCTTCTACACACTGAACTCTTAGTAAATGTTTGTTGGATGGTTAGCTGGTTTGATGGATGGATGGATAGGAATCTTCATATAAAGTAAACTTTGCTTGGCTTGTTTAGGAAATGATATGAAACCATCATGTAAATTAATGCTGGCTCTCAATTTGTGGCTACATAATATTTTGCAATTCCTCTTCCAGGACAGCTGAGGTCTGGGGAGTTGGTCAGAGAAATGGGGGGAGCAGGAGAAGGTGAATCCATGCTCCTGTGCCTTTGTGTTAAATATGTCCCATACCAAGTGCTCATCTGATGTCCAGGCCACACTCTCGTTAGTCAAGCTGCCCCCGTCCCTCCTCCCACCTCCCTCCGCACGAACGCGCACCAATGGAAAGCACCTTCATCGGCTCTCAACAGTCGTGTTAGTGAGGAAGCTAAGCCAGCCACCAAAAGACAAACCGTGTGGTTCCGCTTGCATGAGGTACCAAGAGCAGTCAGGTCCGTGAGACAGAAGTGGAGGACTGGTAGCCAGACCCCCAGCAAACAAAGAGTAGAACTATTGGCTAGAATGTGTGTTTCACACACTGAGGGGCTGTGGAGATGGTTTGGGGCAACGTTACGAATTAACTCAACCCTAATGAGCTGGACACTCAAAAGTGGTGAAGATGGTAAATTTTAGGTCATGTGATTTTACCATAATTTTAATGTTGATTTTTAAAGTTCCAGCGTGTTCCTTTTGCCACATGCTAGGACTTATACCACTAGGTAGGCTTGCTGTAGGAAATGTGTGCAGTTCCCCAACATAGTCAGGAAACTACCAGAAAACCATTGGCAACTAGTGTGCTCTGGCGTCCGGAAGTCCCTATGTCTTTGGGGAATGGGCTCACCCCTACTCCTCTTCTGAGGTGCAGGAAACTGAAGGCATCTATATCCCTCCACTGCCCATTTCTTTCCCTTTTTTTTATATTTATTTACATACTTACTTATTTGAGCAAAGATCTTACTGCTGTATACCTGAAAACGTCTAGGCAACCCAGGTTGGCCTCAAACTTGTAATCCTCCTGCCCTTCACTCCTGAGACCTGGGATTATAGGCCAGCATGCCCAGTTCTTGCCTGTCTCTTTCTTTATCCACAGGTCACAGTTTTCTGTGGACATACAGACAACCTCCTCCAAAGGGCTGGTGTTTTACACAGGCACCAAGAACTCCTTCATGGCTCTTTATCTCTCAGAAGGGCATGTCATCTTTGCTTTGGGAGCAGAAGGGAAGAGACTGAGGCTCAGGAGCAAGAAGAAATACCATGATGGGAAGTGGCACACGGTGAGAGCTGGGACTGTGTGAAAATGGGTTGAGCATCTTGAAATAACCCCAAGCCCAAAATGGTCCAATGTCCCAAACATTTTGAGCAAAGACAGTACCTCAAATAGAAAATTTCATGCCTAGTCTCTTATAACTGATTATAATAAACATACTAAATATATAGATTCTCTTTCTGTTTATATATATTGAACATGAATGAATTTTGTGTTTAGACTTGAGTCCCATCCTAAGATATCTCATTATGAACATTCCAAAAGCAGAGAACAGACTATAACACTTATGGTACCAAGCATTTCAGATAAGGGATCCTGGATCCAGTCTGTACTTCTAGCTGGTGCCGAATCTACTGTCTCAGGAGCCAAAATGAAAAGTCCAGAGTTATTCCCAGGAGCCCTTGCACATGTACAGGCAGAGTCTGTGTGGGTAGGTGCACTGGACACCCAGCATCTTGGGACAAAGACTGTCACACGTGCATGTACCGTGTGTGGATGGCAGCCTGAATGTCAAGGTAGACTTAAACCATTGATTCTGTGATTTCCTCCCTATCTACCTGGGCTGCATGGCTCCCCAGCCTATTTCCCATCTCTGCACACTGGACCGCTTCTCAGAACCAGTTCTGGGCTCCAGGCTCCTCTCTCTGTACCTGGTGTTCTTTCTCACAGCACAAGCAGAAAGCCTTCTCTCACTGCATCCCTTACATCCCAACTCTAGCCGAGTTAAAAGTGTACACTAGAAAAGGAAGCCATGTTTTTCTAATGATGGAACTGTTAATCAGAAAACCTAAGTGACCTGATGAGTTCCACTCATTAATATTCAACAAATATTCAATGGGCGGCTCTCTTGGAGCACATGAACAAGCATCCTGACTGTAATGTCAGATACTAGTCTTTTGGGAAAATGTTAGACTGGCTAGACCACAGGGAAGTAAGAGTGGAGATGCTATTTTTGTTAAAGTCATCAGGAAAAGGCTTCTGGGGGGGGCAGTCAGTGAGCAGACCACGTTATAAGGGGCGGGATTGGGGGCGTAGGGTGGACAGGAATCGGATAACTTAAGGTTTCAAAGCCCAAACTAAGGGTTTAGGATATTGCTGGCTGTAATTGTATGGATGCATTTATGTATGTATTGCTAGAAATGCTAGGAGTTGAATCTAGGGCCTCATAGACCTGGGTAAGCACTCTGCCATGAGTCTTAGGGTCTCAGATGCTTATGCTGACCTTGACTCTGTAACCCTCCCACCACAGTCTCCAGACAGCTGGGATCACCAAGCTGTGCCTTCAGACCAGGCTACTTTTATCTATTTATGGGATAGGTTCTCACTGTATAGCCCAGGCTGTCTTGGGACTCACTAGGTAACCCAGACTGACCTAGAGCTTGTGATCCTCCTGCATCAGCCCAAGTGGCTAAGATTACCAGGCACGTGTCACTACAGCCAGCTTGGCCTTTGGGTTCTATTACAAGTGTCTCTGAAGCTCTGGAAGCCTCTTAAACTGGTAAGGCATAGACACAGGAATATAGTGACTTTTTCCAGAGTCTCTCTGGCTGAAGGATCTGGACCAGGGCAAGAATCGAAGTAGGGAAAGCAGACAGATGTTGTTGCCCTCATCTAGAAAGGCCGTGGTGGGAGTGGGGGGCCGTGGTGGGAGTGGGGGGCCGTGGTGTGGAGGGTGGATGCAGAACGAAGAGCAGGAGGACAGCTGTCCGGTTGCAGGTGGACTGACAGCAAAGGAGGAGGCCAGTGTGGCCTTCATGATTTGGCCCAGTCTTTGGGCTAGTGGCAGGGCAGGGAGGGAGGAATGGAGGAAGAGGAGAGAGGGACAGACACAGAGACAGAGACAGAGAGAGACAGAGACAGAGAGAGAGAGAGTTGTTGGGGGCCAGTTTAGATCTCCACTGATGGCATTGGACTGGAGTCTTTAGTGAAAGTGCCACCACCGAGAGAGCAGACAAGGATTCAGACGCGTAGCCAAGAGACTGCTCGCACTCCTGCGCTTACCTGAGCCTTGCCCTGGCCTGCCCCGCCCTCAGCTCTGCGGACTGTTCTGACCCTCAGCCTGTGCTCTTGGTTACTCCTCCTTTGTTTACATTCCTGACCCTGTGTCTGCGGATGCAGCCCCTTTCAAGCAGCTCTTTATTTAACTCCTCTTCCATCACAGCTGTTCAGTATCTGACATCATCTCACAAAACAATGGTCACAGTAATAAACAAGAAAAGACCTTTCTCTCCTTGTAAAGCTACTGAAGGGTAGAAGAACCTTTTTTGAAGTTTTCTATGACCACTAGTGAAATACGGCAGTAATTAACAGAGGTAAACCTTTGATTGTTTTCTTTATTCTAAAGGTGGCGTTTGGACAAAGTGGAGGGAAGGCGCGCTTGGCTGTGGATGGGCTAAGGGCCCAGGAAGGCAGCTTGCCTGGAAATTCTACCATCAGCCCCAGAGCACAGGTTTACCTGGGATTGTCACTATCAAGGAAGTTGAAGGTAAAGCTAGAAAAAAAAAAGTATTTCTCATTATAGCTGTTATCACGTGAGACATTTAAGACTTCAAAATCCTTTAAATAATTGTTTGACCTATCTAATGTTCTCAACCCACAAAGGAAGTGCCCACTCTGCATTCTCAGGCCTGGGTATGAGGACCAGACTAAGACACAGGCATTTAAGAAGTGACATGGTGTTCTTTAAGAACATTTAAGAAGAAACATGACTCTCTTAGCTTCTCTTCCAGGGAAAGGGACAGAGGGGTGTGTTTTGATTTGTTATTTTGTGTGTGAATATTGTGTTTGTATGTATGTCTGTGCACCACATGTGTGCCTGGGGCCTGTGGAGGCCAGAAGAGCACATCAGATCCCCCAGAGACTGGAGTTAGAGGAGGTTGAGAGGCCATCTGGGTGCTGGGAATTACATCTAGTCCTCTGGAAGAACAGCTAGTGCTCTTGACCACTGAGCCATGTCTCCAGCCTGAGGCAGAGGTTTCGGGTTAAGACAATGCGTCCCAAGCTTTGGTAGTCTCTGCCACCTTTGCCAAACTGAAGCCAAAGCATGTACTTCCTACTTCGCTGCCTCTCAACTCGCTGTTGAGTCGAAATGTATTTTAAAGGACCATTTTTCTTTCATAAATGGAAACCCAATGTCTGTTATCATAGATAGCAAATAACCACAAAAATGAGTACTTGGACATGGAGCAGCATCATTAAAGTCTAGGTAGGTGGCTTGGCCTGTGCTTGCTCTTGTGGAGAGCGGAGCTTGCAAGCAAGTCAAGAGGTGTTTAAACATATTAGCATTGGCATAAAGCCAAAGTGTTCCCTTTTCTAATCAGAGGGTTCCAAAGACACTTGAAGAAGTGGAAGGTGTGTTTCCATAGACACTGTGCCTGGTGGGGCGAGGGCCTGGGCTGGATCTCTAGCCCAGATGGAAAACACAAAGAAGATCTTACCACACGCATCACACCGTTCTTCCCTGAAATGACGGCATTAGCTCAAGACTCAAACTAGGGAATATGGCTATGGGACAGCTGAGAGTCCCCTGACACCAAAGAGGAGCCACGGTTCACTGTCCTTGTCACGTTTAAAAGGGCCACAGCCCTCTTGCTTGCTCTCTCCCTGTCTCTCTCTCACCCTGCCAAAGTGCCAACTGCACCAGGGATGCCCTACGTCCCTGAACTTACCCGTGCCATTTCAGGTCATGGTACTGTGAGAGCTCAGGTCTAGGAGCTATCCTTTACCCAGATGTAGTTTTTGGCACTTCCTCAGGAGTTGAGGGCACATTCTGGTGTGATGTTCACTTGCAGGTCCGGGCTCGAATCTGGGCCTGGAAAAGGATGTAAGTAAAGCAGGCATTGTCCACCAGCTTAGACCTTAGTGTTTCAGGGTGACCCAGTGAGAGCTGGGGTAGGTCCGTGGGGTACAACCTGGCCCATTCTTTGTACCAAAGCCACAGCAAGGAATAAAGAATGGTTTTGTACTATATATGCAGTAATTTTGTATGTCTATCACAAATACTGCAGGCCACATTTATATAATAGGCACATGGTGTCTATGGCATATGCTAAGGGCCCTTACTGTTAACACTGACTTTGCTCCAACCTCTAAAACCGTTTTCCTCTCAGGAAAGTCACAGGTTACTCAGGGTGTGATTAGGGCATTCTTTTGATTCTGATAGGTTCTCTTAACCCTCATTAATCACACCTAGCTTCCTAAGTGGGGGCAGACAGCAGCGTCTATTTACAGTGTTCCATTTAAGAAACTTTCAGTTGATATACAACATAGTGGATTTTCCTGTGACATGGTCACTTGGCCCTGATGCTTTGGGCCTGTGGCAAGGCAGGGCATCACAGCAGGGAATGTCTAATGGGGCAAAGCTACTTGCCTTGGTCAGGAAGCAAAAAAGTGAGGTGAGGACCAAGATCCCATCCCCCTTGGGTGAGCATGCCAGCAATGACCGCCATTGCCTCCTGAAGGGTGCACAACCTTCCAGTAATGCCATAGGCAGGCTTTTAGCATGGCCTTTGGGACCCTTAAGATTCCAACGGTAAGAATATAAAATCCAGTAGTGGTGCTAAGCAGCAGAACTGCAGCCAGCCTTGGGTTTTGCTGTTGGGTCACAGTCGGGCCTGTGGTGTCTGCACTTGGTTTCAGATACACAATACGTCCGTCTAGCACAATGAATGTGAGGAGATGTGTTAGGCACTGCCTCATCGCTGGGAAAAATGCCTGACAATATGACAGTAGCAATTTAGGGAAGGCAGGGCTTATCTTGGTTCCCAGTTCCACGGTGTAGTTGTAGTAGTGGCAAGAGTGGAGATGACGGATGCATCACACTCACAGCTAGATGCACTCACAGTTAGATGCACTCACAGCTACACACGCTCACAGCTACACGCACTCACAGCTACACGCGCTCACAGCTACACGCGCTCACAGCTAGACGCGCTCACAGCTACACGCGCTCACAGCTAGACGCGCTCACAGCTACACACACTCACAGCTAGACGTGGGGATGAACGGCGAAACAGCTGGGCTTCTACTGGGTGAAGACCTCAGCCCATGGGACGGTGCCACCTCCATCTACGGTGGATTTCCAACCTCAGTTACCAATCCAGAAACTCCCTCACAGGCATGCCCAATGGCTTATCTGTTAGGTGGTTCAAGGTCCTGTCAAGGTGACAATATTAACCATCATAAAAACGAATTCCTGAGGAGGTCTTGCCGGCCACTTGCCGCATGCACCACATGCATGTCGCCACGCTCCCTTAAAATTACCTGTAAAATTTGGGGATTTCAGGAATGTTTTGTGAATTTGGCAGATGTGCTGTGGTTCTTCTCCTGGAGGGTAGGATGTGCACACATTGAGCATCTTCTGTATACCACAAGGTATTGTGAACCGTGATAAACCCAGATCCAGACTGGGAACTCCTGTTCCAGGCCCGCTTCAGGCAGGTGTTGACGAGGTGCACGGTATCTCCTTTGACCTCTGTGGCATTCATGGTTTATTGGTAGTATACCAAGCCTAACAATATAGAGGGCCATCTTGCACTTCATTATTTTGGGAACATTTTGGCCCCATTTTTCAGTCAGCTGCCTGGAATTAAGCTATCACGCTGGCTCACAAAGCCCTAAGAAGCGGTTCACACCTACAGAGAATGGTGAGATATATAAACTGTGAGGTGGAGTTTTCCTTGTGTTGCAGCTCAGTCTGTGTGAGCCAGAGTCATGTTGACCCTCTTTGTTCTTATTTGAGCACAGATTAGCAACTTCCACCCCACCCCCAGCATTTGGTTCAGAGACACCTTCAAACGTCAACAACACCCACCAGTTCTCAGGCAGGCTGCATGCCCTTCGCGTTGGCTTTTCTGGAGTTACACGCTATGAACGTTTTATCCTCTGCTTTGTTACAGAGCCTCCCCCAACACAGCTTTATAGGGTGCCTGAGGAACTTCCGGTTGAACTCAAAACTCCTGGACTCCCCCTCAGCAAGGTTTGGGGTATCTCCCTGCTCAGGTGGCTCTTTGGAGAAAGGCATTTATTTCTCCCAAGGAGGAGGCCATGTGGCCCTGGGTAAGGAACAGTTGGCGGAGTTCATGTCTGTAAGTCTAAAGAACTCTGTTTTCTTTCCTTAATTATGGTGTTTTAACTGTTTCTTGTTCTTTCTTCTGGAAGCCAATTCTGTGTCCCTGGGGCCAGAGTTTGAGCTCATTTTCAGCATCCGCCCGAGGAGTCTTACTGGGACCTTAATACACATTGGAAGTCAATCTGGACCACACTTAAGTGTTTACATGGAGACAGGAAAGGTATGCTTACATGGGAGGGGAGAGGGAGCCAGATTCCACTAACAGAGACACTCAGTAAGTCTAAAGTTAGGGTACAGGTGGAATCCAATATTATACCTAAGAGACCTGATTTGGAAAATAACTTCCCATTTTTTATTAGCAAGTCATGTTATCATATTTCCTTTGCTTCATTTTTAAAATTGTGAAACGTCAAACAAATTGAGCTGAATTCTGGAGACACCACTTAGTTATAGGATCCGGGAGAAGCTGCTCAAATTCCTTCAGACACAACTGCAATGTCTATAAAATATAGACAATAACTCTGCCATCCGGGTTCCAGGCTAGACATTGCTTCGCTTCGGAGGTCAGACGAGACTGGGTACCTTCAGGTAGTGTGGCTGCAGACAAATGTCAATCCTAGGGCTTCTGTCAAGATTAGAGGAAATGCCACACACCTCACCCATGCTTATATCCCTCCTTGTCACCCTCCATGTCTAGGTCACCTCCATTTCTAGGGCCCTGAGCCCCTGGAGTCCACTCTGGGCCCTTTGTCCTCTCTCTGCAGCTGTTGTACTCTGGCCTCTGTGGCTAAGCTGCTTGCCGGCTCCCGCACCATCTCTCCCTTGGCTTGGCTTGGTTCTTCCCCCTTTAATGCTTCTGCTGCCTCAGGTTCCTGTCAGTCACAGGCCTGAGTCAATATCCTATTTCAACAACCACATTTCATATCTTTAAAACGAAATTCTTTCGGGAATCTTCTCTGTAGCTAAGGCCTCAAGTCAAGATGAATGTTGTACCATTTTCTTTCATTTAGCTTTCAACGGTTTATTAAAAATGGGGGAGAATTCCAAGATACAATAAAATGGCTCAAACTCCTAGAATACTGTTTTTTCTTTCTAGGGGTCAGACACAGAGTCTCTGCCACTCTGCAAGGAGTCTATTTCAGTGCCGTACTCCTGGCCCAGCCACTATGTCCCGTTTTTAAAGTTTTTATCAGCGAATGATAATTATACACAATAATGGGTTTCCTTATGATGTTTCTATGAGTGAACATAACGAATTTAGATCGTATTTACCCATGATTCTCTCTGGGCCCCTCCTACTCCCTCTTCTCCTTTGTCCTTTTGGTTTGGGGGAACCAGGTGAGTTCAGCTGGCTTTGCTCACAGGCACATGGATGGAGCACAGGCAGTTTGCCAGTGCCTACACCTCTGAAGAATTGACACCCCTTTCCACCACCAACAATGGTAGATCCTTCCTGAAGCTGTAAACATTAAGTCAGTGTGAATCTCCAGTCATGCAGAGGAAGAAGTAGCTGCCTGTGTGGGTGGTGGGCATGTGGTGGCTGGCTTTGCAGAGGAGGGTTTGGGGGAGGGTCTTCATTGACTGCCTCCAGACAGGAAATGATGCCAAGAAAACAAAATCAAGACTCGGTGACCTTCATGACTGCATGAAGGTCAAAACCTGCTTTCGAGTGGCCTGCCCCATGTAGCTACAGAGAAATCAGCTGTAAATTATTTATAAATAGGCTTATTTTAGCTTTCTCATTCTATTCACCTTGACTTAACCCTTGGAAGATCCCGGAGGAGTCCCCAACCTGGAGAGTGGGAAGGTGGGAGTCTGCCTTCCGTGTACCAAGTGCCTGGCACTTGACACATGTCCTGTCAAATACAATCTGTAGCTTAACATCCTGTCATGTGCAGTGCACTGGGGGGTTACTGTAATTGGCTGGTCCTTGCAGCAAGGTGTGGCCCTCTGCCAGCATTTTTGATTTCCAAATTCTGCATATTAACTGCCGAGGAGAGTGATGAATGTTTGTCAGTAACCTCTGAGGGTTGGGGGAGTAGGGGTTAGGAAAGCCCATGGCTGTTGCTAGCATTGTAGGCAGGTCTGGGTTTACAGTTTGGTTTGTTTGCCTGGAAAGAGTGTGAGAGAGGAATTCTTTGGAAGCTTTGGGGATTGTGTGGTCACTGGTACAAGAGTCGGGCGGGGGCGGGGGGGGGGGGCAACAACTAGCATGCTCCCAGGGAAAAGGACAGAGGGAAGCTGGCTCCACATGCCCTTCTGAAGGAATAGCCAAATGTATGTGTGTTTCAGGTCACAGCCTCTATGAACAGTGAGACAGGTGGGACCTTGACATCAATCACACCAAAGCAGTCTCTGTGTGATGGACAGTGGCACTCAGTGACAGGTATGGCATTGGTGACCTTTGGCACAATCAGGGAAATCCTTTGGCCTGTGTTTGAACATCTCAAAGGCAGTCAGTCCATCCGCTGGAAGGCGTAGACTGGACCAGGTACTGTAGCCAGCCCACATCCCCAGTTTCCTTACCTGTTTCCAGCCCCGACTGTGCATAGACTATCTTACGGCTGCAGCCTCTAGTTCCCCATAATGCGCTGAGTTTGGGGTGTGGAAACTTCGGGTGGAGGATTTTCTTCAGCCCAGCCCTGCCCAGAAAACAGATAGGCTATTTTAGTGTTTAAGGTGCCAATAACATTGGGGTTTGGGTTTTGGCTCTGAACTCTTGGGAATAAAGAAAAAAAAGTTTCTGAGGATAGAGATACGACTCAGTGGGTAAGAGCACTTCTTTGTATTCTAGCAGACCTGAGTGTGATGCTCAGAACCCACACCGGGTGGGTCACAGCCACCTGCATCTCTAGAGCCTGAGGATCTATACCCTCTCCTGGCTTCTCTGGCACTGCACTCGCAGACATACATTCACACAGACACACGAGTGTACACACACACACACACACACACACACACACACACACACACTTTAAAAAAGAGAAACCACTTATTATGGGCAGGTTACTTATAGCATCTGATCTTTAGTGAGCATTCAGTAAGAAGAATCCAGTTTTATTGCTGGATTTTTAAGGATCATTGTTATTTTTCAACCATTATTCAATATTAATCCAAAGTATTCAAATGAAACAATGGTGGAAAGTGAACACACCCTCTCAGAATCTGTTATTTTAGTAACAACTTGTGGTGTTAGCTTAGAGCTTTATGAGCCTGAAGCAGGGGGTGTAGGCCCAGTTGGTAGAATGTTTACCTTGTGTGCATAAAGCCCTGGGTCCCATCCCCTAAACCATGCATGACAGTGCACATCTGTGACCACAGCACTGGGAAAGAGAAAGAGGGTTAGGGTTAGGGGTCAGAGGTCCAAGGTCACCTTGAGATGCATAGTAAGTTTGAGGCCAGTATGAGACCCCATAAACAAGCAAGTAAATAATAAACATAATTTTTATCTCGTGTTGGCCTTTTGGCTAAGATTAAGTGTAGAAATACCTGCGCCTGGACTGGCTAAAACACCTTTTTGTAAAAAGTCCTTTCTTGGCTAATTTGAAAGCTGTCTTTCCGTTAGATACAATTTTCAAGCTAGGAGACCTTTTGTGTTGAGGGTCAAAGTTTGTACAGACTGACCCTGGCTTCTGAGAAAGCAGCTGAGGTCAGATCACGTGAACATGGCTTTTGGAGACAGACCAGAGCTTAGGTTTCATCTGTTTAGAGCGACCTCTGCTCAGCCCTCCGTGAGTCCCTTCAGTGAGTAGTAATGATGTGGCCTTTGCAGACTCACTGTGTGTGGGTGATGTGTGTGCACAGCCTGTGGAGGCCAGAGGCCAACGCTGGCTTTCATTCCTTACGTGCTAACCACCTTGGTGTTTGAGACATGATCTTATTGGCCTGGAGCTTGCTAAGAAGTCTCGGCTGGCTGCTGAGGGAGCTCCAGGGATCGGCCTGTCTGCCTCCCTGGGTGAGCCCCGGGGATCGGCCTGTCTGCCTCCCTGGGTGAGCCCCGGGGATCGGCCTGTCTGCCTCCCTGGGTGAGCCCCGGGGATCGGCCTGTCTGCCTCCCTGGGTGAGCCCCGGGGATCGGCCTGTCTGCCTCCCTGGGTGAGCCCCGGGGATCAGCCTGTCTGCCTCCCTGGGTGAGCCCCGGGATCGGCCTGTCTGCCTCCCTGGGTGAGCCCCGGGGATCAGCCTGTCTGCCTCCCTGGGTGAGCCCCGGGGATCGGCCTGTCTACCTCCCTGGGTGAGCCCCGGGATCGGCCTGTCTGCCTCCCTGGGTGAGCCCCGGGGATCGGCCTGTCTGCCTCCCTGGGTGAGCCCCGGGGATCGGCCTGTCTGCCTCCCTGGGTGAGCCCCGGGGATCGGCCTGTCTGCCTCCCTGGGTGAGCCCCGGGGATCGGCCTGTCTGCCTCCCTGGGTGAGCCCCGGGATCGGCCTGTCTGCCTCCCTGGGTGAGCCCCGGGGATCGGCCTGTCTGCCTCCCTGGGTGAGCCCCGGGATCGGCCTGTCTGCCTCCCTGGGTGAGCCCCGGGGATCGGCCTGTCTGCCTCCCTGGGTGAGCCCCGGGGATCGGCCTGTCTGCCTCCCTGGGTGAGCCCCGGGATCGGCCTGTCTGCCTCCCTGGGTGAGCCCCGGGGATCGGCCTGTCTGCCTCCCTGGGTGAGCCCCGGGGATCGGCCTGTCTGCCTCCCTGGGTGAGCCCCGGGGATCGGCCTGTCTGCCTCCCTGGGTGAGCCCCGGGGATCGGCCTGTCTGCCTCCCTGGGTGAGCCCCGGGGATCGGCCTGTCTACCTCCCTGGCACTGGGACTGCAAAAGCACAACCACGCTCAGCACTTTTTGTTTTTAGGTAAAGTCTGAGTGCTTGACTCGGGTCCCCGCGCTTGCAAGGCAGGTGCTTTACCAACCTGACTGTCTCCTCGACCCCACAGGTTCGGTTTAGGGGTTCAAATTAAGAATGTCCGTAGGACACCAAACCCTGACTGCCTCTGAGTGGTGTGTTGAATTTCTGCCCAAGACTGACCAAGTGCCTTCACACAGTTCCAAGGGTCCAGTGGGAACGAGTTCAAAGCCAGTGGTGACACAGAACAGATATTAGACAGTGGACGGGCTCTCCTCAGGGGACAGACCTAACCAGCTTCCTTTCTTCCAGTCTCTATCAAACAGCACATCCTGCACCTGGAACTGGACACAGACAGTAGCTACACTGCCGGACAGCTATCCTTCCCAGCTAACAACACCCAAGGGTCACTACACGTTGGAGGCATCGCAGGTCAGTAACTCTAGTCCCAACTTCTACACCCCTGTTAAACCCCAGCAGCTCTTGCCATTTTCTAAGGGCAGCCCTGGGTGCACAGTGGAGGTGGCAAGGTCCTTTACCTTGGCATCTGGTCACATCTCAGGGTAATGGAGGCCACAGGACTACCGCTTCCCCAGGTTCCAAACCTGTCATCTATAATCCTCCCTTAAGAGGCTCCGTTAAGCTGGGCAGTGATGGTGCATGCCTTTAATCCCAGCACTCGGGAGGCAGGCCAGGCGGATCTCTGTGAGTTCGAGGCCAACCTGGTTTACAGAGAGAGATCCAGGACAGGCACCAAAACTACACAGAGAAATCCTGTGCCAAAAAACCAAAAAAAAAAAAAAAAAAAAAAAAAAAAAAAAAAAAGGCTCCATTAACTTAGAAGCTTATGTCAGCAAATAAACAAGAAAGTTGATGAGAAACAATGGTCTCTCTTCCCCAGACCCTGAGTTGGCTGTTGAGGCCAAATGGGAGAATTGGGCAGGTTGAGTTCTAAGACTGAAATGTTGCCTGGAAAGGGGCCTTTTCATTCTTTCTTGTTTTATGTCCCTTCAGGTTGTCTGCTTACTAATTTTATAGTGCTTTTATAACCCATAAAAGGTAGCAGAGTTGAGAGTTATTATCTATTGATTCGGGCTGTGGGAGTTCCTCCTCTGGAGGCAAAGAACAGCTTTGTTGCTGATGAATCACGTAGGCAGGAAGTCAGGAAGCAGCCAGGTGGGCGGAGCCATGGGGTCTCTGACGCTTTCTAATACTACTCCCAACACCCGAGGTGCACTCATGTCATGGTGTGAGCTGTCTGTCAAGTGCCTCTTCCTTTCCTCTTTCAGACAAACTGAAAATGCTTACACTCCCTGTGTGGAACTCATTTTTTGGCTGTCTGAAGAATATTCAAGTAAACCACACCCCTGTCCCCATCACTGAAGCTGCGGAAGTCCAGGGATCCGTCAGTCTGAATGGTTGCCCTGACCACTAACCCTACACAGAAAGAAAATTCACCTTTGAAAGCACCAAGAACCCAGCGGATCTCCCACCCCATAAAAAGTCAAGACACCTTAGCACACGTTTAAAAACCAATCTCATTTTTAATTTCAAGTACACAGACCCATCGTTTTGCCATTCAGCGCTACACTTGTATTTTATATAAAAAGCCCATTTCTTGAAGAAAATGAACAAATTGTTATTCAAACATGCACACAATGCTTTTGTTAGTATTATTTTTTCCACTAAGAATTAAATGCCTTTTAGAGAACATTTTTCCCAATTGCTAAAAAGAAAATTTTGTTTAGAGCACTTTATGAATATAAAACTTTAAAATGTTAAATTGCTACAGTTCATGGGATTAAATAAATGCAATGCACTCTTCAAATGATGTTTTACAAGCAAGGAAAACCAAGGGCTGATGATCACTGCTAATTATATTAACTCCTCGGCACCTGCTCAAAGTGTTATGTGCAACACAATTTCCTACAGATAATTATTGAGCACATGCTAAGAGGTTGTCTGTGTGCTCAGTGTATGAACTACACTGACGTTTAATAAGTCAGTGTGTGAATTCCACTGACGTTTAATAAGTCAGTCCTGCCCTTAAGGAGCATGCTCTTCAATGGAGAGATATACAATATCATACTATAGGAACCAGCATATTGAACCAATGAAACCATTAATGAGGCTCACTGGCTTCCCAATCCTTGCCTTCCCCAATCTGCTACCAAATCTAAATTTTGATTATTAATTTGTTGAGAACACAAGCCATCTGGTAGAGGTGCTAAGAAGAATGTATGCACTATAACTGAAGCTTTGTGTATCTTTGTGCATGTATGTGGAGGCCAGAGCTCAACACTTTCCTCAATCACTTTCCTCCTTATTTTTTGAGACAAGGTCTTTTGCTGAACCCAGAGCTCAACATTTTGACTTGGCTTGAATACCCAGCAAATCTCTCCAGGATCCTTCCATCTCCCCCACAGTGCTAGGGTTACAGACATGTGTCTAGCTTTTAGACAGCTGCTGGGAATCCGAACTCAGATCCTCATGCGTATCCACCAAGCTGTCTAGACCACTTGATGACTGAAGCTTTTATGGCAGGTCATCAGGACCCAGCTAGGAGAAATCCCTTTTAGATTATCTATAAAATAATTTGTGACACAACAGACAAGCATTATTACCCACGTGTGCTAACAAAGACTATGCAAGTATTTTTGTGTCTTTGACTCTTTGATAGGGGAAAAAAGGAATATTGCATATAATAAGAAAATGGGGTATAATAAGAAAACAGGGTATAGTAATCCTCTATGGTGTCCTTAGAGCTCTGTGTTCTCTACTTCTGAACTTGAGTAGCTTGTTCTTCCATGGTCTTTGCACCACAGTCCTCTGAGCATGCTTTCCACCAGCTCCAGCTGTACACATCTGGAGTGTTCTGCAGAGGCAGCCAATTCCCTACCCCAGCAGGTGCTTCATGAGAGCTGACTGGTAATCTTTAGGGATGCTGCTTGACTGCAAGTCAGGTGCTTCAAAATACGTTGATTTTAAGACTTAAAAACCCCCAGTGGTGGTCTTGGCATCTTCTGGAAGTTCCTCCATGCTTCCAGCCATCAGCAGGTCTTCACAACATGTATGATCTCTCTCAGTTCTCACTGTTACACAGACTGGATCTGCAAAGTCATGACTCAGTAGAACTTCATACTTGTAAGTAATATGTAGATTCATAATGGGACAGCTACTTTTTAAATATTTCCCTAGTTTTATATATATCTGTGTTTTTTCCTGTATGTATGTCTGTGCACCATGTACTTACAGTGCCTCCTGATGCCAGAAAAATGTGTCAGGTCCCCTGGAACTGGAGTTATATTACAGATGGCTGTGAGCTGCCATGTGGGCACTGGGAATCAAACCCATGTCCTCTGGAAGAGCAACAAGTGCTCTTAATCACTGAACCATCTCTCCAGCCCTGACAGTTCTGTGTTGACTAATCTCAGTGATTCCTTTCTCCATTCTGTAATAACAACATGGAGAATGACCACCCATCTGGGTTTGCTGAATAAATCCCAGCTGCCAATATTCAGCAGAGAGTCCCAGGTGAATTCAGCCATGGGAACGTCAGTGTGGCCACTCTCCAGTTAGAAATGTATGTTCCCTGAAATGAATGTTTCTGTGTCTTCAGTGAAGCCATCATGGGAGCTATCTGTCAACTACAAAGCACAAAACAGGGACATCAGGTCAACTCTGACTGTGTCAGCACAAGGCCACCACTGGTTCCTGCTAGGGTCCACCAAAGGTCCATATATTTGGTCCTCCAGATCAGGCACTGGGGGGTGCTGTGAACTTTTAGGAAGTGGAGTTGAGAGATCCTTAGGTCATTGGGAGATATGCTTAGAAAGGGATACTGGGACTCTCCCCATGCTCTCTCTACTTCCTGCCTCAAGATGTGGCTGCCTGTTCCACCTGGTACAGCCTCCTGCTACTGCAATGCCCATGTCTCAAGACCCCCAAACAAGACCACCGCAGAACCGACATTCGATGCAATTGCAAAGAGGTTTATTAATAACAAAGCAAGCCTGGGCTTGGTCCGTGTCCAACATCTGACACAGCGAGTGGACAAGGATGGCCCTGAGCTCTCAGAGTGAGGGGTTTTTAAAGGGGAAAACTGCAAACAAGCCTTTGCATCATATGATTGGGTGAGGGTGTGTAACTTTTGAATTTACTGGTTGGGGGTTACAGTTATCATTTTTGGCAGGCCTGGACAAGTTCCAGGCTTTGTCCTTGAGCTGCCATTCACATTGACCCATGCATGTTCACACTGACCCATGCGTGTAGCTCTAAGTTGGTGAGGGGTCCCAGATAGTAAACAACTGGCTGAACCTTGAGCGGTCAGAGTACGTGCAGAAAGGGAGCTACTGCAAGGACTATGTCTTTTGTTCCTGGCCCTCCCAGAAACTGTTTGCTCAAGTCTCAGGAAACTGAAATTGGGGCCTGATCTCTGAGAGAAGGCTGAGCAGCCTGTTATGGCGTCTGCTTGGTCCTTTCACTACAATGTGCTACCATCTATGACACTACCAAAGCTCAATGAGGAACTTCATGCCCTGGAACTCCAAAACTGTGAGCTAAATTAACCTTTCTTTATGAAGTTCGTTACCTCATTATTTTGTGGTAATTCAAACTTGATGAAACAGTCCCATGTGAGGCTTGGAAACAGCTTATCTTTGGAAGCAAAAACACCAGATATTTAGGGAGCAACCATATGCTTTCATGAGCCTGCTCCTTTCAGGAATTCTCAGGGTACCTGTTGACCTCACTCCTCAATATGTAAAGCCATTAAGTTTTGCCATGCTCTCTGTAGCTCCATTTCAAAAGAAAACGGCACAGGACAGAACACAACAACTTTCCCTCCTAGACAGGAAGTGCCTCACCCATGACAGGAAGTGGTCTCACCCACAGAGAACGCTGGCTAGCACCCTTCTCCACTGTTCCCACTTCCACCCCCAGTGTGCCAGGCTGGAAAACACCAAAACCCACCTTCTGCCCCATCAACCACAACTTCCTCCAGTTCCCAAGTTCTTGGTCCTGGTTTGCTTTCCATTGTTGTGATGAAACACTGACCAAAACCACATTGGGGGAGGAAGGGGTTTGGCTTATACTTCCATGTCACAGTCCGTCGTTGGGGGTGGTCCGGACAGGAACCACAACAGAGGAATGCTGCTTAGTGGCTTGCTCCCTCTGGGTTGCTCAACTACCTTTCTTATCCAACCCAGTTCTACCTGTTTAGGGGATGGTACCGCCTACAGTGGGCTGGGCCCTCCTACATCAATTAAGAAAATGTCCCACGGGTATGGCCATAGGCCAGTCTAATCTGGGCAATTCCTAAGTCACTCTGGGTTATGTCAAGTTGACAGCTGATTTCAGAGAGGGTAGAGTCACCTGAGAAGATGATTCCCTAGGAATGATGACTTCAAGCCAGCACATGAATGAAACAACATTTAAAACTATATTCTTTTAGGGAATGTAAGTGGTATATGTATTCATTATGGAAAACTTAGGACTATGTATAAAAGCATAAAAAGCCATCCACAGGGGCCAGAGAGATGGCTTAGAGGTTGAAAGAACATACTGCTCTTGCAGACGACCCAGGTTTGGTTCCCAGCACCCATCAGATAGCTCACAGCTGCCTGTAACTCCTCCAGTGTCAAGTATCTAACACTCTCTGCTGGTCTCCATGAGCACTGCGCTCACACACACAAACCCATATTTGCACACACATATATACATAATTAAAAATAAAATATTTTAAAATTACCTGTAATCCCAGTAGCTCAGAAGTCTGTTTACATTTAGTAATGTGTCCGTTAGTCCTTTTAAATCTTCATGGATTTCCTTATGAAGTCATGAGTATACAATACATTTCTCTGTAACTTTAGAACGGTGCCATTTCCAGGTCTGTAGTGTAACCATAATGTAATCATTACTTGATTGGGAATTTCAATATTTTTTGAAGTTGTAAGCAATATTAAGATGTAGATGTCTTGGGATATATTTATTCTCTTAAGATAATTTCTTAGCAGTGAAGTCAGTTGTCAAAGGCCATGAATTGCTGATGGCAGAAGTTAGTTATTGCCAAGTCGACTCCAGAAAGAGCTGTCTGTCTTCAGCAAGATGCATTGGGAAGTGGCCCTTGAATATGCCTCCCTTCCCAAGGCTGGCTGATGGTCAGACTGAGAGTAGCCCTTTGAGCAAGCCCTTGGTGGTCCGCCATGACCCAGGTCACCTTCCTGGAACACAAGGCCAGTGACGGATGTTTGACTCAAAGGACAATCGTCCCGATGCTGTAGGAGAGTGAAGTGTTGCTGAGTCTCTGGAACTGGCTCAGAGCCACAGGACTGCAGAACATGTCCTGTTCTGAGACCTCCATGCCACTGCCAAGGTCAGGCCATTTTTCCAAGTGGAGCAAGACACTTGCAAGAGGATTTGATATTGTACTGTCCTCTCTCCCAGCGGCCTGGGCCTCACTGGCAGATCTAGCCATCTCCTCCTCTGTGGAAGTTTGTGTTCATTGTGACTAAAATTCTCATAGCAGTTCTTTCAGGAAAATTCCAGGATTCTCTCTCTCTCTCTCTCTCTCTCTCTCTCTCTCTCTCCCTTTCTCTCTCTCTCTCTCTCTCTCTCTCTCTCTCTCTCTCTCTCTCTCTCTCTCTCTCTCTCTCTTTCTTTGTGTCTGTGTGTGTATGTGGTGTGTGTGTGTGTGTGTGTGTGTGTGTGTGTGTGTGTGTGTGTACCAGGGCACACAAGTGAGCATCAGAGAACAGGTTGCAGGAGTTGGTTCTCTCCTTCCTGTGTGCTTCCCAGGTATTGAACTCAGGTCGTCATACTTGGCAGCAAGCATCTTCCCTGCTGAGCCATCTTGTCAGCCCAAATTCTAATATTGTAACTGGCAAAAACCCAAGGCCACATCCCTCCAACTGACTTGGTCCCTAACAGAGAAACCCAAAGCACAAACTCCTGTAAAAAATTTTAAACTGATACGTAACTGTACATCCTTAGGGATACAGTGTGGTAACTCAGTATACACGTGCGATGTGCAAGGCTCAGCCCCGAGTGATTAGTGTTTCCACCCCTACTCACCGTTTCTTTAATGGCCTCTCCAAGCTCCTCTTCTAGGTCATCACAACATACAGAATAAATGGCTGTGAAATAGTGTCACCCGGATGTGCTGCAGAACACAAGGACTTACCCCCTAACCAGCTGTAGGTTGGTGTCATGAGCCTCCTCCCCTCCCTCCCCTCCTCCCCTCCCTCCCTCCTCCCCTCCCTCCCCCCTCCCCTCCCTCCCATGCCCTGGTCTCCAGTGAGCACTATTTTACTCTCTACCACATGAAATCAGCTTTTTAGCTCCTACGTAAGAGTAAGCTAAAGAAGAACTTGTCTTTCGGAGCATGGCTTATTTCTCCTAATATCCATCCATGTTGCCACAAATGACAGGATTTCATTCCTTTTAACAGCTGAATACCTGGTCTACAAAGCGAGTTCCAGGAAAGGCACAAAGCTGCACAGAGAAACCCTGTCTCAAAAAACAACAACAAAAAAAAAAAACCCAAGCAAACAAACAAAGAAACAAACAAAACCAGCTGAATACGATTCCATTCCGTAGCTCTGCCACAGGTTATTTGTTCATCTATCACTGGCCGCCTTGGCCGACGCAAACCTTGGCTATTGTGGATCGAGCAGCAGTGAACACCAGATGCTCTGACACACTGGGCTTCTCTCCTCTGGCTATCAGCCCAGGAGTGGGCTTGCCGGATCATATGGCCATTCTATTTTTAACTTTTTGAGGACTGTCCATACTGTTTTCCGTAAAGGCTTCACTAATTTACGTTTGGTAACAATGTATACGAGTGTCCCAATCTTTCCCTCCTTAGCATTCATTTACAGATTGGTTATAGCCATCCCAGCTGGGGTGGGTTCCTGTCTCACTGTGGTTCTGATAGCCTGGACCTGAGGTGTGCTGGATATTGAGCCCAGGTAGCTGGCTGCCCCTCTGTCCTGCCGGCTGTCTCTCCCTCCACTCTGCTGTTTCTTTCCTTTTTCCCTCTAGAAGTGGCTTAGTTTGTTATAGTCCCATTTGTCTATTTTTGCTTTTGTTATCTTGCTTTGCGGTTCTTATAAAAAATATTTCCTTGTATTGCTATATTGAAGTGCTTGCCAGCATTTTCTTCTCATAGTTTCTCATCATTGGTTTGTTTTGAGATAGCATTTGCATACAAGATTCTAATCTGTCTTCTGGACATCCTGGCGCCATTTATTGAAGAGACAGTTGTTTGTGTTTGGAGCATCTTTGTCAAACATCTGGCTATAGGCATGTGGATTTGCTTCCAGGTTCCTCATTCTGTTCCACTGGCCTGTGTGCCATGCAGTTCAGGTTAGATAGCTTTATAGGGTGTGCCACATGGTTAAAATGCCTCCAGCTTCATGACCGATTTGGTGAGTTTTGGTCCGCCATGGTTTCTCTCCCCGGTCTGTGCCTCTCCCACACCCCTTCTCCCCTTCTCCCCTGGCAACTGCATTGGTGGGCTGTAACAGACGTTTCTAGCTTCTTCACTCTCCTTAACAACATAACTCAGCTCACCAGCGGAGGAGCTCCAGAACCACATCTTCATGCTTGACAGGGAAAAGCAGAAACAAAGTTGGAATATCCCCAGTAACTACCCTTGAACCCATAACAATTGCTCTCTTAAAGAGGGGACAGTCTTAGCCAGGCGGTGGTGGCGCACGCCTTTAATCCCAGCACTCGGGAGGCAGAGGCAAGCGGATCTCTGTGAGTTCGAGGCCAGCCTGGACTACCAAGTGAGTTCCAGGAAAGGCGCAAAGCTACACAGAGAAACCCTGTCTCGAAAAACCAAAAAAAAAAAAAAAAAGAGGGGACAGTCTTGAGCTGACCAACGCTGGTTCCTGGAAATGTTTTTCTTCCCTTCTTAAAAAGGCATCTGTAACCTAAGAATGTATAGAGAAGATCTGATTCCACATAAATTTTGAATGTGTGGTTTATTTCACGCTACATGAGTCACAGATATAATGAGCATTGGCAGCTGCAGCAGAGAAAGATCCAGAAGTTTCCGAAGCACTGGGGTCTTGAGCGTACAGAGGGCTCGTACACACTGATCAGGCCCTTTCTCACAAGGCTTTTTTCAATTACGTGGTTCGCTTAATTACTTCCTACTCAGGCGTGCATCCCTGGAGTCACAATGGAGCTATAAATGGTAGGCCTTGGCATGAAGTCCATTCCAAAGACCCGTCGCAGAAGCCTTTGCCTATTCCTGTGGCAAATACGCTTTCTCCGAAATAAAGCCCACACTCTGGAAAATAAGTGATAACGCCCATCTGGCCTTCTATGGCCTGCTGCTGACACAATAATGTTCTTGGCATCCATGGTTTCCAAGGACAATGTCTCTGTGATGGGGAGGCCTCTGGGTCACCCAAAGTCCAGCTCTGACAAGCAGCTACCAAAGGGACTGTCTTCTGCCCCTTCGTTCCTTCTGAAGTCACTGGAACCTGAGCGATTCCTGGCCCCCCTGAGCCAATAATTCCAGCTGAGGTTTGAGATTCAAGCTTTTTCTCTTGTGATTTGGAATATTCTAGAATTTTGAGGAACAGAAATTACCTCTGTTATTTCACAAGCCTTTTCTTAGCTCTAGGTGAGAATATACCTGTAAAACTGCTGAATTACTGTTGCTGCCACTCACACTTAAACAAGGGGTCAAAGGTTAAATAGGGCTGGGGAGCAGCTCACTTGGCAGAGTGCTGGCCTGGCATGCTTGAAGCCCTGAGTTCAGTCCCCAGCACCACAGAAACCAGGCATGCCTGTAATCATGGCTCTGGGGAGATGGGACAGGAAGATCAGAAGTTCAAGGTCATCTGGCTTCATATCAAATTCAAGGCTAGACTGGGATACGCAGGACCTTGTACTCAAACACTAAAAAGGTAAATAAAGATGAAAAGTCTGGAAGTCAAAGATCTCACAAAGATGTTTCCTAGTTGACTTCTGACAATCTCTTTCCCTGACTTGCTCTTCTAAGGGAACAGGAGGAAGGAAGTTGTCCCGTGTGGCATATAGTGATGCTGCTTCTACACACAAGTGGACTTCAGTTAAGGAGAAACCTCAACAGCATTCCCAGTGTCCAGTTCATCTCCCTTCATCCCGTCCCCTCCAGGGCATGTCATGTGACTTTCAGGTGCCAGCATTCGCCTTTGCCTGAGGCTCTTCTCGGGCTTTGTTCACCTGTGCCGTAGGTCAGCCGTGTGAGGGGTTACGGCCCCAGGTCGATCCCTCAGGGATAATGCATGAAATTGCCGTCTTGCTCCTGTATGACTTCTAACACACACTCCACGCTGGTGTGCTGATTCTCCACGTTTCTACTCCAGCTGCCCCGTGCTATCTCTCTCTTCAACACTCCATCATGGGCTGCCTCCATTTCCCACCCTACCACTTCCCTCTCATCCTAGATTATATTTGTGATGTAACTGATTTCTTTTAAGACAGAGTCTCACTATGTAGCCCTGGCTGGCTCCGACTCTCAGAGATCTGCCTGTCTCTGCCACCCAAGTGCTACGATGAAAAGTGTACACCACTACACCAGGTCATAATTCTCATTTTCATAAAAGCAGTAGAAATTGTCTTGTATGTTGGACCAGTATCAACAATGTTCTGCTTTGTGCAAATGTGTTTTGACTCATTAATAATGAGGCCGTGGCATATACTTGGACTTGCTTGCCAGTGAAATGTCTTTTGAATAAAAATATTTATTGGTATTAATGATATCTATATACTTGTAATTTCGTTTAGAAGTAAATTTATTGTATATTCCATCTTTATCCACGGGAGAGGAGAAAGTGATTTCTCAGGTAGTTCCTGCTACCCACTGTGACGGAAGCACTGAGGTCATCCCTCCTAATTCTCGATCTAAACTACCCAGACAAGTGAAGGCAGACACAGCTCTTCCTAACCACGCTGGGGAAATGAACAGTCCAAAGGCTTCTGGGACAAGAGGTGCTTACTTCCAGCACCTCCGTTCCATGTCTTTAGCCCACATCTCTCTTTCGTCGTTGCTGGTGAACTGACAATAATGAACCTTTTTTATCTGCTGTCATACTATGTCCGCTTGACGTGGGTCAGCTGGCTAACCGTTTGAAGACTTAAAGACAGAATGCAAGCTCGTATGGTATTTCAAGATTAACTTCAGAAATAATGAAGATTCAAGGGAGAGGAATGAAATCATCGACGTGCTAGAGGAAAATGAGGCTAGATGTGGTCACATGGAGCTTGCAAGGCAGCGTGTCATCCTTGAAGGGGACAGGGCAAAGGGACAGGAGCTGGCCCTCCCAGCTCACATAAAGGCTTCTTAATTTGAGACAGCCCACACTGATACACACAGCAAATGGAGGAACATTTAGCTCCTTGAGATAGCCCACACCGATAAACACAGCAAATGGAGGAACATTTAGCTCCTTGAGATAGCCCACACCAATATACACAGCGAATGGAGGAACATTTAGCTCCTTGAGATACCCACACCGATATACACAGCAAATGGAGGAACATTTAGCTCCTTGAGATAGCCCACACCGATATACACAGCGAATGGAGGAACATTTAGCTCCTTGAGATAGCCCACACCGATATACACAGCGAATGGAGGAACATTTAGCTCCTTGAGATAGCCCACACCGATATACACAGCGAATGGAGGAACATTTAGCTCCTTGAGATAGCCCACACCGATATACACAGCAAATGGAGGAACATTTAGCTCCTTGAGATAGCCCACACCGATATACACAGCAAATGGAGGAAAATTTAGCTCCTCCTTTGTTTCTTTGGAAGGCAAATCAGGAAAAGGAATAAACACAAGATATCAAATTTCTGTACTGTGAGAAACACAATTAAATAAAGCACTGAGAAAAAAACACTTGTAAAATGGAACACAGAAAACATTCACATTTTTGTATGTTGAGAACTTTACATACCCATGTACAGGGTGCACAGCTCTGCCTTTGGGGGAAGAAGCAGGAAGGTCGCAAATTCCAGGCCAACCTGGGCTACATAGAGTTCTATATAGTGAGTACCCGAAAATGATAAAAATAAGCTGGGCGGTGGTGGCGCACGCCTTTAATCCCAGCACTCGGGAGGAAGAGCCAGGCGGATCTCTGTGAGTTCGAGGCCAGCCTGGGCTACCAAGTGAGTTCCAGGAAAGGTGCAAAGCTATACAGAGAAACCCTG